GCAGGGCTTTTTGCTTTTGAAAAAAATGCCATATATTAAGTAATAAACTACTTAAGTCTAAGATTAAATTCTAATTGGAAACAGTTTCAACTCACAATTTTTTCATTAAAAGAATATTGTTTTTAAGAATGATTGTGCTCAGAATATAGATTTTTAATAATATCATAAAAATATTGAAACGGATCGATCCTAAAATGTTTGTTTGAAACGGATCGACCTTAGTTTGTTTGCGTTTAACCCCTCCACGAAACTTTCTAATACAATAAATCAGAAAGTGATCACTGAGGCAAGTTTTATCACACCGCTCTCCAAAATATTTCTAGACTCTGAAGTGGCTATGTGATCAATTAGGGAAGAAGAATGTAGGGTGATTCTTGTTGTCTCTTCAATCAGTTGTTTAAGACCAAATAAGTCATAGATTTCTTGCAAATGGGAGCTGTGATTTGCATCGCTAGGTCCAGGAAGGCTGAAATCACAGTTCGCAACACCTACTAGGATAATCTCTTTGTTTTCTCCTTTCTCCGGAGTTTAAAGCTAACTGTGTTCCTGATGTACAATGCAACCCTACCCCCATGTCTATCCCTATCACATCTCTTCAGGTCAAATTCGTTGATATCGATGAGTTGAATTTTAACCTTGTCGTCAATTTTAGTTTCATTTATTACAAAGATATCAATTTTCTCATTTTTTGCAAGCTGTCGAACCTCATCGATTTTAGAGAGTAGACCATTGACATTTAGTGAAGCCATTTTAAAACCTTTTTTACGACCAGATGGACGAATATCTTTGTTAACAGAACACTCACGCAACTCATTTACATCTGTATCATTATCTGTAAGAATCGAAACATAACTGCAGGGCCGCCGGAGCCAGGGGGCCACGAGGGCACAGGCTGTTTACGAAAAGTATAAACAAGTGCCCCTTTTCGAAAAGTATATTGCGTGTATTTTTTCACTGCCAGATATTCTGCCTTTAGAAACTAAGTAAAATAACATAACTCTGGACGTTGTCGGAGGACCATTCACTGAAATTTCCTTAAATTTTTACTTGGTCATGATGCAAGAAGCGCAAGCTCCTGTGTTGAGCAATATCAACTGCGAAGGAGACTGCCAGTTTCGCGGGAACATTTCCTTAGTATGTTTTCAGGAACAAAATCATCAGTGAAAGGTCCTATCAAGTCCCCGTTAGGCACAGTCAGTTGGTCCAATGTCTATCGTGTGTGTTCTTGAAAGCATGAGCAGGAATTTTTGTTAAAATCAAATTTAGTGAACTCTGCTTTTCACTGAGCATGTTAGAGCCATTATTTTTCTTAAACTTGTGTTTAGGCAAGATAAAAAGCAGAGTTAATCAAATTTGATTTTAAAAACAATCCCTTATGGTTCTTGACATATTTATTAACACATCTGTTAAACTATAGCTGCGACATATTGCTTGCTTCACAACATTGTGTTCAATGTTTTTTATGAAGAAATGAAAAAGTTATGTCCCTGCAATGAGTACATGCTAACAAAGACGTAAATTTCTTATCTAGGATTAGAACAATATACAAGACTAGACGTACTGCAAAATTTGTTGTACTTCAATATGCCATTGATTTACCTAAAAAATTATCTGCAACATCATATCAGTAAATTCCTGCCCTCTTTGTGCTTCCCCTGAATGCAACCCTATTTTCAAGATTCCATGTCCCAGAATTCTAGCTTTTTTCAAATTTTCGGAACTCACATGTTTGACCAACTGACTGACCAACTGACTGAGGGATCAATTTTAAGGAGAGTTTAAAACGTGTTTCGTTCATAAGACTGACGAGATAAACCTAATCAATGTTACAAATTGAATTTGCTATGGCAGTGAAGAATGTGCCCGCACCTTCAGCCGATTGTGTGAAGATGACCTTAACCATAAAATTTGTAGCTTTTAAAAATTATTCCATGGATGCGAACAAATTTGTGTTTAAGTGGGGATGGGAGGGTGCGAATACCAAGGCGGGCTAAATTTTTTAAATATATAAGTAAGCAAATCAAAATCATTATTCGAAAATTAAAATCATTGTTTAGAAAGAGATAGGGACTGGAACTCGCTTTGAAGTACATAGAGACTAAGAATTCAAAAATTCCATTCAGCTCATATTTTGGGTTGGATTCCTTGGTATGTTGCAATAAATCTGAACATTTGTTGAGTATAATGCGCCTGCCACAAGTATGAAAGAAGAATGTGTGCCTGCTTCTTACCCGGGACCAAATCAACTTACAATGCAAATTATTAAGAAAATAAGTACAGCGTATTTTAATAGAAGTATAAATCATACATGGAAAAGAGATTTACAATCTCAAAAAACTTTGAAGGCAATGAGATGGGAAGCTATACAATTAATTATGATTAAGAGTGCGTGGTCTCTAAATGGAGTACATAGCCATTCACTATATCCAACGTGTGTAATTATTTTTATAAATCACTAAATTACTGTGATATCCGTATCATTTTTGGCACTTACTAATGTTTCGGGAAACAAATATTCGTGCCCTTTTTATTCATTTTGCCCCCCCCCCCCTGTTCAAAACTGCGTCCGGCGGCCCTGAACTGCGATTTCGACCTTCCTTTTTAAAACTAATGTTTGGCTCATTGCTCAGGATAACGATCTTAATTTTTCAATAATGTTCGATAAAGGACGTATCTTTTGACATGTTTGCTTTAAAACGTTTTTTTGAATGATATTATTGGTATTGAGATTAGATGAAAAATTTTTTATTGACCGGGAACAATGGAATGGTCGATCACGTGACCCCCTAGCCCCCTAATTTTAGGGCCCCTGACGGATTTTGAGTCTAACACCGACCAGGTACGCATAACAAAAGAAAAAAATCCGGTTACCCTGTTTGCTAGATTGTTCAGAAAATTTCCCAGTCTAATAGCGATTTTTGATTTGACATTTTTGTGCGCATTTTAGCCTGAATTGGTCATGCGTCTGGCCTTCTTTTGTAAATTCTGTCAAACTTGATCGCAGGTATGCCAATCAAAGATATGATGATTTCAGGTATCATGTTTTCAGAAATTTATTCCTTGTTCGGGAGACGAAACCTTCAGTCCTTTGATTGGAAACAATACCTTGCCGGCTCATTGCACATGAGCATTCGGTAACAGTATTCAATAACAGTAACAGTATTCGCACAGCTGCTCTATCTGACCAAAAAACCACAAATTGAACTTCCAGCCAGGGCTGCAAGTAATAATGTGCCTGAAGAATCCGGTCAGGATAATCCGATTAATATCGTGTCATGCACGTCGAGGAGTTTTTTTGACTGCATTAACGAATCCCGTGTCGCCTAACGTCAGGGAACGCGATCCTAAGAACATGACATCTAGCAAAACATGATACCTATCCGGATTCATCATGTCCGCCGAACAACTATTTAAAGGCTGAAATACACTGAGCATTAAAATGGATCCGATTAAGTGGATCGCTGGAAAATGGACAATATAAACGCAAATTGGTTGTCAAAATAGCTGTTTCGACAAAGTGAAACTTCCTTTAAAAATTTGACTTGTTCAACTTTCGCCCTGCACACTTATTCTTTTTTATGATAACTTTGTAAATGGCTTCATGTTTAGCATGCCAACTGACGAAGATTTTAGTATCTCAAAAATGTTTCTTATTAGTTTGAACTCGGAACGCTCAAACTCTGATTTTTGAGTGTTCGAAGATTTTTGGACCTAAATATCTGGAATGCACCCTACCAATAAAAAACAGCTTCTTGTTATTTGCATTGATGTGTATTGATGTGTACTCTGAACAAAGGTCATCCTTTCTTTCTTTCATACCCCAACGCATGAATCCTCCCTCCCAAATTGTTTCTTAAAGTCAATAATGTCTTTCTGAGAATCGTGGAATTGTCTATTCTTAGCGGTATAGTAATTTGTTAAATTTTAGTCTGAGAGATGCATTTTTAGCCATTCTAGAAGGCTTGATTTCAAAAATTTTCTTTCGCGTCAGACCCAACCATGGTGGCTCCTCCCATGTCACTAAACCTTATTCTTAGAGAGCAGCACATTCCTCATCGGAGTTCATGATGAAATGAGGGGACGCTTTAAATAACAGATTCAATTTAGTGGATGAGTGTAAATGGATACATTTTTTCAGTTAAATCGAACTCATTTATGGGCATAGTGTATTTCAGCCTTAAGGCTACTGGCTTTGGACTTTCTTCCCCTTTCCAATTTTAAGGAAATAAAATTTTAAGAAGCAGGTTATAAAAAACAGTAGGCTAAATTTTTCGAAAGTTAAGGAACAGCCCAACCCAAATTGAAAAAGCTAAGAAAATTTTAAAATTTGCAGTTTTAATTTTCCGAGTTGACACTCAAAACAGTCTTGACATTGAACATCACTGTACATTGCAACACTAAACTTTACATGCAGTATGCATTCATTATCAGTAACTTGCACACTCAAGAAGTTTCCATTAAAAAACTCTTTGACTCTGACTTGACATTGATAAAGTTCAATGAGCTTAACTGTTTACAGATCTCAACAGTTAAACAATAAATTCAGCTTCAAAATGCGATTTGCAAAAAGGGCACCCGGTTATCAAAACTTTGTTTAGGAGATACGATTACTTTCATGATTTCCCACCTTAAACCTTTGCTCTAGTTGAAAATTACCTTTAGTTAATCAAAGCTTCCAAAGCATGAATATCACAACATAAGTTAAATGTGGGAAATTCCAATTCACGTGGAAAGGGTCGCTTTCAAGGTCAACTAGGCACGTTGCATGTTCGAATTCCCACTTCAAAACTCACTAACTCTCATTCGCTGCTCTGCCTCGACATTCCGAAAATGTTAGCTAATTCTAATTGAACTTGTCTTGCAACGATTAATATGGCCTGACGATTACGATTAATATGGATTAATATGCTTTTATTACGAGGACCCCTCAGGCACGGATAAAGCGACGAACCGAGAGTAAACTTTTAGCACTTTGATCATTAAAATAAAGCTCAACTTACATAAACTCCAACTGCAAGCACACCAACGAAATAGGCTGTAATGACCACAAAATCAAGTGGAGACAACTTTCCTTCTCCGGACGACATTTTGATACATGTGGTTAATCAAATGAGTTATGCAACAGATGCGCTCTTGTGGGCGTCCGGTGATATATGTATTTCGGTCCCCCTTGGCAAAAGTATCCAAAGGGACAGAAACGCATTTGTTGGGGAGGCGTTTACGGCCATTGTTCTATCCATTTATCTAAGCCAATGAGAATGTGCAATTCAACTCTTTTTATTACACCATTTTGTCTAAACTTCATTCGTCTTTTGATTCAATAAATCCCATAAGCGCCACCAAAGTGCTTCAATAGAATGGTCTGGAGAAAACGCAGAGATCAAAAACCGCCGCTTTGCATGTTGAGCGCCCCGTAACGTGTATTCGGCGCTTGCCGTGCACAAAACACATTTCTCGTGCTCTCCATTTTTCTTGGGGTAGTTTAAAAAGACCTACTCCTTTCGTTCTGCTTTCTGCTGTTAACACCTCATTTATTGAGCGTACAGTTATCTCCTGGCATTGAGGAAAATCAACAAGACCATATTCATACGATAAAAAGGGATTTCTAAGTATTTCGAGTGCCGGGCCAGAAAAACCTATAGATTTTCTTCTGGGGTCACTCAGTTTTGAACTTTCGCATACCTTGTGTTAAAAATGCTGCTCAAATGAAATCCAGGCCTCATACCAACAGGGCCCGTGCCACTGGGGGGCCCGGGGTGGCCATGGCCCCCACCTTTTTGCGATGCAAGTAGTTTTTGAAACTGCAATAAAAGGGGTAAGAAGCCTTGTCCCCCTACATTTTTAGCCTTGCCCCCCCACTTTAAAATTCGTGGGGATAAAAGCCTCAAACTGTAACACAGTATATAAAACCAAAAAATAGTTTACACAAAAATTGTACAACTTTACGTTTCTTGCACCAGGTTGACTTAGAAGATCGCTGTTCGCCCCCACTGTACAAGTTTTGATTTGGAACGTTAATCTTTGTGGGCTTGAAGGGTTTGAGTTCAGACGCAAGGTCTGTGAAACGCATTTTAAGGAGAGGGCAAAATGCGATGATTGTGGATGTAGTTAGTTAAGAAAAAATGTAGATTATACTAATCCAAGGATTGTCAGAAACAACATCTAGAATAGATTTTAACGGGAGAAAATCCAAGGCAATATTCTCATTATAAGGTTTTTATAACCAAGTTTCATAGTTTCATCTTTTCTAATGTTGGCATGAAAAAGGAAGGATCTTTGAAAAGAAACATTTTTCAAGCAAATCATTCGGCGGGGCCGGATAGAACCTTGTTGCGTGCAGGAGGTTAAGAATGGCTGCGATAAAATGTTAAAATTGCTTTATATTCTCGAAAAACTACTGGGTACAGCCACGTCATGCTTGCAATTCTGAGGCTAAATTTTCTTTTGGTATTTTTAGCCAAAGCCCGAGTACTTGATGGGGATTCATTGCAATCACGTTGTGTGGGGGTGTACAGACGCGATTTCAAATCGGGAGTTTTTCAATGAATTTCCGTAAAATATTGAAATTCGGTCCATCCGCAAAAGTCAATACCTAAACAATTTGGTGTAATGAGCGTGCTTTGAACGGGTGACAACATTTCTGACTTCGCAGCTTTAAAAATTCGATATAAGGTTGGTATATGGTATGTGTAAAGATTTATATGCGGCATGTTGCGGCGCAAACGTTTTATTTGACATTTTTCTTAATTTGTTATTGCATAGAACTGTTGCTTCAAGTTTCTGCACTATACGTTATTGGATAACCCGCAACTGCAAGCAACGTGCACAGCCAGGTGTACACGGTGCTAAGGAAGTCAACCAGTTTACTCTTGACAAAGAGATAAAACAATAGAGGAGGCGAAGACGCCAGACCATTCTATTGAAAGACTTTGGTTCCACTTAGACCTATCTTGTCTATGATTGGCCAAGCGCAATACGAATTGGCTAGGCGGCTTTCTGAAGTTTTGGACCTTGTAATTCAAAGATTCTCGAAACATTGTATCAAGGATTCTTTTATATTCGCTGAGTTCATGCAAAACTTGAACCTCACAAACGAAACATCTTTCATGTGTTCTTTTGACATTAGCAGTCTTTTCACAAATGTTCCTTTGAGTGAGACCATCAAAATATGCGCCGATGTTTTGTGCCGGAGCGAGCTTCGGATGAAATATTTATTGAACTGATGGAGACTGCGATATGTTCAATTGAATGTAGCTTTAACAATAAAATTTACCAACAAAAGGTTAGCGTCGCTATGGGTATACTTTTCTAAAACGCCTTATGGCCTCCACCCAGCCGTACAGTTTACATTTGAAAAGAAAGAAAATAACTCTTGCCATTTCTATATGTTTTGGTTGGAAAGTTTGGCACTGGATTTCTTACCAGCGTCAACCATACACATACATTTTCGGGGTTATACATTCGATGGAGTTCGTTTTGCTAAAAACAAAGAAAAATCAACCTCATCAAAAAGCTTATTCATAGGGCACTGGTGATTTGTTCCAAGTCAAAAATCGACTCGGAACTTGAACAACTAAATAAGATTTTTCTGGAGAACGGCTATCCAGAGGATGTCATTTCAGTTCACATTAAGGAGAAAATAGCAAATTTCTCGTCTGACGTAAAATTTGGTCGTCAGAAGTGCCCGGTCTATCTAAAACTGCCCTGGATCGGTGACAGTTCCTTGCGTATAGTTTTCAGTACGAAAAAGGCCCTTCCATCCAATCAAAAAGCTTACATTCCTACCATCCAAAAGAGCTCCGTCATCTATGAGTTTACATGCTAGCATGATTCTTGCTACGTAGGACGCAAAACCCAAAGATTGGAGAATAGAATAAAACAACATGTTCCGTCTAGAATTAGAAGAAAAACTCATTACTCATCCAGCCAGCCCGGTCTCGCAGATCTAAAACTACAACTAAAACATGCGATTCTGCTATCGGGCAGCATTCACTGGAAAACCCAGATTGTGCAAAAAACTATTTTAACAACTTGTGTTGTTAATAAAGTAACAGTCTCGAAGGACGAATTATTAAAGAGCGTAGTCAATAGTAAGAGACGTACGTCGTGTTATTATTTTATTCCAAAACAACTAACTATTTCTAAATAAACACAGCGGTATATACAAGCAGCGAAGCGTAGCATAAAAAACACAGCGGGAACAAAAGCTTAGATGTTATCACTACACTATAATGGCGACATGTTTCGGGTTACTGGTAAAGCCCGAATGTGAGCACTGATGTGAGTCACTGAAACAGAAAAATGGCGAGAGCAGGGAGGAAAATTAAGGAAGAAATTTTTTCCTGGGCTGAGCAAGAAATTGAGCTGTTGCTAGAGACCGTGAGATCGCATGCAGCGAGTTCTCAATTCGAGGGGAAAGAATTGAAGAGAATATCTTGAAAAACGATCAATGAGGCGGCTACTTATCTGAAAAATGTGTGCAAGACCAATAACTTTGGTAAAGAAAAATTTTTCTCTATCAGCAAACATCTTTTTTTCTTGATAATGAAACCACAGTTTGTTGAAAAACGCGCCAAATATGGGGTTGAGGCCACATGGATCGTAACTGAGGTTGCGGAGCATGTTGATACCGGATTCGAGCTCTACTTTTGCATCCATCTTGTTGATACTCTGCACTGTCCAATCTCCTGGTATTCTCCTTATTCAGTGTCAATGACTCTGACCCGTACAATAACACATTCCACTCCGAAGTTTTAACCATTCTCTTATTCAACCGTGTACTGAACTTCTTCGTTAACAGTTTTCTTCTCGAATTAAAGGCAGCCTTCGCCAGCGCAATCCGTGATCTTATTCCTGTACTGCAATAGCCGTTGCTTGTCAAAATGCTTCCAAGTTATTTGAATCCTTAACCTTGTTCCAGATCTTTACCATCTAGCTTGATCGTTACATCATCTTTGCCGCTTTTGTTGATCATCATCACTTTCGTTTTCTTTATGTTGATTTGCATTCCAAACTCTTCAACAACTGCATTCAGACTGTCAATTATTTTTCTGTAACCCTTTTTCTGAATCTGCTACCATGGCCTGGTCATCCGCAAATCTCACTGCATTTACCAGCTGACCGCCGACCTTAACTCTCTCTTCACAATTCTCTAAGGTTCTGTTCATTACTTCCGCAAATATATCGAAAAGAGAGGGTGACATCAACAGAGGGGATGATCCACAACTGGGTATATATATTTCCTAGCGTAGAGTTTTCGATCTATGTTCTGACGGTTTATACTCTGAAGAGTGTCAGAAGAAAAGCTTTAGTATGCTCAAATGTTTTCAAAGCCATTTTTAAGTTTTGTACCACCAAAAGATTGTTTGAATATTCAGGTTCAGAACCTCCCAACTTTTAAGAATATTTTAAAAAATATTGCTCAGCCTCGTCTCGCATTTTTGTGTCTCGCATTTTTGGTCTCGCATTTTTGTGTCTCGCATTTTTGGTCTCGCATTTTTGTGTCTCGCATTTTTGGTCTCGCATTTTTGTGTCTCGCATTTTTGGTCTCGCATTTTTGGTCTCGCATTTTTGGTCTCGCATTTTTGTCTCGCATTTTTGGTCTCGCATTTTTGTGTCTCGCATTTTTGGTCTCGCATTTTTGTGGTCTGCATTTTTGGTCTCGCATTTTTGTGTCTCGCATTTTTGGTCTCGCATTTTTGTGTCTCGCATTTTTGGTCTCGCATTTTTGTGTCTCGCATTTTTGGTCTCGCATTTTTGTGTCTCGCATTTTTGTGTCTCGCTTTTCAATAGCTGCCTGTTTTGCAATGTTTCTGCAACAGAGAATTGTATGACTGTGTTAAACAATAGATTTTCCTGTTGCGTGTCAGTGGTGTTCCTCTTGTTAATCTGTAATCCGTTGCCATGCCACTTCTCATTAGTTGCCATCACTTGTTGTCAGCGTCCTATTGTCTCTTGGTCATGTGTTACTCATTATATTGCCATGCTGTTTTATGTTGAGTCAGTCGTTAGTTAAAGGCATTGAGTCATGATAAATAGACTGGGTATACCCTAAATGCCAAAATCCGCTGAGTCATGATTTCCATGACTGCGATGCTATTGGTTGACCTTGAACTGGTCACATGAACTCAGCTCGTACTGATTAACATAACAGTTTCCATCAATAGCAAGTTGTCAACAACGGATGCCAATATCACATGAAACAGCAGCGATCACGCGGAAACCAAATGACCCCCTATAGAGAAAGCCTATTTACCATGACTCAATGCCTTTAAAGCCGTCAAGGAAAGTCGTTATATTGAGTCGTAGTGTAAAGCCGAGAAGTAAAGCTGTGTCGAAGCCGTTCCGTTTTATGAAGTTGCAGTTTGCCGTCAAATTCAGTACAGTTTACCCGCCGAACATTATTGCCGCCGACGAATATTGCTTGTAAAAATAAATTGCTGAATTATTGCTTATGGTTTATATCTTCGATTATTCATATATTCTGGTTCTTGTTGGAATCAACTGTTGTTTCTTTTGTACTGGACTAACCAGGGCAACTGTAAAACAGTGTCGTTTTACATTGGTGCCGTGACCCGGGACAGGCTGGTAAATTTTATCAATTAAATCATGGATAGCCTGGACACAACATTTTCGACCTATTGGCATGAGGATTTAAAGCAGGAGATTGTTGGTGCGATTCGTCATGAAGTTGCTGAGTCATCAATGCAGACGCAAAATATAAAATACGTTCTCGGTAATTTCCGAACATTAAACGGGCTTCCGATTTGTTTTTATTGCAAAAGAGTCGGACATGTCAAGAAATACTGCAGAAAGCGTCAGAGTATTTTCGAATCAAATAGAAACGACTATCAACTCTTGCCAGAAAAGTATCAGCTCCCTCGTAACAGTAGCCTGGTTATTGAAGACCACTTAGCTGCTGCCACAAACTCACAGAAAACAGAACACGGAGAAGATCAAGGTCTAAATCAGGACGATGACTGTGTTTTGAACGTTTTGCAGTGCTGTATGAGACTAAGAAATATCGCTGACGAATTTCTAAAGAGTTTGGAGACACAAAGGCTGCATCTAATTGAAAATGGAACAGAATTTGATATGAGCGAGGCTCCAATAGTTAGAGAAGCCTTGCTGACGGTTGTCAATAAGATTAGTGTCGCAAACAAAATTCTTGTACAGCCCTCTCAAAGATCTGTGAAAATGAAAACAGATGTGGTTTCAAACTCCTATGGACCCATGATGCTACTTCCACCAACTCGAACAGGACTTGCCTGTGGTGCAGAAAAAACTCCGCCTGAGAACTTGTTTACTTAGCGTATTAAAGGTTAAAGAACAGTAATATTGATATCTGGGTATTGTTCATGTTCTGTTTTGTGTTGTTTTATCATTTGTTGTTGATTTGATTTGTGTTGCTCTCTTTTGAAAATTCAAGCCAGGAGGCTTGTCTTGGAAGGAGGGAGCAATGTTAAACAATAGATTTTCCTGTTGCGTGTCAGTGGTGTTCCTCTTGTTAATCTGTAATCCGTTACCATGCCATTTCTCATTAGTTGCCATCACTTGTTGTCAGCGTCCTATTGTCTCTTGGTCATGTGTTACTCATTATATTGCCATGCTGTTTTATGTTGAGGCAGTCGTTAGTTAAAGCCGTCAAGGAAAGTCGTTATATTGAGTCGTAGTGTAAAGCCGAGAAGTGAAGTCGTGTCGAAGCCGTTCCGTTTTATGAAGTTGCAGTTAACCGTCAAATACAGTACAGTGTACCCGCCGAACATTATTGCCGCCGACGAATATTGCTTGTAAAATTAAATTGCTGAACTATTGCTTCTGGTTTATATCGCCGATTATTCATATATTCTGGTTCTTGTTGGAATCAACTGTTGTTTCTTTTGTACTGGACTAACCAGGGCAACTGTAAAACAGTGTGTTTTACAACTGACATATTCCTAGTTTTTTTTCAAATGCGTGGTTTCTATTCAAATGAGCGGGGGCGATACTCCCCTGAAAATCATATCAAATTTTGAAAAAGTAAGAATATTAAGAATATGTTTAAGCTCAATTTTATTAAAGAATAGTGTAGAAAGAAGATTTCTGATGATAGGATCAGTCAAAATTCTATGCTGGCGAAACGGAGGGGGGGGGGGGGGTGTGGTTGTTGATGGGTCATGGCTTCCCCACTTTTCTGCAGAGCAAGAACACTTTTTAAGCAATAGAGGAAGGAAATGTTTAAGTAGCTGTACCTAGTTATCCCTTAAATATGCCTTTAGCTTTAGCTTGGTTACAATGTCTTTACCAGAGAAGACATATTTAAAATTGAATACGGGAATTTGACCGAAGCGGTTGGTCATTGTCCAAGTTGTACAACAAGTAACAGCTTGGCTTAGGAAATAGATCTGGAGAAGTTCCATTTTTTCTATGGCCTAAGCTTGGCTCACAAGGTCTATTTATCAAACAAAAAAATTCTCAAAAGAATACAAAGCACCTTAATTCCGAAAAATTTAGGATCAGATGTTGTCAAATAATATCCCTACTTTCCAAAAATGCTTACTTTATTCTTAACTGAAAGTTCTTCTGTGATGTTTCAGTGTTAATGTTTTTATTTAACCGTGTTTTATTTACTTTTCTCCTCCATCTCATTTTGGATACTTTTAAATCTAAAAAAGAGTTTCATTACGAGCTATATTATAAAAGTTATTTTAAAACTTTGCAAAACTTTTCTCTTTCAAGTCAACATCACAATAGACGCAACTATGGGACACATTGATTAAAGAAATAATTAAAATATCATAACTCTAAAATTGTTCTTGTCGCCAACCATGGTGACCATTCCTAAGGACTTTCGAGACTTTGATATTTTGGCCCCTCCAATTTTGAATACGTTTCGCCGGCCCTGAAATATGATTGTTTTTTTTTCAAATTTTTAATGGCATTTTTTTCATTGAATCTATCAGTATCATTTATCTCTTTGACCAGCATGGTAGACAACCTCTTTTCGAGTTTTTGCTATACGAGGTCAGATCTTTGGCGCGAAAGCGAAGATCTGATTGAAAATGGCCTAACACGGTTATGTTTTGGTTTTGATTAAATTTTTGGAATATTTTGATGTTTCATATGACAGAGGTGTGTATTTTCCTATAAAATTTTACTTATAAAATAGAGTGTAATTTGTTCTTGGTAAAAGATTTCGACTTTTGTCTTCAACTGAAATGCTGTACTTTTAAATTTTTTGTGGCTGATTTCGTCATTTTTCTCGGTGGATAGTTTGTTATGAAAAATTGGCTGTTGGCAATTCCAATTAGGAAGCAAGCGTGATGTTTGTCTGGTTGTTCCAAGAAATTTTCAAGCTATAATGATGGATGCTAGAGAAGCAAACATTTTAAATGATGCACGAACTTACATACATACACATACATACATCATATTTGTCAAAGCAGGTTAACTAAAAGTGGCAACAAAAGTTTTGATCTGAACCTGCTACGCTACATATTATAATTAGTCTATAGTTAAGCAAATAGTTCTAAAAATGAATTAAAAATGATACTCATGTTTATTATCAATATAGTAGTATCAAAAGGCGATGTTAAAATTGAAGATTAACGATATAAAAACTTTAGAAGTATAAGAAATCAACGGATTTAGAAGTGATTTGTGATGCTTCCTTTTTAAAACTAACTGGTAAGATTTATTCCTTATTGTCAATAAGAATTGTTCCTCATTCTCTTTTAGTTTCCTCGTAATTAAACTTAAATTTTTTATTGCACGAATTTCTGATTTTAGGTTGTTCCATAATAACAGCCAAACCTAATTTAACCAGAATTTAAACAGAATACACACATTCTGAACTTATATATGAAAAAACGAGATAACTCGATGGCCATTATGTTTTTTGGTATGTTTTTGTCTCTTGGCAAGAGTTAGCAGCTTTGAATGACATGTGTTTCTAGTGAGGTATCGATATGAAATGCATGATTCTTTTGGCCCTTTCACGTTGCTTTTAATCAAGATCTGGATATAAATTGCCCATTTTAGTCATTATTTGATGTTTATTCCTGAGATAATGTATATACTCAATTATGTGTCAGGGGAAATCTATCTACCCTAAAAGCTCTTTTAAACCTTGAAGGGGGGGGGGGTCATTTATTTTTTAAGTCATAGAGGGGGGCTCAAAAGAGAGGGGCATTTATAAGATAGAAGGATTATCAATAATTCAAGTTTAAAACATTATAAAAATGACCCACTTAATGTGCATGTTCTTTTTGTTTGACATCAGGATCTAAATATAGGGGAATAGAGAATAGAGAAGGGAGGGGCCTATTGTAAATTTTTACTTGATAGGGAGAGGCTTAGCAGAGCGGTGGGCCTAAAAGAGAGGGGGCTTTATAGAGCTTTTAAGGTATCTTTCTAACCAATTAATCTGTGAAGCCCAAATGGGTACACATTAATGAGGTTCTCACCACCAAACTTGCAAACCTGGAAAGTTTAGACATGAAACTAAAACTGGAAAGTTTTTTGGAGCTCTTCAACTAGAGTTGGTGGTTATTGGGGCTAAATAACCTGAATATGCTGTTTGAATGATCAGTCCTGTGCAACTAAAAAAATACACTGCAAAGGAATGATAATAAACCATCATAATAGATTAACAGATCAACCTTTTACCTGTCAAATTAAATCATGCTAAAACAAACATTCATAAAAAGTTCAAAAAGAGAAAAATTGATTGACTTTTAAATGTTGTCTCAATGCTGATTTAATTGAATTCAGACTGTTATGGTTTTTATGCTCTGGTGGCAACATGTTCCACTTAGTAACTGTTCTTGCGTAAAAAGAAATTTTTAGCTTTTTAACTTTGGCAGTAAAGGATTAATGTTCTTTGAAATTCTTTCTGCTTTTCCCATTTCATAACATACAGGGCTGCCAAGATGTTTTGGAGGCCCTGGGCAAATTTAAAAGACAAGGCCCACTGCCAGTGGAGTGAGGAGAACATTTTTACAACCACGTCCTTCAGATTAGCTGAAAATGCATTTCAGAAAAATTACTTGCCAACATTTCTTGCAATCGTTGAAAACTTTTTACTATTTTTAGACATTATTTTGATATGCATCGTTAATTACATTCTTTAAACGAAATTTATTACTTTGCAAGGTCCCCTAGATCTCAAAGCCCTGGGGCAATTTGCCCCTTTTGCTTCCCTTCTGGCGGCCCTGATAATATATGATAATATATGCCATTGTAGATAATTTTTTGGAGTATAATTAGATGTAAATAACTAGTATACAGAATAACTATGTTTTGAATCTAATTCAGTGTTTCCAATGTTATATGCACTAAGTAGTGCCTATTATTTGATAAAGTTAAGAGAGGAGACTCTTATAGATTTTTTCCTTAGATTTGGAACTCCGATTTGATAGTATGAAATGTGTATTGCTTGGTAGACAACAAAATGAGTGAAATTCAAAGGTAAGAATCATTTAGCGTTTGATTTAGAAAATATTTCATTTATTAAAATATATGCTAATAATACGGATCTTAATAAGAGTCATATGGGTTTTGTATAGTACTGGAGTTTCTAAGATACCTGCCCAGACTTAACATTTAGCAGGGCCAATCAACTCAATGGAGTAAAGTACTTTCATCCTCTAAGGAAGAAACCAGAGCCCCCCTTTTGCCACTATTATTGTGTTAAATTCAAAAATGGTACATGATGGTAACATTAGCATAACAATCAATCCCTTTCCCCCATTCAATGGTAAAAGTGTTAGACCACAGATATATCCACATTAAATTAAGGAGTAGTTGGGTGCAAAATCTCAACATTGCTTGTAAAGTATTGTAGCTCTGGGCTGGCGGTTCATATCATTCAACCTTCTTGTAAGTTAAAGGAATTGGGTCATGGTAAATAGACCTATTCTATAGGAGGTCCTTTGGTTTTGGCATGATCGCTGCATTTCATGTGATAAAGGCATCCATTGTTGACAACTTGCTATTGATTGCAACTGTTTTGTTAATCAGTATGAAGTTCATGTTAACAGTTCCAAGTCAACCAATAGCATTGAGGCACGAAAGTCATGACTCAGCAGAGTTAGGTAGCACATTGCGTATACCCCTGCCTTTTATCATGACTCAATGCCTTTAAGGATCTTTTTTGCAATGTCTCTTTTCTTACTTTTTGCAATTTGTAAGCACCCTCTGCATTTTTTAAGAAATATTTTGGAAAATCATGGTGGTGAACCAAAGATGTGGAGATTTCACAATAAATTATGTTTTAAAGGAACTTCCAGAGATCTCCTTTCTGGCTTTACTGTTTTTGAAAAATACCTGAAAAGGTCATTATTTTTTCTGAATCTTTCATTGCAGTCAAAGCTTGTATCATTTCTTTGACTGCTGAGAAATTCTCTGATTGCAGAGAACCCTTCTATGTTGTCTTCTGTCAGTTGCATAGGGGTTGTATTTAATATAAACTGAAATTTCTTATCTTTTCAGTCACAATTTACAATGTAGAATATTTTGTTGACATAGGTCAGAGTTGGATTCTGTCCAGGATGCAAACAAGAGATTAACTAGAAAGCTGAAGCAGCTCCTGCAAAAGAAAAGGACTCTGAGGTAATTCTTTGTTATAATCTCCACTGCAACCATTGATGAACCACTGCAAATTTTATACAAGACAAAGTAAAGCGATTTTAATATGATTGAAACATGGTTTTGAACCTTGGCAACTCCAAATACTAGCAATGTCATATTTAGTGTTTTCTTTAAATGCAATATTTTCTGTTTTTTGTGATTGCCAATGAAGATACATTTGCAAGATCTTTTCAATAATCAAATGACAATAATGAAGTGATAGATAATACTTCCCAGCTCAATCATCACTTCAATATACCACACTAACTGAATCTTCTCAATGCTTCAACAGTTCAGTCCTCGAAGGCTTGCTTGAAACATCTTTGCAACTCGACTCACAATTACAAGATGTTAAAGATTTGTACACTGGCATTAGCAATCAGTCAATAGGAAAAACAGAAGAGGTAACTGACAACAGAAATGATGGATTGTATTCGAATAATGTATGATCATAATCATCAGAGATTCATAGGTTGCTTAAAGGCTCTTGCGCAACCGGCATGCTTTGCGATTGTAATTCCAAAACCGGCCTAAGATCATGTTGGACGCTAAATATAGTAACCTATTTGGTGCTCATTGAATGAAATACGTCGCTAGGGGATTAATAGAGCTATCAAGGTATGTGAATTGCTAAACACTGGTAATAATTACGACAATGACAGACGCTAAATTACGCGGCAAATTTCCTACTGTCTTCAATTTTTTCTTGTTATCGTCAAGCTATACCTCTGCGATTTCAGTATCATATCTCTGGGAATATATCAATTTGCGTAATCTACATATGACCTGACATAAATCATGCCCAATGTAAGTGAAATCAGCATTTAATTGACCCTTGCAACAACCTTAAATTGTCTCCTAAATAAGATGCTAATTCATACTCCCGTAGATGGTAAAGAAACTTGAGCAATTGAATCAAAGAATTTACACAACTGTTGCAGTTCATGGGGAAACTCCAGATCATGGTCAGTTATGATTATTATTATGTTGATTTAATGGTTACATTTCTTACTTTCAGTATTTCATTCATTGTATCATTTGCATTAAGCGCATGGAACTCCCTAATCATTTTGTTTAGGATCCAAGTCTTATAAAAGCGTCGTTAATTGTCAGTCAATTATCTTCTACTAATCAATATTACGTGTCATTATTTACCCTTTTTTCCATAAGAACCAGATAATTTTTTTCCAAGGGTTCTCATATTTTTAGGATAATTTAAAGTTCCGGTGTTCTCAATATTGTTGTTGTTTCGATATTAATTTTCCCCAACTGCATCCTATTAATGGTTTCTAAGACGTTTTGCAAGTATTTCCAATGATGCTGTGAATTTGCTATTAAAATCTGCTCTGTTTTGCTAACATAAAAGAAAATTATCAAAGCATGCAGCAAAATAATGCATATTACAATTTTAAGAAATGATGGGAGCAAACAAGTCTTGTTAGGAAGAATATGAAAGTGATCTGCAAAATATTGGAAAGTTATGCATCCGGGAAAGATTTTTTTAAAGTTATGTTAACCGTAAGAGTTCCTGAGAGTAGGAAAAACGATTGAAAATTATTTAAAAATTGATCGAAGTAAGCAGAATATCAGTGTTCCAATTTGATCCCATTGATTTCACACAAAAAAATATTGTCTGAGAATTTACTGTCAAGAGCTGTTAATCGAAATACAGGAAAATAAATTTAGGCCCAAGTCATTTATTTTGATAAGCCAATGCACTTATTGATGCTCGTAAAGATCAAGGGAGGTCACAAAATCAACTTACTTTTTTCTGAATTTTGCCATTTTTCTAAATTCTCAATTATTATGTTGTTGTTATAAGTCTGTTTCGTTTTGAAATGATTTTCGGGTCCTTATTTTTCAGAGGCTGAATTGTTTCCATCGAGGGTCTCTCCTGAAGAGTATTTTCAAGAAGAAGAAAAATTTACAAGCTCTCTCACCAATTACACCAGGAGACAGTTTTTTGAAGTAACCCACTGGCTAATATTCTATCCTCAAAGAAACCTTGTTTCACCTTATATCAACTGCAGTTCATGCCCCAGAACTTATTCTTTCCTTTGCGTCCCTAAAGCTTAAAAAAATGGAAGACTCCCGTCAAATACCTCATGAAAAAAACAAAAAAAATGTTCTTCCTGACTGGCTTCTAGGCCATTTGTTGCAATTCTGTAGTATTCGATTTACTTTTGCATTTAAAGTTCGAGTATTTTAATCTTAAGTGAACATTTCCCTTCAAAAGTTTGAATTTCCTTACAAATAACTGTTTTGGTATCTTCCTTGAGTAAGAGGATTCGTCTTTTCAATATTGCTTACTCTTCTCTATATATTTGTTTTGTTTGACGTGCGTTCTCAGTTGTTACCTCAACACGTTTACAAGTCCATCGATCTCCACTTGCACAAATCAAGGACTTGTCGGTTAAATGATCAGTTTATCTGCTTTTGTTTCTCCAAACCCCTTCCGCTTTCCTTAACTGTCATTCTTTATTGTTAATTTCTTCTCTATAGGGAATAGCTGATATGGCTGGCTCTAAAGATAACCTCCGCTACGAAATACTAGAAGTCAGCAAGCCAGAACTGTTTCTTATTAAAGGTATTTCTTTGTCTTGAAGTGCCACACATCTTGAGGTAGCAAGCCAGTATGTTTATTCAATGATTATTTCAGTGAAATTTTCCATGAAGTCGGTATTATTCTTCTAATTCCCAGGGCAGGTGGACCTGATGAGCTACTGCATTTATCTTTATTCATTGGCTAACGCAAAAATTCTGTCCACATTCAAGTTTGCCGTAGAAACTCTTACAATACATTATGAACGTGGTTATACGCTCTTGAAAGCATTTCATTATTACGAAATCATTTCTTAGTTAATAGGCGTTTGTATTGAAAAAGAGTCAACACGCCAAATAGAACGAGTCAACTTAAGTCAAGTCAAGTTTTAAAGGCATTTGACACAGGTTGACCTATCAAATTGCGCATAGAGAAAAACACGTGAACAGTTTCCATCTTTCTGAAAATCAGCGCGCCGTGGTTTCACGTTAGCAGTTTCCAATTCCTTTCTTGTGCGCGTGCTCTGGTCAATTTGGCCTAAGGTATTTTTGGATTCGCTGTACTTATGCATGTCAAATTCCTTTAAGGTTTCGAAAAATGATTTCATTAGAGAGATACCTATTGAAAAGAAATCGATTTAAAGAATCATGTTACCTGATCGAGGCTAGCCTCTTTGTCATGTATGTGAGCCATGTCTTTGAAATTATGATGTGTTATTTCTTTCTTAATGTATGTTCTTTCATTCCAAGGGGAATCCGATGAAACTCTTCAGTCCAAATGCAAGGAGTTGAAAAGACTTCAATCTGTGTGAGTGAAAACATTGCAACCTTTTGAATTGTCAAAAACATAACATTTTTACAATATGAATTAAACGCCTTTGCAGAGGACACCTGAACATCTTTGTTTTGTAAATATAAAGTAACATGCTAATGGAGATTAAGGAAACTAACGAATGGCTTTGAAAATCTTAGAAATTTGCAATATGGATGTCAAAGTCATTAGAAATCATTTAAAAACGCTTTGGTTTAAGTTTTTCCCTAAATACAGAAGTTACCTGAGTTACCAAGATAACTAAAATGTTATTTTCGGTCAAATTGGATTATTTCGTTATGAAAATCGAATGCCTTCAATTACCCTAATGATGTCAGTTGAGTATTAAGGATTTAAGCCAAAATTGTTTGCAATTATCATCGATAACAATTTGGTGGTCACTAAAGATTAATCATAACGTTAGGTTGCCTCAGTTTTGATTCACTGGCAATATCTTTGAAACAAGTTGTCTTATTTCAAAGAACGACATGTTATGGCAGTGATGCAGTTCTATTAAAACAAGATGCAGGCTTATCTCCTCCCTTGGTGGCCCTAGCTCTACAGCCCTGTGTCATGGCCAACTCACATGGGTGGCATATGCAGCAGAATAAAGGTGGAAGAGGAATCTGGGAAAGTTTAATGACAACGCAGTTGCTATTCCTGCTCACTATTTGGTATATTCAGTTTCACAAGTGTTAAAGTAAATCCAAATTTTTACAAACAAGTTTTCATATAGTTTGGAGTCCTGAAATCTAATTCCCTGATAATGAGACAAGCATAGGAAAGTTATACAAAATATGTCAACTGCAACATTGAGTTTTAGAGAGTACAGATTTGCTTGATAATGAGGCCCGCCCGTAGCACTATATGTTGCTTGTTATTAATCGTTTTAAAAAATGTCTTATATTACATCATTAATTTGTTCTTTAGATATGTGAACAGTCAGACCATCAATTTAGGGAGTCTTTGCAAGCTCCGGCGGCTTCAAGCTTGTCTTTACAAAACTGAAGATATTATGTCGAAAATTTCTTCACAGCCTTCTTCCCTGGACGTTGAAGCATTGAGGTATTTACAATCAAGCACTGTTTTTCTTCTCAGTTTTAAATTGTATTTCCTTTATGTAATATGATACTTATCAATCAATTTTTCTGGAATATATATTTGTGTTTTGTAGATAAATCACTAAACTTGTAGTACTTTTATCTGCCCTTCTTGTAGACTATCTCAATTTAATTTTATATCATGAAGGTATTTTCTGTCTTAAAATTCCTTCCAGCTCAGATATTGCTCATCTTCATAAAAAGTGCGAAGAAGGCAAGCGTGAATTGCGAAGGCTTTTTGAAGAGAATCTGACGTCATTGGTTAAAGAAATGAGTGAATTTCAAACTGCCAAAGTCGTCAGCGGCAATTTCGATCTTAAAATTGCTAGACAGGATTATTTCATTTCAAAGCAAGATGCGGTATAACGATTTTTGTTCATTTTTATTGTTTAGTTCATAATTTCTTGAAATTGCAACTCAATTTGCCCTCAAGGTTGCGTAGATGGTGTTACAAAAAGATAGAATTTATACTCTGAATTGGAGTGAGGGTGGCGCTAGTGTTTGTGCAACGGAAGCATGCTACCAGGCATAGGTTAAGGAATTCCTCGATAAACTGTATCCTGGAATGTAGTAATCAAAATTCAGAGATTTGATCCGCTGAACTGATCGAAAATATTACCATATCTTGCCAGTATAAGGTTTTTACTCTTTAGATATAAATGCAAAGCTTTAAATAGAATCATTATTTTTAATGCTTCATAAGTAGCATATGAAAATCTGTCATATCAGGCCATGCTGGGAATGGCGTGCGATCGCACGCCCACGCCTTGGCACACGCCTTCCGTTGCTCAGAAGTGCAGTTTATCGCACGCCTTAAATAATCTGCAAATAACACTTTATTCTAAAGTGACCAATATGGCCCAATGTAATTTTTTTATCATAATTCAACTATGAACGAACGGTGATAATCACGCATTCGTTTCTATTTGATTTCTACTTGACGAAAAATTTGGCGAATATTCTAATTTGCTTGAAGTTATGGTAAACGTTTTTTGAATGAAAACATCCACTTCTCGATTTCTTCAGATTCTAGTAGCCGGACTTTCAAGGCACACGATGATACCATGTTTAAAACTAACAGAAGTTCTGAAAGTGGCGAAAAACCCCTGTAAACGAAGGTTTCCATAATTTCTTTATCAAAGTTTTGAGTTGAGGTCTGAAAATCGCTCGACCTTTTAGGCCGATAATCCTTGCTTTGCAGTTGTGGTCGCTTGTCTCATTTGCAATAACTGCAGTGGAATCACGATATAACGAACCCCGGATATAACGAACTTCCCGGTATAACGAACTAAATGCCTGGTCCCTTGGATTCTGCCTAACAAACTCCTTACAAATTCTCTCGGTATAACAAACCCCGGATATATCGAACTCGCGTTATCACGAACCATTTTTAGGTCCCTTCATCATGATTACCCTTGATATAACGAACTTTCATAAATTCTTCATCTGTTATTTTGTTTATTTATTTTCGGTATTCATTTATCACTTTCTCTTGGGGAGAAATCATTTTTATAATCGGCAAAATATGCCAATGATACATTTCAAGTACTGGCTGATGGACTCAGACCACGAGATGAAAGTTCGATTGCGTCAGAAATTACTGCGAATGAGTACATTGACACTAACAAATAACTTCTTACATATAAGGCATTAGCAATAAGCGACGACAAAACTTTATTGAGAGACCCAGATGGAGAAGCAGAAAAAGACAAGTAAGAATGTGAAGTAATTGAAGACATCATTCAGGCACCAACTAGGAGCGAAGTGATACCAGCTTTGCTAATCTCTTGGTCCCAAGTTATAAAAGGAACATTAAGATTTTCATTTTCAATGACCAGCCAGTTGTATTATTTGAATTCAGATTGGTTTTTTTGAGTTAAATGGTACATGTATGGCTGTACATGTGCACAGAGGTTGGAGATAGCCTAAACAAGCCCACCACAGGTTTTTTAGGCGTGAACTGCGAAAGGACCCCCAAAAAACATTATCTCTCGGTTTAACAAACTCCCGATATACGAACTATTTTCTGGTTCCTTTCAGAGTTCGTTATATCGGGATTCCACTGTAGTTACAACCCCATGGCACATGTAAGGCTTTGTTTATTTAAACAGGCTTATTGATCTTTAAGCTTTAAATGATTTGACCCAGATTACACTGTGGTTTACGAGTGTATCTTGCAAGTGCGATCAGTAAAATCCCGTTTTCTCAGGACTCACAATTCCTCTATATACAGTTTACTTTATGTGCATTTTTCTAATCTGTATGCAAATACAAAACTCTTTAGAAACTTCTACTAATAAAATATGGCCAAAAATGTTCCAAAATTAAGAGACTTTGAATTGTGAAGATTTAGCTACTGTAGCTTTCTTACAAAATATAAACATGCAATTAACCATTTAATTCGTTCTAACACTAGTCAACAGATAAGTTTTCTTTATGGTGAAAACACAGTTAGAATTCTTAAATTTTGAGAACGAGATTGTCAGGAGAAGCAGACCAGAAGGGTTTATAAACTGCAGGATTACATAATAATTAACCTACCTTATTGTTAATGTTTTTCTCTTTAATATGTTGGGTTTGACGTTAATAAAGCTTGTTTGATAAAATGTATTGATTGGACTAGCCTTGCTTATGTTTTCTTATGATAAAGTTATGTAGTCTAGTCCATATACAGCTGACTGTATTATTAAGTATTTTGGTGCAATAGCACACCATTGCACGCCTTGGCACCACAAGGAGTGCGATTCATTGCACCCCTGCCATTTTATTCCCAGCATGGCCTGCATATGGTGTTCAATGCCTAATCCCGAATCATCAGGCAACTGAATAAGCAGCTAGAAAATATGCCTCTCTGCTTCTTAATTTCATATTTTTATCTTCAAGGTTATTGAAGAGCTGTTGCTACAAAATTCTCGTTATGAATTTTTATCGATGTTATACGAAATGGAGGCCAAATCTCATAGAGAGACCTATCATTTGCTCTCTACTGCCAAAAGTATTTTGAATAACGACCGTGATGCTCTCGGAAAGAGGCTTGTATCTTTTTCAGATGATTTTCAAATTAACATGACTTTGTTTATTATATTGCCGTTGATTTCTACATCAACGTAAACTTTTTAATTGATTATAATCATGAAATGGTTTTCTTCAAGCTTTTCTTCCCAGTGCTGGTTTTTTGCCTTAACAAATGAGCAGGAACTGATGCAGGATCACGTGCAAAAGAAGCCGTTGAGAGAGACTATCGATTCACGTGACTATTACATGCAGAATCTGTTTAAACTCTTTGGTGTGTATTATTACCAAATTCACATTTGCGTTGTGCCATTTTCGAAGAACACGAAGTTTGTTATTGCTGTTAACAAATAAAAACCAGTTGTGGCCAGTAAAACCTTCTTAAAATACCAACTAGCCAAGTGTCATGTTTATTGTTGTTGACAAATTTGAAGTACCACAAAGAGCCTTGTCTGTGCCCTCTTTTGTTGTAATTACTTAAGTGGTCTTCACTTGCTCCTGGAGAACAGTGAGTAGATATAATCTAAGCTGACAAGGATATTCTGAAGGTTATTGTCATCTGGATAAGGTATAGACGCTCCTATGAAGGACCTATGTTAAATCTGCGTTAGTTTTGCTTTGAAAAAATGAAACATGCTATTTTATTGAGATATACTCTGTAATATTGATAATCATCCATATTATTTCAGCACCTGTCTCCCAAATATCCTTTTTCTTCGTTACATGTTTGCCATGTTATCTTTAGAAACAAACGCCGAGGAGTTAGAGAAAAGGCCATTCATTACTTACGCTATGCTAGAAGACAAGTTTAATAATGCATTAGCTAGAACCAAAGACCAAGCATTCGACTTCAATGCTGATCCAGAAACTGAACCTTTGGATGTTGTGTAAGTTGTATTTGTTTCCTGCACAAATACTGCGAAATTTAGAAATAGCACAAATGTTTTGTGCTTCTACAAGATTCATGAAAAAATTCGCACGAAACTTGATAGACACGTTGTGCCTACACGTTATTGATTAATGCAAATGCGTCCATAAGGAATCAACATCTTTATACTCAATAATTTTCTTTTAATATTTTGAGATCTTAAGGTTTTGGCAATCTTTAGAAGAATGGGTACAGTTGCTCCTCCATGTCCACTTGGTTGTCTCGTGCTTGATCCTTGATTATCGGAATGTTGCCGGCAGCCTTAGAAATTTTGTACTAAGAATAAATATTAGAGGATCTGCTGAAATAGAGGAGCCCTAGGGGAAAGGAGGCCTAGGGGAAAGGAGGCCTAGGGGAAAGGAGGCCTAGGGGAAAGGAGGCCTAGGGAAAAGGAGCCAAGAATAAGCACTGAATATATACATATGTAATGGTGCCTCTCGTATCAAAACGATGCGCCTCATTCTTGCGATTACTATTCACCCTTAACAGTCAGCGTCTTTTTGCAGAAAGCGGCAATTAGAAGATTGCACGTCACTGCTCTTTGGAAACGAGGCGAGCAGAGGAATTGAAGACACACAACAGGTGCATGTCGTTTTAAGAACGTTCCTTGCTTTGATTTAGAATGGCTTGAGGCTTTTAAGGTGAAAGAGTGCTGCCACTACGAATTCAAGGTGTGAGGGTGCTGCATTTTGAAAGAAAATGTGGATTCAGATAATCATAGGAGAGCAAGCAAGTTAAAATTACTGTTTACCAGTCTGTCATGAAGCGCTCGAAGCCTCCTTATAGGCAGAGCTGTACACACTGTTTCATGTATAGAACAAGGCGGTTCTGAATTGAGTTTCGGTAATCGCAGTAAGCGTGAAACTCGCAGTAGCAACTAAAACCGTCCTGTTTTGTACACTAAATAGCGTAAGAACAAGCAAATATCTCTGGCTGGAACGTTAGTCATTGAAATGTATCAAATGCAACCTCTCAAAGCTTCACCTTTTACGAGCTAAGCCCCTAAGAAGATCTGTACTTAGAGAAAAAGCCTTTTAGAGAAGTATTTGTCCTGGGCCAACAGCCTTGAAAGGCAGGATGGCGTGTTCCTTTCCTCGCCGACTTAAGCTTCCTCTGTATTGTAACTAAGCACCTTTTTGCTGCTGGGTGGAGGTAAGAGGCGAGGCAAAAAGTCTATTTATCAAAATACTTAAAGTAATTATTGTATCATGTTTCATTAAAAGAAGATATAATTTAATGTAGGTTGAAAACGTAGCAGATCAATGTAGATCAAGACCAGTGTTGCTGGTTGCTGACGCGAGTCCTGGTTGTGTTGCTGTCTTACATTTTCTGTCACTGTTTTTTCTCATATCCGGTTCTACACTCAAATAATAACAAAATACGCGAGATATCTCTCACTCGTGTGAAATAGTAATTTGTATTTACTGTTTTTGACAGGAGATGTTCGAGAAGATATCCAAAATTGACGATGTTCTTAAAACGATTGAGAAATCGGTTAAAAGTGCAATATCAGAAATTGACGGCAAGAAAAAGGTGCTTCCCTTAGATTTCATTTCTTTCATTCTTAATAAACTTTGACAATAAATCATTAAATAAACAAATATTTTTTCTTTGTCAACAGATTCTGGCTGCTGACTCTTTGAAAGCCCTGGAAAGAACGCTGTTCACAAACTTTTTCAATGACCCAAGCAGACTGAAAAGGATCGTCTCAGAACTCAGAACGAGGGCTGAAGCCATATCAACTTGATTGGACCTTTTTAATTTAGTCAGGACGCCATTGTGTTTTTTCTTATTAATTATTTCAATTAGGCCGATTTTATTTTGTTTTGTTTATCGGAAAACAAACTTGGCTTGACAATGTTGTTAGGGATGAACATGAATTAATGTTTCTGAAGAATTTGAAAACAGAAAACAGAGCATACTTGAAATCTACTTGAATAAACTTGAAATCAAGGCTATCGTTAGCTGTTGTGCTCAGGGAGTGTCTAGGTCCCGTATGCTGACAAGTGGGTGAGCCTTCCTTTATTAACCGACAAGTTTGAAAATTCACCGACGAAGCAATCCTAAATAGTAAAAAACCTGTTTGAAATTGGAATTTTTTTCCAAGGGAGTGTAACACGCAAGTTCACACGCAACGCTTTCTTTCCCTCCCATAGCTATAGCATTTGTGAAGTAGAAAATTGATTTGTGAAATGTATTTTTAAAGATATGAGCAAACACTTAATCATTCGTTTTGTATTAAAGTTCGTGTTAAAAAATAGTCACAGGCCTGGGGATGTACTGTTTTACCTTATTGTAGATTTGTTCTTGGAAATGTTAAGGAATCGAGAAACTATTGTGAATATAAAGATCAGGTTGTCTGCAAAGCTTCAGCTTAATAAATATCTCAATAATAATTTCCCGTTGCCCGTTTACAGCGAATAACAATCCTTTTGATTACACTTTATACAGATTGGAACCTTTTTAGATTGTCTCCTTCGTGATAATAAATAAGATGCGGGTAGGAAGTTGTTTGTGACTAGCCGATTTAACGTGCTCACACATTCTATAGTTACCAGCTTTTTGAAATGAGGCGAAGGACTAAACAATAAAAAATGTTAGTAGATGTTCGGGTGACCACAGTTAGAGAAAGATCTTTGTATATAATTTATTCAAACACTTTGCATAATTATTTTGATTGCAACAGCATCGTCGACCTATCAAAAGCATTTTAATTTTCTATTCGCACTACATATGTGGTAGAATTGATTTCATAGATGGAAGGCTCTGTATGACTGATTACAATTTTAAACCAGTACTTAATTTCTCAATGTGATTGGTACTTGGCTAGGCAGTTTTGCATTTTGTGTGATTATTATTATTTTATTATTATCTGTTTATTTAAAGTAGGCGTATAAAAATAGCTACAAAATAAAAGCTAATCCAAGCCTACTACAAAGTAAAATCGTACAAGGATCATGCATGAGCCCTTTTCTGTTTCGCCACACATAACGAAGCTGACGGCGTTTTATCTTTCCTAGAAACATTACTAAATCATTCTGAACTTCTTTCCTCTAGTCAAAAGACACCTCATTATAAATGAATAGAATCATTTTATTAATAAAGTGAACATAAAATGCTACTGCGCAATGAGCTTTATTCCTGCTGTTGTTTATTCTCTCATCTGACAGCACAAGGCACTCAGCTCTGTTACTGCAAAGCACCAAAAGCCTTTCAACAAATATCTAGAAGACGTTTTTATACTTTAAAAAAAGGCTAAATCATGAAGGTATATGACGAAATTCTGTTAGAGATTTGCTTATGAGCTTATAAGTAACATCTTTAACGTACTTTTCAAAACAAGAAAATTAGAATCTGCCCGTTGTCTCAATATCAGTTTATCTCAAATTTAGCGAATTCAACTTCAAGTAGACTTTCCAAAATTTGGTTTGCAATTTAATCGTGACTTAGGCAAGGCAATAATGTTTGATGATGAAGCCAAAATACTGGGTACATTGGCATTTTAATTCTACCGCTAACTATCTAAAGATCGAGACATACAACAATCTTTTAGCTGTCATTTTGCTGGTATTTTTTCTAGACTTACCTTTCAGAGTACCTATATTACAAACAAATTGACTTATTTATCCACATTACACAAAAAACCCTTATACTGCGGCTAAAAACAAATCGAAAATTTTGCAAGGAAGGAAAGTAAGGAAAACACAAGTTTGTAGCTTCTGATATTTTCTGTATGAAGACCGCCATGAATAGCATTCGTTTGACTTTGAAAAAATGCTGATCAAATGAAATTTTATCAGAGTTAATTTAACGAGGGATGTTGTAGAATTTTATTTCGTTAGGAGTTTTAATTTTAGCTTATTTGAATTATTCTCATTTGGGTGTCAATTGTCATGCTTCAATTCGGTATTTAAGTCCTTATATGCTTCTTTGATGCCATTGGGAATGAAAGAGAAGGAGTTATGTAGTTTGGGCAGTGTGGGTCCCTGACTCAGATGGGTGTATTTAATTGCTTTGGGTCAGGATTATCGTGCTTATTTCGTATGCTGTTTCTACGCTGTTCTCTTCTCCCGTCCCTCCCTCCCCTTTTAATTTGTGTTTCTTCAAATCCTTGTTTATTCTATTGTATTAGGCTAGGGCTTGTTTACATCACGGAATTCATTTCAAAACTCTTGTTATTTTTCGTTTAAGAAAGACAAGGCTATTAATATCTTAGGTATCTAAGGTAGGACTGGTGCATCGGCCTTAGGTGCTGGTGCCCAGAACTTTAAGCTGCTTGTACTTGAGCCTATCAAGCTATATTAAAGGTTAGGATTTTGTATGGGTTAGGTGAAGCAGCTTGTGTCGATGCACCAACGGCCCAAGTTGCTTCCTGTGATGAGGGAATGTAGACTCAAGACCTGTTTTGCTGAGGGATGTGGCAATGTCTTCTGGGGGAGATTTTTTATTTTAATTAATTCAAGCTAGAACAAGGTAGGTTTTGTAAAATTTGTATTGATCTATACTTACAACGGGACAAGAAATGGGAAAAGAAAAGGATCCTCCTTATTTACCCGCCAAATTGTTTTTCAAAAAGTTCAACATAATATTTGACATCTTAGTCAGCACTGGGGGCGGGGGAAGGTTTAAACTGGAGGAGAAGGGGGTCTAAGCAACCTTCTCGGCTTTGCACTACCGTGTATTTTTTGGACTGAACCTTTTTATAAAAAAGCATTCTTCCAATGTTGAAAAGGTTTTAGTTTCTTATAATTTTCGTAAATCAATATCTACTGCTTGCTAAACTACTTCTACTGTATCCTCCCCTCTTATGAGGCTTTATTCGACAAACTTTAATGAAAATATATGGGTTTTTTGAAATTTATCCTTTTTAACTTAAGCAAATCTTACAAAATGCAAGCATTTACACAAATTGATGTTTCAGCACACAAAAAAGGGAAAATGGGTGAAGACTTATCAATTAAAAGGTTTTGGTAAATTAGCTAAAACTTTTCTGATATTACCCCACAGTCCATTTATCTAGGAGGTATTCTTAAGAAAAAGGGCGCTGTTAAGGGATTTTTATAGCGTGAATTTCAAATCTCGGAAAGTCCAAATCTTAGAAAGAGGAAACAAGGAAAGCATATAAATTAAGCATGCAAGTTTATGATCTAAATCACATCTTCTATTTCGTAGATTTTAGAATGGAAAATAGCAAAGCACTAAAGGCACGACCCAAATGTCATTTCTGCAGGTTTTCACAAGCGAATTCATTTTGTAATCAACCGGGTCCCTCTATCTACTCTTCAGTCACTCTTGTCTTTCCAATATTTGAGGCCATAGGCTGCGTAGCTCAGGCAGTAGGCATAAAAACGGCAGGTCAGCAGGCATACAAACGGTGCCAAATGTGTAGTCAGATTAAAAAACTATTAAGGAACCTTGAAGGCATTCGACACAGGTAGAAGTGGCTTACAGCCACTCGACCACGAGCGGTTGACCAATCAAATTTCGCACAGAGAAAAACACGTGAACAGTTTCCGTCTTTCTGCAAATGGGTGAAATCCTAGAGCAGCGCGCCGTGGTTTCACGTGAGCAGTTCCAATTCCATTCTTGTGCGCGTGCTCTGATCAATTCGGCCTAAGTTATTTTTGGATTCGCTGTACTTATACATGTCAAATACCTTTGAAGTCAAAAAGAGTTCCAAAAATTAGTAACTTCAAGAACTAGGCCATCAGCTAGGTTCTTACAAGATAAAAAGCGTGTAGTTGGACCCTAGTTGGGCTTCAAGTTAGAATTTTTTGCCCCTCATTGCAAAAACTGATCCACAATCAAAACCATGGCCTCGATAGAATACTGACGATTTCGATGTTGTGCTCAACCATTCCCACTGCCCTGTCAATGAACATCAATGTAGTATAGAATCAAGACAGATGCTTAATAAACCGCGTCTTCTCCTGAACCTGTCAAAATTTAGGCCAAATGAAAAAGATCTAAACCTTGTTGTTGTTAAACCAGAAACTTTACTCACCTTTTCCAGTTGCCATGTGTTAATGCACAGTTCAAGAATTTTGCTGGAAGACTACAAACACCATTTGCAAATTCTATTTATCACACTACCGTTAAACGCCATCCAGAATAAAAATCGTAATTTCAAGCTTCAGACTCTGCATTATCACAAAACATCCACAAAACATCCGCGGAGAGCCTCCTCATTTAAGGTATTCTATCAGTTTCTCATGGGACATTTTGCACAAAGAGAACCTCAAACAGAATCCTTCTGGGAAGTACATATGCATTCAATGCATTCGTACCGAACTCCCAAGCGTATGCAATGCGTGCAGCAAAGGCACCAATGTTTTCGACGATTCTCGAAGTCAACGAGTGAGAAAACAGACAATAATTTGCAATATTGAAAGCATAATAAATCAGTTTTATGTTAGCTAGCACTATCATATTTACATCTTATTTCATAATATTATACAAAATGATTAAAATTGTAATAAGAAAATTTTACAATTTAACTAATAATCTTTCATTTATTATTTATTATTAAGCAGCTAAACATAAATAAAAATTATCAACTATAATAAGAGGTGTAGATAAGAGGTGGTTTGATGTAAATTTACGAAACAATTCCGAATGGGGTTTTGAAGGTCGATTAGAAAAGGGTTTATTTAGATGACTCAGAGACTTACGTGAAAAGTAATTTTCTCTTCCCTAACCCGAATGATAATTGCAATGGCATTACGCTTGCATTAATGGTCTTGAAATTGTAATTATTAAACTGTCCCTCCTGACAATTTCCTTTGCATCCACTACTATATTTCTTTACTTTATTCATCAGGAATTCAGAATGCGAGGAACTAGGTAAATAAACAAGATCGTTCTTTTACAATGTTCTTAAATATGATAAAGATAGGGACAGTGCGGTACGGTGCTCTTCCTGTTGCTTTGCAGCGAATTAAATTGTCGTGCCCATGGCAACGGAATGGCCCATTTAAGGTCTGACAGAATGCCTGGAAGACTATCCATTTTCCACTATGGATAATCAGTTCATGGTTTAACTGATCAACGAAACTTATAAAATGTTAAAACGAATCGAACAAAGTTGCATCATCTTCTGTCACTCCTGTTTGCTGATTCCGAGGCTTGTTATCCTTTTTCTGATTGTAAAACGAGGTTGCCTCTTCTTGTGTTTTCGTGTTAGCAAATTTAAAAGGAGATGTGCCGACCGCATTTGAGTCAGTTTTAAACCTATTATTCGAAAGCCATTGATTATTCTGGGGTTCGTTAAGATACTGCCAAACTGGGCGTTCCCCCAGTTTTAGTTTTTCCTCGTTATGGTATTTCACAGTTCCCATTCCATCAAGTTTATTACTTGCATGAATTGCATTGAAAATTCCTTGGCCATTTTGCCAAAGGATCGGTTGTTGCTGTTGGTTCTGCGTCTGCTTAGCAACTTGAAGCCATGGATTCAGAGAATTCAGGTTTGTAATCGCCGGCCCTTTTCTGTCCTTGTTTTTCAAGTTTACTGCATTTAGTTCTGATTGGATCTGAGAAACTCCTTTGTCACTTTTGTCGTTATTGGACCCGTTTGAAGTACCCGTGATGTTGTTTGTGTCGCTGTTGTTTGTTCCAGTTTTCGTTATTTCAGCCGAAGAGACATTGCCACCTACATTTGAAGTGCCATTTGAAGTGCCATTTGAAGTGTCATTATTGTTCATTTTGAGCGTTCCAGTGGAAGTTTCATTGCGTCCGCCAGATGTCACGTTGCCTGTTTTCTCATTCTCGTTGAACAATGCGTCAAGCTCGGCGTCTGTTCCATTCAGCTGTGTGTTGTTCAGGCCAGTGGTGTTTATTCCGCCAAGACTCTCTCCTTCATCTGGCATTTCTGGATTACTCAAATCAATATCACCCCCTTGATAAGGATTGGTGGTTGCCCAATTTTTAGTCTCGTTGACTGAAGTTTTATTTGGCGCACGTGTTGTATATTGTGGGGGTGGGGGCAATGTTGGAGCTATCGTTGTCGTCATTTGTGAGAATGGTTCTTTGGTAGCCTTTTCAGTTTGGTTGATCTGGCTTGCTCCAGATGTCGTATTTCCTTCCTGTGGGGCAGTTGCATTCATGCTTGTGTTGCTGGCAATGGTATCTTCATTCAAAGGGTTTTCTGGGTTGTTTTTCAAAGCTTCTGGCTCCTCTGCAGACGGAGATTCAGCTCCAGCCTTTGCGGGGCTTCCCCCACCAACACTCACGTGCTCAATAGAAATATTTGCCGACCTGATTTGATAGTTAATAGACACTGCTGCAGTGCTTGTAGAGGATAATATGCTCCCGTCTGTGAAAAGATAAAGTCGAAAATATTTTACCTTTCTGGTACATTTTTGTCACATTCTTCACAACTTTTTTCAAAACTTTCACAGAAATGCTTTGTTAGCTCAAACGTCAAAGATATCTTTAATGCTTTATGATGTGCAGAGCTAAGTTCATGATCAGTATGAAGATATTCCTTTCCTTGCTTTCCATTAGAAAAATAGGTTTCAAATGGAAGACGGGAGTTGCAATAAACTGTAATTTTTTTATATTCACGTCAAAGTAGCATTTTTGGGATTCGCAAAATTATTGGATAATAGCCGCAAATACTAATGAAGCATCTTAAAAGACAAAGTACATTAATAATAAATAGCGTTGAATGTGGAAGATCAAACTAACCCTGCAATATCCTGTACTGTTTGATAACCTGCTTGTCGTCTGATGATATGACATGAAAGTCGTAACTTCCGTTGTACCTTAATTGCTCTCCATTTCCTTTATTCTGAAGCCTGAAATTCATACCAATAGGAAGTGGACCTTCGCGAAGAACATACTCGAGAAGTGTGGAGGAGTGTGCCTCGAGCTGGTAGCCGTCCTTTTGATGTTCGCCTCGATCTGGGAATATTATCAAGTCAAATTCTGCGGTGTTTATGAATTTGGCGTTGACATAGCGAATGTTTCCTCTGGAGCTTGGCGCTGCGAAGGAAGATCATTTGGAAATACTCAGAGTGCTCATGTTGTGACCTGTAGTTAAGTTTTATAGAGTAGTAATACACAGAGTGTGTTAACTTTAGGCCATCTTTAAATCCCTCTCACAAACTACAAAACCACTTAGACCCAGCCAAAAAACTTAGTTCCAAGTGTTTCAAGCTTCTAAGTTTATCCACGACGAAGATTCAGAACGTGGATTTGATGAATTAACGATAGCTTTTTACGAATCCCCGGGCACTTACTCCTCTACTTTTAGTTTATATTTAACCACTTAGTGGTATGAAAATTGGCCCCTTTCAACAAAATCCTGCCATAAAGCAACACCTGTTTCTTTTACTGTAAGATTATCTTGAAAGCATTCCACATCTGGATAGAAATTCCCTGCTTACCTTTGGACACTATGCAACATACTGTTTTGTCGGTACCAAAGGTTTATTTCGTTTTGGCATTTTCTAACTCTATGACCTCAAGAAACAAAAGAAACGCATAAGAAAATATGAATGCACATTACATTTCCCAGCTTTCTTAGAACGTTGAAACTTTATGATGATGGCGTTTAAAGCCTGTTTTAAGGATTCCTTAAAAATCTTCATGTCGTTGTTTCATCAAAGACATAAGAACATCATAAGCATTATGCAATTGTTGTTTATTAGTGGCCAATCTCAGTTTCAAGATAAGCTTCTTGTGGTGGATTTTTACGGCCATCATTTAGTAGCCTTATTGTTATGTTGACATGTCTGGTAGATTCATATTGAAGACTATATGGCATGGCGCAACAAACTCGTTTTCGTAGGCTCTGAATCTACGGCCACACACTCTTCAACTAATGATTATATAAGTCTATACTGAAACACTTCACTGACTGAAAGATTTGAATCATGATAGGAACAGTAGAATGATCTGCGGTTCCAGTTGTTTCAAAATGCGGTACACACCTGAGAACGAATATGACAAGTAGATTTTTCCATCCGGAGTGATACTGTCGAAGAGAGCCACTAAATCTGAGGAAAACTCAGCCAAAGTTGATCCCATTTCAGCATTGCATTTGCCAATCATGACATGATTACTGGTTGCTACTGGATTCAACTGAAAGCTGATTGGCTGTGAGTTCTGGCTTCTGATTGGTCCATCTACGAAAAGCATTACGCCATCTTGAGCTGACCATGTTAACAAAACGAAATGCCACTGTCCGTCTTCAAGTTTTGTTGTGGCCTAGTCATTAAAGGAAATATATTCATGTTGCTTCTATCAAATATGAAATCTGCATTATTCAGATACGCAAACTATATGCTAACATATTTACATCTAAAAAATCCGTTAACGGAGTTTTTTAGGCAGTGTTCCCATTACTTCGTGTTCTTACATTTTTTGCTTGAACCGTTCCCTGGCCCAATCCATTTACGACAGAGTATGACACGATATATGGTTCCTTTTAAAATGAACCCATTAAATACGGATATGGCAACTCATACGCTGGTGCATAAGACTGGGGTATTGGCAAGGTCATCGGAGCATATTATAGATTGAGGAAGCTAAAACCTTTTTTTTTTGGGGGGGGGGGGGCTAAACATGCTAGAAACCAATAGCAGGGCAATTTTTGGCGTGATTTTAAATACTTTTTGGAAATTTTTGGAGGCTAAAGCTCCATTTCTGTGGTCCCTGGATATTGGACCTTTATAGCTAATAATATCCACAGGAATCATTCGTCTCAAAGAAATATTTGAGTTTATAAGTTGAGATCAGCATTGTATCAGACCCGTCAAAAATTCAATTTTCTCCTATTCTCCAAATTCAATTTTTTGCAAATCTTCTCAAATTTGATTTTAATCATATAATAAGTGTCTTTATAATAGGGGAAAGAGGAAGCACTAGAGCCTCTGTTAGCTTGTCTATTCTTCCACTATTTGACTCGCCTCCTTTTAGAGGCTCTGGTACCCAGAATTCTGGCCACCCTGTGCAAGAACTGCAAACATTCTTTTGGCACAATTTTCCACTGATCAATACAACTATCTTAAAACTTGTATGCAAAAGTACCCGAAGTTAACGGATCATCAACTTAATATTTCTTTTGTAAAACAACTGCAATCCTAAATAAATATGTTGCGAAACAACACCAACAGAATGAAAGTATAATTCACTATCTAGCCCCCCTTATTCTTCACTTCTCCATTTAAAACTGGCAGTACACATTTTTTATAGCAGAGATACCCCCTTTAAGCAGGGGTGGACATTACCATTTACCGAGAACCCTGCTGAAACCATACTGATAGCAAGCCTTACCCTCCAAAACCGCTTTTTGTCAGCAACTTCACCGTAAAGCTCTCCGTTCTTTAGATAAAGTGAGACGCCTTGGCCATTGAAGCCCCCGGAGTCAAACAAAAACTGGGGCGATTGGGAGACAGAAGCATTTCCACTGAGCTTGACACGCATTGCTACAGACAAGCCATTGGTGCATTTGTCGGGCTGGGCTATGCAGCTACCTATTAAATAGTAAAATCATGTTTGAGGATAGCACAGAGAAATGAAAAAAAATATTTAACTTTTGTACTTTTTTGCACGACACTCCTCAGAGTATAAACGTCGGATTTTGACTAGTGTTAACTATCTTGTGAGTTTTGGCTCTACCTTCAAATCGATACTGAAGACCTATTGGGAAAAATCATTTTAAAGGGCTGATTTCGTAACCTTACCACAAAATATAAATCATTAAATCATAGAAATCATAGAAAATCTAGAAAAAATCATGCACGAGTGAAATGTTCTGAGTATTGTTGTAATGGGCCTAGTTTGCCATTAATAACTTTAGTGTATCTCGTTCTTGAGTTTCGTACTCTGTTGCTAACTGACACGGATTACATTATATTAATATGATAATTTATGCTTAACTACATAAAAAATAGAATACGGGTGTTAGCTAGAACATACCAGTCAGTTCTCCAGCATCAAGCCACGTGGTTTTGCCATCGAAGTGAAGGCTAAAATTGTCATTCATAACATCACCGTGAATGTCCAATGGGGGTACTACCGGAACTTTCTTGTTGTAGGTATAGCGAAGGGGCCAAAGATATGACGGGGTTATTACGCTTTTAACACCTACAAAAAAGGACAGTTTATTTTACTAAGCTGGATTTCAAAGAATTACCCATATAAAACGAACATCCCAACATAATGAACAAAACATCTGGTCCCTTTATTAAAAGAACGAACTCCATTGATTTAAAATATTAAATTGGGTGTTTTAACTAGTTTTCCCTTTCCTTAATATATTAAGTATAGTAAACAATAAGGACAAACCAAGAAATATATAGTGTAAATAATCTTATTGTTGGACATTATACAGCAAAGTTTAGTTAGCCCCCCCCCCTCCCCCTTAGAGAAGATAGACGCCTCTTCGGCTGTCAGGAGAAAAGCGCCAAATATGAAGGTATTTGCGAATTTGGCATCAAAATCTAATATTATAAATTATGAATTTTTCTTTCAAGTGAAGATCATAAGGATTACATAACTATTTCAGAAACTATCTAAAACATAGGGAAGCGATTTTTTCTAATAAAAAATCTTTAACAGGAGTAAGTCAAATGAGAAAATAAATTCATTCGGGCAGAGCGGTGATGACGAATGCCTTTTGAAAGTTCATTCCCCTGAAATGACAAATTGACAAACACAGACAATAGGTGTTAAACAAACACGGAATTTTAAAAACATTAAAAACGATTTAATGCCTCACTTTTCTAGGCAGACGTGAAAAATAGGCTTATTTTAACAATGTTCTGAATGGAAAAGGATCGTTTCAAGAATTAGTTTTTAAACTGCTAAAATAGAGCTTGTGAAGTAAAAAACAAATATTAGGCTACTGGGTGAAGCAAAGACAGGAGTCAAAAGCTTCAAGATTTTCTTTAAAAAGGACATCGTGAAATCTTATATCAAAAATTTGAAAAATCAAAAACGGTTTAGCGACGAAAATAGCTAGGCGGATAAAAAGTATATTTTGCATTAAAAATTGTTCGTTAGGACGAATTCCTTTATTGGTATGGATTTTTGTAAAATTTATTCACTTAGCATTGTAATATCTTTTTGCATTTCGTAAAAAGTTTGTTTTATATATTAGCAAGTGATTGATAATTTCAATGTCTTTTTTGTCTAAGCAGGCAACTCGACAAATAAAATTTCATTGTGTTTGATGAACTCGGAAAACACCCAACAAATTTCCTGGCTTAGATCGAGGGCGTTTCTCAACAACATGGTGGTATATTATAGAAAATAACAAAAGAAAGAATAACAGAAATGATCTATGTTCAATTACCTGCGACTTCTAGCCAATGCAGAGCAAAAAATATCAGCAGATTGAAAAAGACCATGATCTTTTGCCTTGAAACACCAGAAAGGTCAGCACTGCAATAAGAAGACTTGCATACGACTTCTCTAGCCTATGCAATATCAGTTTTAAGCAAAACTTTAAATCGATATCAAATGTAGTACATAAAGTCCAGTTTTTGGTTTCGTATGGAATCAAATGAAATGGGATTATCTCATCTACAAAGAATTCGAGCAAATTTCGAGCGCGATCGGGCTTATAGGCATGACTAGTCAAACCGGTTTCGCCCCTCGAAAACGCATTACGGTGCGGCATGCAAGCGCAGTTTTGCCACGCATCCTGGCAGTGTTTAGGTGCTCAATGAATGCTGGTTCACACAAAAAAGTCTTTCTTAAACGATGTTTTATATGTATTTTAGACACTGGCTTGGTGAAAAACGACGAAAATGAGCTTCGGGGATATGATTCAAGAGAAATTCATAGTCGTAAGAGCCAGATGACTGGTGGAGCATCAGCCCCCTCACATAGACGCAAACCAGTCTCACTCAAGCAACTTTTCACATAGGTTTTGCCAAAATCTTTTCTATTTTAAATCTGGACGTGAAAATATGTGTATGGTGAAGGGAGCATTTCTTTGGCACAGGGCTGATACAGAATAGATATTTCTAATCTTCTTTTTGGTTTTTCCTTTCGCAAATATCACCTGTAGGAAAGAATTTCAGCAGAAAAAGATTGCTGAGCTTTTTCGTTGTGGATGTTTGTTCAAAAAAATTAAATTTATATTAAAAAAGGGTTTATTTTTAATTTTCAATATTGAATTGCGATTGGGGTAATTTGTTTTTATAAGAGCTTCTGTAAGTGGAAGACCCTTAAAAATCAGCATTGCTGAAAGACTACTCTCCTTAAACATTAGAAAATGAAATGAAATAAGATGAATAAGGCTGGTTAAAATCAATTTACCCAACTAACACCAGTTATTTATATAAACAAGTGAAAGAAATTTTGCCAAGAACCAATTCATAACCTGATAATATCTGGAACAAAAATTGCAGTTTGGCTGTCGGTAAATTTGACAAAATTTTGCATTCAAGAAGAGAATAATATCTTGATTTGATGATAGTGAGCTTAAAACCAACTAAAATAAAGTAAATTTTAGCATGCAGCAAAAATTCACACTGCAAAGCTGGAAGTTAAGGCTGGGAAATGTACTAGGTAAATTTCCACAACAAGGTGAGAGCTGAAATTAATAAGAATGATCGTTTACATTTTGTTTCATAGGTATTTACCAATCTTTAATCAATTCAGCAATAAACATTACATAAACTCATAATTTAAAAAAGATTTCAATATCTGCCAACATACAAAATCGAATAAACTAGTTTAATGCAACAGAATTGACTAGGAAATTACATGAATACGAACAAAATGTCGTAATTTTAATGAAAACTATCGCGAAGAAGAAAACAAGACAGAAAAACTGGTATTGGAAACAAGAAAACAGAATTACATTCCTAGATTGACTAAGCTGGATTATGGTTGCACTGATCGTTTAAAAACAACGCTTTACAGTACAGTTATTACAACACTAACAACACTTTTGACTTTGAATCAGATTCTAGTAGGTTGCAGGGGTGTACAGCTGCACATAGATAAAGGGGGATCTTGGACCAAAAATGACATAGCACATTCATTCTGACACAATAGAAACGCCCCTGCTTTGACATAGAAACCAAGAGAAAATTATAACTACTTGGTAAAGTGAACTTGGTTTCAAAGTATAGAAATCGAATCATAAACTAACACAGTGACATGCCCGAAAATTTGGAATTTGTGCGTGACACGAGATGAGGGACTCTTCTGCTCACCAATTACTCACAGTTTTTACGGTTTCATTTTGCAAAAAATATCCAACCACTTACTAAAAATTGTGCACTGAGGGATGACAATCGAAAAGATTTTAATTACGAATAAACCAAAAATACTGGCTTAGAAATATGATGAAATAAATGCAAGCCTTCCTGCAATAGGAAACTGGAATTTTTCATTTAATTTTACTGCGAAACAGAAGTTGCTTCATTAGAACTTAGAGGAGAATCAATTCTAGCGTTGGACGATTCGTCATCAATGCCGGTGACATCAACTGTTGTGTCCTCAGTGGATGACTGGCTCATAAAGTCTCTCTCCTTGATGATGCCCTCTTTATGAAAACGAGACATTGCATCCATCACATAAAAGTTTGCCTCTGTGTTTTGATTAACGTTTAGGTTTGTACCGAGGCTCTCTGAATCGCAAGGGAGGCTAGCTACAGCAGATATAGCTTCACTTTGTGAGATGAATGCGCTAAACGGCTTTGGCTCACCTGATGTTTGCGTGGATTTGTTGATTGGTCCGCGGCCGTCATTAAAGGGAGAAAACAGTGAGGCACAGAGGGCAGACAGGGGGCTTGGACCAGATGTCGGATAAAAATTGAGCGCGTTAGGAGAGATGAAATTTGTCGGATGATCACCGAATGAGTTTGGTGTCGTCAAATATGATGCAGCGACTTGCGATATTTCGGATGGAGTGTTGGGCGAAAATATGTTGGCTAGCGTATCAACCAATCCCATCCTACAACCATCAGCTTTTGGATCGGCTTCCCGCGAGCGATTTTGGCTTGGCGTTGGAAACATAGCACTCTTTGGGATTGTAACAACAGACTGTTGGCCGTCAAGGACCCTTCCAGGTGATGGGGACTGCTTCATTTCTGCAGCGCTTTCAATAGCAGACAGAGTTGCCATTTCAGAGTTCTGCAGCATTTGACTTGTCATTGGGTATCCCTGGTAAAGCGAGTGGAAGGGGTAGTAAGCACTCGATGATGGGGTGAATTCCCCAGGCATTTTCTGACTGGTATCACCTAAGAGACCCAATTGATTCTCCTTTCCCTCGGGAGAGAATCTCAGTCTTCTTTTCGGCGCCCTGTCTCCAAAGTCAAGCCCTGTTTGGAACCCAATCGCTCTGCTCCTGTCTTGAAGTATCGCTGCGAGGCCGCCAGTCGGCGTTCTGTCGTTCTCTTTTTGGCCTAACTTGACATTGCAACGCCTTTTTACGTATTCTAGGATGCAAATGAAACGGTTCTTGATAACAACAATTAATTATGTTAGTTATATTCATCTTAAAATATTGTTCAAATTAAAGAAGAAAACAATGGCTTAAGAGCACGAGTTCAGGTAAGCTTTTATCAAATAAGTACAGCCGTTAAACGAAAATTTCAAAATTTAAGAAGCCAAATGCTGTTATCCAATTTATAAAACAACAAATTTTTGTTTCACGTGGCTGCAGAATCAAACAATTTACTTTTCAAGTTTTGAAGCCACGCTGAGCCTAACAAAACAAGATTCAAAAAAGCGTCAACAAGGGCGCAAAATGATTACAAACTCCTTCTTAAATTAGCCCAGGGGAGGGGTAGGAGGGGGTTACTACATTTCTTAAGACAGGGGTGCTCTGGTTTCTTTCCTGTGTCTAGAATTTGAGAAATTTTTTTGTGGTCAGCCAATTGTAGTAATACTCTTTTGCGTTCATTCAATTCCGAATTATGTATTTTAGGTTCAAATATGATAAAAGATTTAAAAAGTAGAGATACAATGCAAACATTCTTGTGCAGTGCGAGAAAAATCATTTCTTGACCAATTTTTATTCTAGAAGATTTTTTTGGTTGATGATATTTACCCCAGTCTGAGAACCCTCATAATAAATATAAACCAGCACCCACTCTGGAACAATCACCTGTCAATTACTTCACAAAGGAGGACTAGAGAACATAAAAGTGGAAATTTGTTTTCAGTTTTGCAAAATCACCCGAAACTCAAATCAAAACCAATCAAGCCAAAATAAGGAATACTTTTCAAACAGCTTCCTGAAAATTGGATACTTTTGCTAATTGGACCCCATATTACCTGACTTAAATGAAAAATATTGATCCAAATATCTTATTGGGTATTTGACTTAACGGACAACGGACACCACCACTGGAACAGATGCACTAAACTTTACTTGAAATATTAAACAATAATACATAAATAAAAATTTCTTCAAAACTGAAAACAATGTTTACTTACTTACTTAATAATACTTACTTTTTACTTAAACAATTTTTGCATTAGGGCATAGCTGTTAGCAAAGTCCTACGGGGACCACACAGGTAAAAGGGAGGGCTGAGGGGCAATTTTTTGAAACGACGAAATTTAATTCAAACTCACGAAGCAAGCCAATTACTTCTACTCGAGCAGACCCTGTCATTACGATGGAATATTAATAGTTTATGTGTTGTTGAGAAATACACTAGGGTCTGTGTTGAATATTTTGAGAAATACAAAGTACTAAATACACTCTTGAAGCATTGAAGATGCATTTTGATGCTATTAACAATCGTTCGGGTGAAAAATCTCGACCTGTGTCGTTACCCTAATGATAAAGGTCATTTTATAAAAAGGATAAACCATGTATAACATTTTAAAGTCTGTTTAGATAAAACTTTGGAGTTTTTATTTTAAATGCGATCTCTTAGCGAAGAGGATCTCCTACTGAAAACGGTTCATATAGTTAAGGAGTAATATATGCATAATATAGATTAAAGGGGGAGTCCAGATCATGGAAAGATAATTAAACAGAAAAAAAATAACTGACCTAATAAATCAGGCCTTCCCCGTATGAAATACTCATGATCAAACATTGAACCAAACTTGGAGCGGCCAACGCCATCATATCGATCAGACATCACTTTTCTAAAACCGTAGAGATTGAGTTGTCGTACAAAACTTTTCAGGCTTTCCGTTTTGAAAATCTTTCCTTCTTTCCTCTTCAAAATTCTCTGTACGAATAAACGGTCATCAGGGAAGACAATAGCCATTCCATCTTGGCTCCAATGAAGCACATCACTAAATTGTGGATTGTTGATAATAAACCATAGTTTGTAAGGAAAGTTTTGGCCGTCGATTGAATCGAAAGTTAAGCTTTGCTGGATTATCAGTGGCACTTGATGCTGTAAAAAGAATATTTATTTAATTATAATTAAATTTAAAGCCCCAGGAATGCCGATTGTGTTTGCTGGTAGAAGGAAACAATTGACAGTTGAAATTGTTTTATTTTAGTTGTAGGACCCTCGCTTTTAGAAGGGTTAAAAACGTTCAATTTTAAATGGTAAACTAAAACCAAAAGTTTAAAAAAGATTTGAATCTCTTATACACAACTTTTTTCTTTTCTTTCATTGATTCACAAGTTGAAAAGTTGGTTCGTAAGAAGAATATTTGCTTTCATTTTGAAAAATTGCTTCTTCATAACGAAGAAAGTTGGGCTTGGAATGCCTAGAACAGTAAATTTTACATGTAAGAGTCAATAGCTCCTGGTGATATTAAAAAGAATCGTGGATTGTTCCTTGACTTTACAAAAAAATGTAGAATCGAATTCGTAAGGAAACTAATAATAACAATTTTTTGTCCTTTTGAAACAGAAAAATAGCTGACTTCTGGGTTATTTTGCAGGTTGTTTTTTCTTCAGACAGCAAAATCAGCCCCACAAACCTATTTTCAATTCCACTTGGCAAAAGAATTGTGCAACAAGTCAATTGAAAAATTCTGACTGTTGAGAAATCAAATCATAAAATCAAAACGATTAAAAATTAAAAAAATGAAATATTCAATCGAAAAATGGAAGGAAACTCAGTGTTCTCGAACAGTTAATTCGAAGCAAATAATAAAAAAGAACTCACTTGTGGTGCCAGGTAATCAATTGACTTCCGCATTAGTGCTTCTTCGAAGAAATCTCTTGGTCTTTTTCTTTGTTCTTCAACCATTTTCGTTAAAAAGCTTAATTGATCAGGTGATAAACTTTTGATTTCTGATGTCCGAAAAAGGCGGTTGGCAAATCAAGGGACTTGGCAAGACATGCTGTATAACTGACCTAAAATCTGATTGGGCAAAAAGGGAAGATCACGCAATAGCTGCTATGACGACTGTCTCATTTTGGAAATGACCCGACAACTAAACGATAAACCCCCGGATTTGTTAAAAATACCGTTAGCTTCAGCTTAAAGGTAAAAATTATCGGGGAGTACGATGTCTTGACAAGGAAGAATAGTTCTGTCCTACTCTTAGCAGTAAACCCTACATTTTAATTGAACTTTTGGTGGCTTATACTTCCCTAATATGTTTGATGAAGGAATATCTTTATCATAACCGTCAATTATTTATGCAAACTAACAGCCGGGGTATCCCAAATTCGCTAAGGAATGAAACATCAATTTTTTCCTACGTTAAAGTTCTGGCAGCTGTGAAAGTGTGTACAATGTGTGCAATGAAAATCAAAAGTCATCCAAAAAACGGATAATTCTAACGTTGAAAACAACATTTAGCCTGCAGAGAGCACACATTTTTTAAAAATTATACATCTATAGGAAGTTATGGGAAAAACAAGGATCATTTTTTAGAAATTTCAAATGTGCGAAGTCTTGCCTAATCTCAGAAGGAACCCTTGAGTGAGTCACGCACGCAGAGAGTGAGGGTGACCGTAAAGCAAAATCGAAGGCCTACATGATGAGGTAAGGTGACCTGATTTTCCTGATTGTCTTAGTCGGGGGCCGTTGTGTTGCACTGGTTTTCGGTCAACGGTCTTCAGTATTGCAATGTTGCTCCATCGAAAATTAACTCGTTGTTTCAAAGCAAAATTGTGCCAGTTTTTTCCTCAGTCTACTAAAAAACCCAAGTTAATGAATAAAATCCCTAGTACTGAAATCTGTTTTAAAGGGCGAATACCCTTTCAAAACCCCCATCTTGGAACATTTTGGTTAACTATAAAATGATGTAAGAAACTAGGAAGAAAATATTTTCATGTGACTTCTAAATTAGCAAACAACACTGACTTCTGCTGGAAAAACGTTAGTAGAAGTAAAATGTATTTGGAAAAAAAGCAAAAATTACAAAAAAGATTGAAAATGTTTCAAGTAATTATGGTAGGCATTGTCTATCTTTCGTGGAAATATATAATAAAATGACTTCGTTGTCAGGCCAACTCTGCACCCAAATGCAATTCCCCTTTTTTAGTAAAAAATCATAAATAAAACATATTTTCTCTTAATAATCTGCTTGATAACTAAAAGCTCTTGAAATAAAATTTAAATGCGGGTTAATTACATAATATTTATTTACATGTACAATGAAATATATAAGAAACATTGATTATGTATTATCGAAATAAACAATGCGCGTGCTTGTGTGTGTTTGACTAAAACGTTGAGATAATTATTTCCGATAGCTATTTCCAACAACTTATAATTATTAAATATAATTCATAAAGAATAAAATACCAAATGAATGATCTAGAAAAATTTAAGACATAATGGCAGTACGACTCAATTGTGCCAGAAAGATTAATCAAAGACCTAACTACAAAGAACTGACTGCTTTTGGCAGTTCGTCGACGATAAAAATGAGATAAAGCTACTAAGCCAATCCTGGACCATTCGAGCTAATGTGTTCTAAATTGGCAATCTGACCGAATAAGACAAAGTTCTATCATCAAATTTTCTACTTGCCATGAAGAAAAATTCTCATAAGGATCTAAAAAAAGGCCAGGAACAAGATGGCACAATTCATTTGCTGTTTTGTTCAATTGGTGAGCTCTTCTAGCAAGTGATCTAAAAGTGACCATTATAATAGGAAATATATATAAATTCTTGCCAAAACACCTCTGTTTCCGCCTATATAAAATCGGGTCACTTCTGCCCGTCCCATCCATTTTTATTAAAAGATGACGTTCTCTCGTCAGCTAACAGGAAGATGCCATCAGCCACTTTTTAATACATCATGGCTCTTCAATTAAAAAAGTCCTGACAGTCAAACACCAACCGGTTTTAAATTGCAATTTTATCATGATCAAATTTTTTACTTCTGAAAACTGAACTTTCTCCCACGCATTTTCCCCTTAAATTTACTTAGTCTTGATAACGGGCTATGCTCGAATCGTCGTTTATTCATTTAATAAATTTTTTTCCTGGTAGTTACATTCATCATTATTATAGCATGATATTGTACCGCACGCAAAATAGTATATTCATGGATACTTAGTAGGACCCTGCCATATTCAGAATGCACAATATGCGATTAAGCGAAACAAACTACCCTACTCTGTTCATTATCTAGACGTGAGCACAATCAACTTACACGAAGTTAGTTAGAAAAATGTAATTCATTGAATCTCCTTGTAGTATGAATGGGTGAGGCAATAAATAAAGTCAAATTTCACCCTTCAAACGGAGCTCAACTACTCAAGGAAGGTCTATAAAAAACGCAATGTCCAGTCGCAAGCAGAAAACCAGAAGACCTCTGTGGCATATTTGCTTCAAATTGAAGAGATATTCTCCAACTTTGACGAAACAATAAAAACGACACAAAGCCTGCGCAGCAATACTTCAGCCTGCGCAGCAATATATCAGCCTGCGCAGCAATACTTCAGCCAGCGGTTAGGTCAAATGTGACGCGTACGAACAATGTCGCATTTGGTACAACTGTCCCTTGCCTTGACAGCAAACGAATGTGTCGATAACCTTAAATAAAAACAACCAGCGTCATGAAGAAATTTATTCTTCAGATTGATTTGAAGCAAAAAACATGACTTATGTTAGAAGCAGAGAATTCTCGACGAAAAGGCAAGTCTTCGTCGCTTACCGCCCCCCCCCTCCCCTCCAAAGTCAGAAAAGTCTATTGACTTTCCATAGATTTCTTGAGTGTGACGTCATTAAACAATCTATTTTCAGAATTTTCGACTATTCACCACAAAGCCACACACCACGATGGGTCAGAAAGTGTAAAATCTATTGAAATGGCCAGTGAAGGGTTTCAAGTTTGCAAATGGATCAGTGCAATTTTTGTCTGGTTCATAGGGTCTGAGACAAAATTATAGATTTGATTGGGAAAGAGCTTGTGCTTATCTTGCATCTTGGAAATTAACATGTTAGCTGCTGGCGAACTTACAGTATCACTGCAGTAATAATCGAGACAGAATCATCATTAATTAGTCAAACAAGCTTTCACAGATCATGAATTTCAAAAGAACTTTCTTCTGGAAATATTTTCCATGCATGGCTCATTTCCTTTTGAGCTTTCTGAAACTAGTAGATATTTTGGCCGATGTTGCAAAGATTGTACGATGTTGTAGATACCGGGCCCGAATCGCAGTTATCTTGATTAAATTACAGGCATCTAGACAGATATAGCATAGATTTTGCCCGGCATTCCCCAAATGGTATCTTGATATATGCCAGCATTCGTTACATCTGCATCGGCATTGCAGATACCATGGCGGTAATGTGTAACAACAAAGTTGAGACTGCAGAATGAGTCCTAACATACAACATATTGCATCAGAAAAAAAGTGCAACGAATTTCATCTAAAACATCACCAATGAATGTCAACCGTCGACTTAGAATTTTCTAAAAATTGATCGGTGAACAAATTTTTGGCCGTGAACATACATATGTTTGCTTTTTTCAAAGCCACTTTAAAAACTAAGCATTAAACGCAGTGGCGGATTTAGGGGCAGTTGCCCCTCCCTCGACGAGTTGAAGCAAGTCTGGCGCCCCTTTTTTAGAAATTGTGCGCCCCTTTTGAAGGGTGAGAATCAGGGGAAAAAGTTTCTGAGACCGATAGGTTAATTTGCTTCAAGGATTACCTCAAAGTTATGTTGTTTATTCTGAAAATGGATCTGAAATTGTTGTATACAGCGTACTCTAGTCACCAATTTTTGAAAATATTTCAGCGCCCCCACTACCGACTGGCCCTCCTTCAAATTTGCTCTGGATCCGCCTCTGATCAAACAAATAATGCAAAGTAAGGGAAATAACCAAACCTTGGTTGAGACAGCTCAAAGGTGCTGTGAACTGGGCAAGGAAATCGTCGGATCCGAGGTCAGAATCATAAACGGCAAACCGGATTAAGGCAAGCTCCGGTACTTTCACACTGAAAGACAAGTCTTCGTTCCAGACTGGATTGAAACCTAGATGAAAAGAGAAAATTTTTCAAATATGATAATAAAACCTGCCAGTTGTGCATTTTGTGGAATAAACTGTAATCACAAGTGAAATGAATTACACATAACCAATTTGAGGCAATTATTAATGTGATTGTTCACAATAGCTGTATTATTAAAGCAATATAAAACTAGTCAGTGCACCATTCATTGTGGTCGATGCAATCTAAAAAAACAGCGTCCGGCATCATAAACCGCTCTATCATCTCGTACAACGTTATAAGTATACCTAGCCATCAAGATGAACGGTAATTTACCAAAAAAATTAAATGGCACATTTCGTTTGTTGTCATTAGGGGCAAAATAAAAAGAGCCTAAAAATTTAGTTTTTTGAAATATACTTTTTAAATCTTCTTAAATTGTTCTGTAAATTTTTCGTGTTTTTCAAATGTCCTGAAATAAGAGAACAAACAAACTGGACGACTGTGATTATGTATTCAAAAGTTAAAATGAAAAGGGGAATTCACCAAAGTACTGACCATTGTTGTGAATTGTTTTAGTGCAGTACAGTTTTTCGTTGGTATCACACGGAACACCAAAGGTCTCCACAAGAACATATGGATCAATCACCTACCGAAATAGAAGAAGGCCTCGTGAAGAAGAGACAATAAATACAAAAGATATAGATGTCAAAATAAGAGTGATTTAATTGAAATTGTTAAAATGCCCAGATCGAACGGTTTTTACGTCAGCAACAACAGTTAGCAGTATTTATCTAGGTAAGAAAAATTATCAGTGTCTTTTTACTACAGAGGAACTTACAAGGCAATACATAGGTTAGAACTGAAAATAAATAGCAGATACATACAAAAAATTAAAATGGCCTAGAAGAGAACAAAAATTTTAAGATATGCTTTTGACACTACGTTGCTTCTAATACTACCCAGAAGTAAACAGTTAACATAATTGATTGGAAAATCTGATTTTTTTTATAAAAGAACTGAAATCTGGAAACTTGCTGTACGAAAGATTTTTTTTGGACTTACTTTTCTCTGCTTTGAGCTATTACTCTTCGGTAATTGCTGGCCACTGATTATCTACGAAGATAAACACTGGCTGTTAAATTAGTGTTTTACGACGGTAAACACAGGGTATCAAACTAGTGTTCTACGACGATAACACAGGGTAAGGTAATCAAACAAGTGTTCACGACGGTAAACACAGGGTATCAAAAAAGTGTTTTACGACGGTAACACAGGGTATCAAAAAAGTGTTTTACGACGGTAAACACAGGGTATCAAACAAGTGCCTCATAACAAACTAGCACAACACACAACAAACATAACAAACTAGCAGTGAAACTAGGATTACAAAAAACCTACTTTTCGCCTTTATAAATTTCCTACACATATCTATGATGGCAACGTTGGGAAACGCCTATACGACAATACGTTTGCCTACAAAAACTGATTTATTGTGTACATCGCATAATGTGTATATCTCAATATACACTTACACAATATCAATTTATAAAGAAAAACTCCTTACTTGTATATGAACACGTGTTTCATCCTGAGAATCTATCCAAGAATCTGATCTTGGATCAAATTTCGAGCTTTCTAATGAATAAAGAAACGAACTACAGTTAAAAAAAATTTGAAGACATTTTCACGAGGGAACATTTTTTTGGCGATTTAACCAGTATTGCTAGCAATAAAAATTCCATCTAGCAGTATATAATGAAATTGATACCAACGATTTAGGGTTTTTATCATTTGTCTGAATAACCGTAAAATTGTTTAAATAAATGCATCTCATCTAGTAAGGGTATCAGAATAGAGTTGTATTGTACCTTAGGAAAACAAAGGTCCCTTTGGATGTCAATCAAGCGACCAAATTGTTATCACTAGTTCTCTCTATTTCCTTTAATAAGGTAAGTGTGGCATCTGTTTGTTAGATGATGCCAAGATTTTGCTGTTTCATTATTCCATTTCAGTTCTACATACCTCTAAGAAGTAATTTTACCGTGGTTTGGTTCAAGTTCAATTTTAAGTTGATCTTGTCAGATGTGCTTTGAAGGCGCATCCTGTTGCCCTTAAAAGGTATTGCTTTAACGAAAAAATACATGAAATATAGAATTACCATCTCGCATGAAACATGGCTTGAGGAGATAGCCACAGTTAGCGTTGTCAGTAAATTTACCACGATACAGGTCCATCATTTGCCCGTCAGTTTGATAGTTGAGTGCAGCTGTAACGAAAGGACTGTGGTTAGAGATAAAGACAAGCTTCTAAAATACAGGAACTATAGAAAAATCTGTCTTATTACATGGTGTATTGCATTCGATGAATAAATATAAATATGTAGGCCAACGTGCAATGATTCACCGAAAAGACTAACAAGAAACATCTGTACTCGAAGAATCACACAAATTTCACCAATAATTCTTTGACAATATTTCTTCAAATATTCATTGCAGTTTCTTTGAAATTTGAGACTAAGCTAAGCTTAGCATTTTTAAGACGATGCTGGACAAAGAAAGTTTAAATCATTGCTAAAAAGACCAGACAAGCTGTCTAATGTTTTATTCCTTTTTTAGTGAACTTTTCATGAAAATTTAAAGGTCGTTAGAACTTAAGAAATTACAGTGAATCTTAAAATGTTTCTTTGAAAAGTTCCCAATAGAAAAAGTTCTCGATCCAGCAAAGACGCAAAATAGAAGTTCTTTCTAACAATAAAATTGTGCGAAATTAAATTATTGTAGAAATGAAAAAAAATTATATTTCTCAGGGTGTAGCAGTCAAGGCCTAAAGCTCATATTATGGATGAATATCTCACCAATTTGGCAACCAAGATTCCAAGCATCCTGTGGGTTGTAATTGCTAGAGTCCACACGAATTCCACCTGGATACGTGCGACTAAGAAACTTCGTGTTATGCTTCACGAACGAATTCCCCTCCGAGTCACCGAGGGCGATGAATTTCGACTCGCCAAAGGAAGACATCTGATAAAATTTGTCTGAGGAAACAAAAAATGAATTTGAATTTAATGACATTTTTTGGAATCACCTTATGGCTGGAAAACAGACCATCTTTCGAAAGAAATTTTACGCATTTTTTAGTCCTAAAGTTAATAGTTAACAGAAGTAGATGTTTGGAAATATTTCAATGAAAAGGCGTAAAGGAATTGGCCTTTTAAACTATATTTTTACAAATTCACTCTTTCCATAGTTGGCAGTAAACTTCTGTAATGTTTAGAGGAATTTTGCCAGAACTAAAAAACATCTTCTAACTCTGCAAAATAGCTTTATAGAAACGCAGAACCGTCGCTTGTCTCAGAACAAGCTTTGCAAGTTCGCGGACTATACTAAGGAAAACAAACAGAAAAAACTAGACGACGCACGCAAGATTCTACACTTAAACTCGATACAGACGAGGCTACATGTAAAATGTTACAAGCCCAATGCTACAGGCAGCACGTTTCACACAGGATCCTACACGCAGGACCCTACACGCAGAAAGCTACTGGGAAGGGACGCTACACGCAGGACGCTACATGCAGGACGCTAGACGCAAAATGCTTCACTCAGGACTGAACACCGGATTTCATATACGCATGGACTAAACACCGGATATTACACAAAGACTACTGCATGAGAGGTACTCACACAAGACACTGCACGCAGAATAGTAAAGAAAGGGCGTTGCACTTTATTTGTTACAACAATCACTTTCAGCAAGTATGATGAATACCAGAAAATTTTATAAAGTGAGCTTACTTTTGGCCTGGGCTTGTTCAAATGATTGGAACTTCACAGAGGAGATGTAGTTAACCAGTCTGGATAATTCTTTGGCTAGCTTCAGATTCTGAAAAAGTGACAAATACAAGGCATAAATGTTTTGATTTTCAAATGCTTGAAGTGAAAATTTCCAGAAAAAATGCTCAACTCTTCGACCTGGGTTTAACTTGAGTTCGCACTTCAAATTTTGTGGCCTGATAGGAAGATTGTGCTCTATTCGAGCTGGTTAAAAGAACCATTAGCTTAAATAGATATCGTCAGTTTAGTTAAAATCGTTAGAAATCTTCTTGAGCTTTTAAGAGAAAAACCACCCCATTTTGAATTGAGAACACGAAAATTAATTTGCAAACATAGTTAAAATTGTAAAGATTATGTTTTATAACTTGTGCGTAATAAGTGAGAAAAAGAAAGGAGACGAGCATTGTCAAAATCAATGGATTATGTTTAAAAATTGATTGAATCAGGGACATTGTGGATAAATAAAAATGCTTTTTCTCTTCTATGAAACAAATGTTAAAGCAAAAACCTTCATAGATAGATGGCCCCGACCTATAGAACAAGCACCAATTGCATTCTAACGGCAAATAAAACCACCAATTTGCCACCAATAAACGGACTAGCTAAATCAAGGCTTCATTTTAAAGAGTTTTACATCAATTTGTGATAAAAACCACGAAAAATGAAGTCGGCGTATTAATCACCTACAACTTATCAACCTCACCAACTTTTAATCATCAACTTATCTTAAAACTGACGTCTCATTAAAAGCATTATCTTTCTAATTAATCCCAAGGACTATGGAAAAGGCGGCTTATAACGCGTCTATAACACAAAACATAACGTAGTAAACCCCACTTAAAATTGAATTTTTAAATAATGTCATTGATATGCCAACGTTAACAGCGTGCTATATCTGACTTATCACTGATCTCAAAGCGATTATTGCTATGATAATTTTACTACAATCAATTCACAGTGCGATTAGTCTGAGATTAATTAATCTAAAGCAAGGTCATAAGAAATATAGCCTGTCAGTAAATTAGGAAAAAAGCATAATCAACGGCTGTTCTTGCAGAGGAGAACTTACGCCATATTTTGATCCACGATTCAAAGAACGTGAAACACTAATGCGACGAATTACTCCATTTGGTCTTTCACTCTTTAAAACAAAGCATTAAATCTTTAATGTTAAGAGCAGATCTTTACCTGTAAGCAGCTTACCGAGAGAATTACATTTCATGTTAATTTGAGCGAATAGTTATGTTAAACAGAATGAAACAGAGGCTGAACGTGATGATAGAACGTTTCTACTGATATTCATGGGACACTTTTTACAATTATGCGATCTTATAATTAATAACACCAACGTTTTGCAAGCAAGTTAGGCCGATTGGAAAAATTAATAACTAGCAAAGCAGTTTTAATAGTTTTAAACTTTTGAAGTATGTTAAATTGTGTAAAAGTTAATAGCATTATCAGAAAAATTTACAGATGTAAATAGGAAATTAACCAATTAGTTAATCAGCTGAAGGTATAATTTTGAAATCCCAACTGTTTAAGTGACAATAGTCGTTTTAATTATCAATTCTTTAATTGTTGTAAAATATCAAGGTAACTCAATGTTATGACAAATAGATTGACAAATTTTTGCAATTTTTAAAATGACGAAAATTTGCTTGTTAAAATAATCTATTCCAGAATTCATAAGAGTTTAAAATGATATAAGCCTAAATTGCCATGCTCATTTCCGGTAACGATACGGTTTATCAAACTGCTTAACCTAATAGGGCAACTAATAAACAATTTATGTGTGAGAAAATCAACTTTTTGGCATCTCTGTATTTTAAGCAGCTCTTATTTAACTAAAATTGATACTGTTCAGTTACGGTTCAGTTCAGTTAAAGTAGTATATACTTGAAGGTGGCAAAAATTTCCCAAAACCGGTCTAAGTGACTTCTAGCTACTTTTAGTAGCAGGGAATAAACATACCTTTTCTTTTTCTTTTTGCTTGTCTCTCTTAAGTCCGTCAACATCGTCGCCATCTTGAATAACCATTTCAGCAGCCTCGTCTTCGTCTGATACGTCACCCAGATCGTCATCGTCTTTCTCTTTCTCCATTGATAATTTCTTTCCCTTAAAAGGTACGTGACAATTCAAAATCAATGTCTCATTAGACACACACAAAGGGCGAATCTTCAACAAACAGCTTAAGGAGAAATTTTGGAAATTGACGAAAGAAAGACCTTGACAAAAATACAAATTTCAGCTGCGTTAGAAGGAAAGATGAACCAAAATATTGATGATTCGATAATTTGCTGTTCCTTTGAAACAAAACTAGGAATTGTCTTAAATCTTTAAAAGATTTATAAAAAGGCTAAATTTATCCCTCATCCACATTTTATTTTACAGAAAGTAGAAACAAATTTGTGAATTACTTTGCAAAACAAAACAATAATACAAAAATTCAGTATCTAAACTCGGTTAGCTCTATAGCTGAAATCCTAGATATATCATTCATAAAAATTGTATGTTCGAAACTTCAATCCAATATTAAGATAGAATGTTCACTTTTTCAAACAGAAAAGGATTTAAATCGCCCACGTTTATAAGCTGCCATTAAACACAAGCTGCGCAAAAAGTTGATGAAAAATAGTTTTAGCTGTCCTATGCTTGCGGCCTTAATTTTTAATTCCATACATTTTTCATTAATAATCTGCTTGCTTTATCCCGAGTGTAGTCATTCATCGTATCTGAGTTGCAAATTAGATATTGCTTTAGAGTTTAGTTGTGGAATATGTCTGTATTGTAATTGATTTGGTTTATGAAAAAAATGGTTGCAGAAAGAAGGGTTTGACAGAAAAAAAGGCAACTCTTAGAAACATAGAAATCCCAAACAGAATCGTACACGGATAACCTGGAAAGCTAAGGAATATCATTTCAAAATATCGAACTGCAAACAGAAATAGAGGACCTGGTGAAGAAAACGAGGATGCATATTCGGTGCGTGTCATTGGGCACTCAATGAAAAACAAAGGAGCAAAAATCTAGTATCCGAGGGGGACGAGAGTTGCTGATTGGTCAAAAACAATGAACCAATCAACATGGAATTATTCCTCTCGCGTGACTTACGATCCGCATTTGAATATAAATTTTCGTTAATATTTTGGTTGCTACAGGACATTTGATACTCTTAATAGTTTCAGACTAAAAGTATGATTCAATAACAACCGCTATGGTTCTACCTATTTGGCGCCATTTCAATTTGGAACTATCAAAGGCCTATTTGATAAAAACCTACCAGAATCCCAGCATACCTGCTCTTCTTTGATCGTCGCTAATGTCACAAAGCTTATCAAATACAAAAGATGTAAAGCTTTCAAGTAATTCTTAAAACAGCCATTGAGTAAACTTAGTACAACTAAGCACAAATGTTCATCATGGCTGATAAGAAAATCTGGTTTGAAATTGCTTTTTCGTGCAATCAAGATCACGTGTTTATTGAAATATCACATCCTAATTCTTCTAAGTACTTCATATAGCATAAGTACCGCACAAAGAAATCAAATATGGTAGAAACATTGATTACAAGGGAAATATAAAACAAATGGCTTAAAAACCTTGAGGAGAATCTTGTATTTCAGAGACTCAGGTGAAGGAAGTGACGCCAGACTCTCGTCAATCGGTTCGGCAAACAATAAGTCTAAAAACATAGCAATACTTATTCAGCAAATAAATAATAGTTAGCAATATATATATTTTGAACTCTTTATACCAATTTAAAAAAGTGAAAGTAACTTTAATTCGACCGGCGATAAAAAAGGTGAGAAAAAATTTTAGGCCCACTTGACTGCCAGAATGACCCCTTTAGAGGACTTCTATGACACAAATGTAAAAAGAGGCATAAAGTTAGCTTATCACTAACAAGCATGGTGTATAATACACAACTAATAAATAATTTTAGCAGGCCTACAGCTAATGGTTTCTCTATAAGTGGAGGAAACGTCTTTGGTAAATTTATGCTGGCATGTCCACCGAAACAGTACAAAAAATCCAAAGATTCTTCTTTAACGCAGTGTCAAAGAATGAGATCTTCAGAAAGTTCTCTAAAATTGCTCCTATGATATGATTCAACTCCATGATATAGATCGAGAGCTTTTAAGCTCTTTGTAAATATCGTAATCAGGGAAAGATAGGCAGTATTTCGAGAAGGGCGTGACATAATTGCCTAAACTTCCTAGAAACTGCTTTTTCTCCCAATTCGTAGAAATTATTAAAATTTCATAGGTCAGACACTTAACTAATTTCATCAGGTAGGTATGAGTTCACAATAATTTTTCGTACGGTGATGAAAATCTTTAATTAGATCTAAACTGAGAGCTGCCTACGAGATCTTTTTGACCCACATTACGAACACAAAACTCTTTCAAATCCACAAAACCCAATTAATTTCAATCAACTTGGTTTGAGGAAACTGTACAAATACCACTTTTCCTTGCTGAATAAATCTTCCCATAGCCCTCTAATTGATCGCTGCATAGCAACGCGTAATTACAAATCTGAGACTTTACATCAAGAAGCTCAGACCAACGAAAAGAAGATGAAAAGTCGCGTTTCCAGAACAGTGTTATGCAACAGAAAGGTCTTTTTAGAACTCAACAATATTGACAGATTATTTACTGCCTCATTGTCACAGCCTATAAATAGGCCTACAGTTCCTTGTCTGCCTTAACTGAACTTAGTCTTGCAAACGAAAGTATATATTTTACCCGTAGATTCTTTGCCTTTAACCGTATGCATAGCGACCCTGAACATTGCAACGAAAATTAGTAAACATTTTTTAACCTCCAAGAATCTTTACAAGATGCTTTGCCATAACTTTCTGCTGATCAATGCTGCAATGATTTTCCAACGACAATATCAAAGGGTACCTGCAATCAAAACATCCACATCAACAATCTCAATCTTTTGGCCTAGTTTTCTTATCGAATGTCTGCACCATTAAAACCGTACAATTTAAAAAATAACATAAATTAAAAATCTGAGCTCTACATTGCAAATTGGCCTATTTCAAGCTCGACATAAATAAAAACGTCAGCCAACATACGGTGAGCTGCAGAATGCGTGCTCTTTGATCGCAGCAATGACATCTTTGAAAAGGATTTTTGATGTGAACGTATAACCATGGTAAATGACAGGCTCGTTATCCTCTCCGTCCCAGCAGTCCACTGTGAAAATAAGGATGACGTCATTTATCATTATCTTAACATGTGACGAAAATATGGATTTTTATTCCCAGTAAAAACTTATAATGGCTAGAAGGCCTTTAATTGGGGAAGAAAGCTACTGGAATTCAAAATGTTGGCAGGCGTAGATTTCAATAAAATCTCAAGAGCTATTTAGAGGATAAATAACAGAAATTTGACCCTGCTATCGTCAAATTCAAAACAAATTTCATTTCAACTACAATTTTTATGAGTCTGGGCTAAAACCAGCAAATGCTACTGGTTTGCTAATGCAACAAAATGGGAATGGTTTGTTGGAAGTTGCCTTTATTCCATTGTTCTTATGCATCGTTTGTGTTTACTATTTGTGTCACATGGCAACTCAAACGAAGCGCAAGATACAGAAACTGTTATGTTCTTTGAGTTAATCATTTATTGAATTTATGAAATACAGCAATATCGATTAATTTGGTAAGATCTTACTTATCCCATATTTATATCAATCTGCACAGGTAAATAACAAATGTTAGACGCTAAACAAAATGGAAGGTCAGTGAAAGCAAGGCCAGTACAAACTGCAAAGCTAATGTGATAACAGAAGTGAGCTATAAGAATGGTACTATGAGAATCGCATTTTAGGCTCCATTCGGGCAGTTCTACCTCAACTCAATGAAGCAATAATATTCGGGCAAGATCAATGCCAGGCTCCGTAAATATTTTGCATCTGCCATTCACAAAAAAGTCATGAGTGTTAAGCAAACAGAATTAAGAATCACAAACTCACATTCTACACATCTGCAACCCTGTTTTAAGGCAGAGACGTAGGCACTGACACAAGATGGACCACGCAGCTGGTCTTCCAAAAGATACCTTCAAAATTGAAATGATTTTGGAACTAACCGCAAGTATTGAGGTTTCACAAAGGGAATTTCTATCGTGGGTCTGTTTTTAATACGTTTGAAAGAACAAAGAATAAAATCTCTAGTTGTAAACTGGGATTTTTCAATGATCTTAGACATTTTAAAAGAAAATATTGTCAGAGGAAATAATTGCAAATAAAAGGTACGTGCAAAGAAGAAAATATTCTTTAAAGTCACTGAAAATGGTCTAAAGAAGACAAAAGCACTGACAAGCCGACACTAGTCATATTATTTGGAACGACAACAGAAGCAATCGCTAACAAAAAATCAAGAATCAAACTACACTTTCTGCCAAAATTAATTGAAACAACAAGCAATTTGAACACTATTATTTCTTCTTCCGAAGACACTCAATTTTGAAGCTTTTCTACCAAGAAGAACGTTGAAATTTGAGGTACATATCATACATGTCAGATGAAAAACGTACTTCCTAATCTCTTTACGTGATTAGAAGGTAGACCAACATTGGAATGGCTGAGTTTTTTTGGAAAACTCAGATCGTGTTCCTAGACATTTCGCGAGGATTGTATGTTACTTACGTATTGTGAGAAGATGCAATAAAATAATGCGACAAAGGCTGATTCATATCGTGATAAACCTCTTTGCATTTCGAAATCAGAATATTCCCCTCATCTGACAACAAGAACTTTGTTAGACCTGGATAAAACGTATAATGTAATAAATATATAAAAATAACTATAATGTTATAATCATACAAATAAAGAAATGAGAAGTATAGCCAGCCTCAGAACACCAAGATCATATCCGGATAAAAGCCGAAAACGATAATAGAGAATGAATGGCACATTTCATTGATTTTTATAGACCAATCAGTGTCTAGTAAAACAACCCACGTGTTTTTAACAAAGAATTCACAACTTCAAATAACAACTGACCGTCGATTCCAAGTCTAGCAGACTCTTTACATTCCTTCACTGGCTCAAACTTGTCAATTATCTCCCGTGCCATTTCGTTTGTTACACCTTGCATCTGTATTAACCAAACAAGGAAAATACACTAACATGCAAAAGCCTCAACTGAGATAAACTAGGATAAACTGGGAAAATGTAAATCTAAATGAAGAACGAAAATGTAAAATGGCATAAATCTCAGTGCATCCGATAGACGCTATAATTCTCAATTGTGACGATTGTATTGCATTCTACTTGCACATACACGTACGAACAACTATGGAGTATAGTTTTTTCTGGTATAGTTTATCCCATAAAACCAGTCAAAATGGTGGTCCTTGGAAGACCTTTCAGTTGAAGGGGAAGAGAATAAAATGCTTACGTGAAAAGTATTTTAATTGCCTTTTTAACATGAAAAAGTTAATATAATTAAAGTTCAAGAAGGTAAAAAAGTTCTGTAGATGATTATGCAAGCCAAAAGAATTCGCTTGAATAACTTTCAATCTGAAATTTATGTAGATAAAATAATCTATCAACGGTAGTTTTCGTAAGACGTACGAGCTGTTTTGAACTTAAGAAAGTTTTGAACTCCTCCAATGTTAAATTTGTGTTGTTCTCTGCAAATCTGTAAGCAAAACGAATAAATATTGAATAGGTAAGTAAAAAATATAGATAGGCTAGCGAATAAATAAATAAACGAATAAATGTGTTAATGAGCAATTTCTACGTTATCTTAAAGAAACAGTCTCGGAGTGTTTTGAAGACTCTACAAAACGATTTGAGACTATTTACTACTTGACTAATATAATAGACTATTTGAGGAATATTCGCAGTTTAGGAAATTAGAATGAATTACAACGAAGTACTTTATGCAGCGCGGGAATATAAGTAAAACTCTTTGAGCTTCTGTAAAACTAACTAAGCTGGCACGTAATTAATCTATTAGTATACATGAAAACAATAAAAGGTAGGCAATGCAGCTAAACCAAATTCTTGTAGAGCACAGTGGACAGAGTCAATGATAAACACTTGCAACTGCTTGCAGAACCCAACGCATATGTAAAGGTTAATAATTCTACGTAAGCCAATACTTGAATACTGCCTATCTGACCTTTCCAGTAGAATGACAATTTCCTCTCTAGTTGAAATTCTCTTAAAGAAGTCGGCAAACTCTTCTTTAGTGAGGGTTCCATTCTTGTGTCCTTGAATACCTTGTATGTTTGCCTCCTGAAAAACATTGCTTCGTAAATGTTTGATGAATAAGTTATAGATGCAGACCCTGTTTGAAAGAAGGGCACGTTGTTAAGTTCAGTTGTAGAAAAAATTACCCTTCTTAATGCATGTGTTTGCATGAGGTCGCACACAATTCATGCGTGGATGTATCCGCTTGCCAACTTGACAGAATCGCAAGAAACAAGACTTGAAACAGATCTGATTAATTTCACAACCATTAGGACAGCCATCACAGTGAAATAAATATCCTCGTAACTATTTGAAATAAAGAGAGAGGCAAAATCCAAGAGGTAAATTGGCGATTCTGAGGTTTAAAAGCTGACCAGCCTGGTCCTAACTTAATAATTTTACACCTGTGACTATCGCTTCTTCTAACTAGTTAAGAGTGAAGTCTCCTTTAAGATCTCGCTTTAAGTTTGATCTGGTCTGGTGAACTCAAAAAACGGGTGATCTGGAATAAGAATGTCATTAGTGGATTTTTTCGAAAATATAATAAGCTGGGGAGACGTTTATTCTGCAATCGAGCACCACTATGCCTCTTAAACATCAAAGTTAAGTACCCATATTAACCGAATCAAATACGTAGAACCATGGTACGTACATTGAACAGCATTTTGAGGATCTTTGATTCCAAATCAATATTCAGGCTAAGTAACAAATTTTCAACTTCAGTTAGCGATAAGGCGCCGTTTCCGTCAGCATCAAATTCTTGGAATGCAGCTTTCAACCATCTACGTCGTATATCAAGGAAATTAACAATTTTATAATGGGGGATACGATGCAGGAATAATGAAAACGAAACTACAGATAATATGGACGTAGCTAACCATATGGTTAGGCGTGTTGTGAGCGAAAAATATTACTAAGAAAAACAGGTTAATCTTGATCTTAAAAGCTACGGTTGCATTTTGCAAATTCAAATTCTCTTTTTATTTCCAACATAAACGTTAGTGTGTAGATTAAAATTTTCAATCGATCGATCCTCAACACCACAGCTTCAATTCAACAACCAGCAACCACAGGGAAAAACAATTTCAGCGTCTCTGCGACAGCAATGGGCCTAAGTTTCAAAACGTAGACTTAGAATTGAAAATGTAGCAAACACGCAACAGTACAGCTTCTGCTTAGTTCAAACATTAGGAAGAAAGAGAGTACTTAGTAATGAAATCGATTCTAGAAGTTTCATATATCCCTACCTAGCAATGAAATCGATTCTAGAAGTTTCATATATCCCTACTTTCACTTGAAGCTAAAGGTAAATTGTCTAAAGCTGCATCTTTGACTGGCTATCGAAAGTCAGATGAGAAAGGATACTCGTCTCTGAGTGGATCTGGTTTTGACAGCAGCAGTCCTGAAAATAAACGGCAAAATCTATTTCAACTTCTCTGACAACACGAACACTCTCGGCGTTTTGTTGAGTGTCAATATGAAGCAAGTCTACACTCATTAAGAAATAGAACCACTATTGGTCAATTGTAAACATAAAAAACCATGCAATTTTTAGGACCTGTTTATGAATAACTGTTATAAATGCTGTGGTTTACAAATCAGCTTGCAACTACAGGGTAAAAAAATGGAATAGCAATGATTAAAAGCTACTCGTGAATACATAGAATTGGCATGAAAGAATTCACAAAGCTGGTCGAACTAAGAAAACATTATGCCAAATATCACCTATATGTTCTTAGCTGTTAATACTTAGGCCTAAAACTAAGTTTAAGACAGCCGCTGTTCTTAAAACAAAGTCCTAGCAAAGGGAATAAAGGACTAGGAGAGAGAGATAGGTTCAAGTTTGTGGACAAAGAGGATAGTTTACAAATAGCTAAAGGGGAAGGCAGAACAAGAGCACATTTTGTTCTAGACCAATCAACGGGTTTGTTTACAAAATGTCATTAGCCAATCACCGGCCTCCATTTCGAGCTTGATTTTTGAATGTTTCAAACCAAAACACAGTTGCTGTGGAGAAAAACCTACCCCCATACTTTTGCCCGGGAAAAAAATGTACGTTCTTTAACCTAGAAGATTTTTCAAACTTAGTTTCTAGAGTATTTTTTTCGTACAAATCTCGGAGCCCTAAGCAGAAACACAAACGGTGTCTAAAATATCTGCACTGAAACATCACCTATTTCCCACCAGAGACCTACCTCCAAAAATGGCCAGCCCCTAATTTACTTTATATGAAGCTTTCGTTAATTAAACAAGGAAACATTTTAAGATTTAAGTTACCTGATAGTTTGCGCAAGCAAATCACCCAGCTATCACTTGGAAATAATGTATTTTCTTAAAAAAACTAGGCTTTATAATTGCCTATTCCCTCCTCTACACTACCGCACGGGATGCCTAGGCCCTTTCTGAACATTCCTCCTGAGCACCACAGTCAATGAAACTCAAACCACTTTTGTGAAGCCATTAGACATCAGTCTATAGTTTGAAGCCAAAAAGGCCAAAATATTGGCAATACTTTCAATTCAATTTTTGAGGGATATCATCTTTTTAAAAAGTAACAAAGACCCACTTTTTCTAGACAGTCTCAAAGCCTTGAAACCTTACTGATACCTGCTAAAAGGTTTTTAGAACAAGGCACGATAACTTTAGAAATATCTTTGCTAAATCAAATTTTCGCTATTGGCAGTAGCGTGCCTCAAATGCCTTGAAAGGACGTTCGGCTGAAAATAGCTTTGAAACGACCAAAGGCTGATAATGTATCACTTGCCACAAAATTCAAGGCCAATTTGATCATATTGGTTCTCAAACAACCAAATTTGATTTAGCAAAGATATTTCTAAAGTTATCGTGCCTTGTTCTAAAAACCTTTTAGCAGGTATCAGTAAGGTTTCAAGGCTTTGAGACTGTCTAGAAAAAGTGGGTCTTTGTTACTTTTTAAAAAGATGATATCTCTCAAAAATTGAATTGAAAGTATTGCCAATATTTTGGCCTTTTTGGCTTCAAACTATAGACTGATGTCTAATGGCTTCACAAAAGTGGTTTGAGTTTCATTGACTGTGATGCTCAGGAGGAATGTTCAGAAAGGGCCTAGGCATCCCGTGCGGTAGTGTAGAGGAGGGAATAGGCAATTATAAAGCCTAGTTTTTTTAAGAAAATACATTATTCCCAAGTGATAGCTGGGTGATTTGCTTGCGCAAACTATCAGGTAACTTAAATCTTAAAATGTTTCCTTGTTTAATTAACGAAAGCTTCATATAAAGTAAATTAGGGGCTGGCCATTTTTGGAGGTAGGTCTCTGGTGGGAAATAGGTGATGTTTCAGTGCAGATATTTTAGACACCGTTTGTGTTTCTGCTTAGGGCTCCGAGATTGTACGAAACAAATACTCTAGAAACTAAGTTTGAAAAATCTTCTAGGTTAAAGAACGTAAATTTTTTTCCCGGGCAAAAGTATGGGGGTAGGTTTTTCTCCACAGCAACTGTGTTTTGGTTTGAAACATTCAAAAATCAAGCTCGAAATGGAGGCCGGTGATTGGCTAATGACATTTTGTAAACAAACCCGTTGATTGGTCTAGAACAAAATGTGCTCTTGTTGGAAGGCAGAACTTTCAAAACTCAATATGCTCTTTTAAAGTATAATGGTTTATGGTTCTTGTGGCCAATGTAAATATACCCGGAAATAAGCAAATGTTGAAATGACTAAAATGGCACCTTTTCGCTTAATCATCGCTTGCAGGCCAAACGCCCATTTCGATGCAGCCTCGATTGAAAATGTAACCAAATGCATTTTGGTGAGAACATTTTTCTTTTCATACAGAATGACGATTTGGCAATCTCTGTGATATTTTGAAATGATGTCATCAGGTGGAAGGCTGCTTCCCGACAAGACATCTTTGATCATGTTTATTGAAACTGCAAAACAAAAAATTCGAATTATGCCAAAGTGCATTCATGAAACAAGTTCGTATTGGGAAAATTAAATTCGTATGGAACTCAAAAACATTTTACAAACGTATAGCACTAAAACAAAGTAAAATCGAATTATATACTGAATAATTAGCTTAAATCGAGAAATACGTGCCCATTCTCTGGCTATATATTCTTAGTTTTCCTTTCTGTGCCTTAAAGTTTCCATATTCACGTGGCTTCAAGCACATCAAAACTACTTATAAATAAAAGCTTTACTGTCCCTGCGATTTTCCAAAGAACCAGACGGCTCTTAAACTTTACTCGTTACTATGAAAATCCTTTTCTGGTTCTGATCAACATAACAACTTTTCTACTAATAAAGGCACTAAGCGATGCTTTATAATTAATCGCCAGCTGCCTGTTAACATAGCAAGAAGTTGAATAAAAACATGCAAAGCTTCTAGCACGAGAAAAGAGGTGCTTTGTTGCCATCTACAAGGAAAACTACTCTCGACACAAATTCACCCTTTCTCGGATTCAGTTAATTGCCTTATTGGTTTAAATTTGACAATGGCTGCATATTATTTGCGCTGCCTCCTTTCCAGGTTTAACATATTAAATAAAAATTCCGACATAAATTTGACAGTAAAATTTGCTCAAAGGCTTAACCTTCAAAACAGTTTTCTAATTGCCAATTTTTCAAATTTATTTTTATACCGAGAGTTTTCTTCTTAAAGAATCTCGTTCTGACTATAATTATCTGTCATTGCTTAACGCAGAACCCATGGCTCGAAAAACGCATACAAGACGCAAAATTAGCTGGGAGGGGGTAATGTACTGGGAGAGTTCTTCGGATAACAGCTTTTTAGGAATTCATGACAGCGAATGATCTCTGATTCTCATGTGTACCTAGCAACTTAACAATCCAAAATCTGGGTCTGTTGCAACGTGCCTTCCCGTTGTATACGGAAACGGCTTAAGTGATACAGATATCTATAAAAGTTTCATGTTTAGCGGGTTCATGGATAAATAATTCCTAAGACCGGGGAAATTACTGAATGACTATATCGAAAAGTCCCCTGGAGCTTTATAATCTCGATTAACGGATTTAAGTTCAGTCACAGTTGCCATGCACAATTTTAACTGCTGCGCTGTTATGGAAAGATAATATAACTGCCAAAAAAAACCACATCACCATGTTTGATTACTTTCCAGAATATTAGAAAGCAAAGCTTTCGAAACGGTCATAATAGCTTCAGAACAATCAATCTTTGGAAGAATCAAGCCTGTCTGGATTCAAAGTAGCCTAATCTGGATTCATCTGAAGCTAGAACACAACATCTTTCGTAAGCCGCATTACACTGAACCTCTTCATGCATTCGAGGATTGAAGTTGAATCGATTATCGGATGAAAAAAATTCCCTATACAAGTAGCTAACGCTGTAAGAACGTTATGAATGTTATCACTGACTGAGAAAAAGGTGGATTAAATCAGGATTCACCAGCCTATGAATGGATTTTGATGTATAGGAAAGAAATGGTGGTGTCAGGCATATTTTCGTATCTCACAAACATCATATTATATTTGAAGTAACGTAGAGCAGGGTAAAGAGCAGAGGTTTTTTGAACTCTTGTGGTGTCTGCGTCGATTTTTTGCTTGAAAGAGAAGGAAAAATGCAAATAATTGCAATAGAAATTTTAATAAAATATATAAATTAAAGCGATGCATGAGCCGAAGAGTTGCTCGACCTAATTTCTCTTTGGAAGTCTTCACAGATCACTAGTTGAACTGATTTGGTATATAAGGATTTGTTGAGAAAAATTATCTTATCAAAGTTCTATTTTTACCTTTATATCCCTTGGGCTTATTGCATGGCTTGTATCTAAATCCCAAGAGATCTTCATCAAGTATAAAATATTTCTTCTTTCCCTTGTGCTTTTGTTTCTTCAGCCTCCGTATCTTGATCAACTTGCAGCCATTGCACATGAAGTCCCAGCAGTCTCTCGCTACAAAAGCAACCAGAAAATCTTAATTTCTTGCAAGATGCAACTTCTTAGTAGCAAGGTATTGTTGGTAAGGCTTTTAGTGGCAAGGCTTGATTGCGCTTGCAGTAGAGACATTATGAAACCACGATAAACAATAATTGTTAAGGTAAATTGGTTATTCAGCAAGGAAACCTACATCACAAGGTGCTCCACAGCACTTTTGCCTGGGGCCTATGCTGTTTATGATGGCTACCAAAGACGCTTTATGTTGATAATAAACGCATAAACTAGAAACTGTAAGGATTATACATTTCCCTAAACAGATAAAAGACAAGATTGAAATCTTTCAAAAATAAGGGATTTTAAAGAAGATAACACAATAATGCAACCGGATGATTTCAAAAGATAAAGGACGTGCTTAATGTTTCGATGGAAAACAGAAAATGTGTACACTGGACATTAATGTCGATAGTTTTAATACATAAAACCATTCTACAACAGAAATGAAAATTGCTGGACTGGGGTATGCACCAAATAACAATATACAACACCAAACAGTTGAGAAACACAATTATCTTAAATTTGATACTTTAATTCCTAATGATCTAAACAGAAACACCTCGTGCATTTTTTACCAATCGACAGATCGCTGATATTGAAAAATAACGATCCTCCAATTAAAGTATAGAATAATTGACAAAGCATTTGTTTTGTTAAGACAGGAACAAAAGCATAAATGAATTTTTACAATAGCAAACAGGTAAACAAATTCTGCAAATAATTCAAAACGACAAAAATCGAATTGCAACTGAAATTTGAATGTAAAACATGATCATCCACAAAGAGATTAATTACAACCATGATATTGAATATTTGAACATACTGATTTAATATTGGAACCATGAATGCTGAAACAAACTAAATCACATTTAAATTTTACACACTTTCGCCTTATAGGTGGAAATACGGAAGATTACCGTTTAACAGTTTGTTTTAAAGTGTCATATAAACAGTGATGCCATATAAACAGAGCTGTGTACTAATTGATGTATAGAACAGGACAGTTATTAGTTGCAACGTTCTAAGCTAATTATGCAAGTTACACACTTCAATAACCTTTATCTCCAGTTGCACTTGGATGATAAACTAGAACGAGAAATGATTTGTGAAAATTCATAGGAGAAGGCCTATGCATCCGAAACGTTTGCTAGCAGAATCCTTGCAGTTGAAATATCCACAGGACAATTGCATATTAGTGAATAAGTAACAAGAATATCAATATAAATATAGTAGGAGAAATTCTCAGCAAGAGAGAAAGCGACAATCTATCCTTGTTTATAACTTTCAAACCAGCTCTCGCCTGACATTAAATCCAGCCGTATTTCTGCCATAACTTACAATGATGGTCAACCCGAAGCCACTTCCGCAAGTTTTCAGAATGCACCGAAGACTTGCGAACAAGCATGCCATGTTTGGGCGACGCCAGATGTTCCTTGCTTTCTTTCCTTTGAGTAAAAACCGTCACAAGAAAGCTATCATTTGATTCCGTCATCTTGAAAAGCTTTGAACACCAGCTTGGTAAAATAGAGATTTGCTTGATGAAAATTGTGTTATTTGGGGACTAAAGATATGCAGAAACGGGCAAGTTTCCGAATGAGATTAAAGCTGTTGGTTGAAAAAGTTGAATAAGTTTAAGAAGGTTTTCGTCGATGTGGTTTCGCGTTTTACGTTGCGATCACCGTGAATCTTTGCCGATGATAGCGACATGCCCTTCAAACGCTGACAGCTTGCATCAGTGGCCTGCATCATCGAGTAAAAACCCAAACGTTCTCACATTGGTACCCAAATTAATTGCCTCATGATAGCAAATAAACTGAGTAAAACCATAGTTTCTAGCATTTCTGTTTATAATAATGACAAGTGCAGAATGAACGGGTTTTTCACTAAAATAACACGGTATATTTAATGTTTTAAATTGCAAGATACCCAATCTAAAGAGAGTCTCAATCTCCAAGCAGTTTCACCCTTTCGTATCCTTTCATTATTGAGCTTATAAAAATGCACCCAACATCAAATCAAATTAGACAACATTATACAGAAATACAATATTAAATCATGTTACAATTACAAAAGACTACATCAGAACCCTCACATGTTCAGGGGCGACTAGACAATAATGTGTATCCCCTTCAACAGTTCTGACTTTCCTTCGCCGGTTAGCCATGCAGTTTTCATGGCTCACACGCACACGCCCTTGAGTGGACTACAGAGGCTCATATTCTTATGTGTATAACACTGCATAATTGTGACTTCGAGATGCTTTAAAAAGTTAACTCGTAGTCGTTGGCGGGGGTAAAGTAATCCGGAAGAGAAGAGAACAAAAAAGAGAGGGGGAAACGTTGCTTAATTATACAGGAAAATATATAATGCAAAAAATTAATAATAGCCAAAGTAGCACCGAAAGAAAAAACTGAAAGTGGAAGCGGCTTGCGAGTGATGATGGCACGCGACTGACAGTAGACGCTGGGAAGGAGCAATTTTCTTTTAACATGTTTATACAGAAGAGAAGATTTCCGAACCTTCATCTGAAATAGAAATATTTTGTGCAAACGGCTTAAATTAAGAAACTTCTGCTCAAAGCAGATCATTGACACGGCAGGTGCAATCTAAACGCTTTACTGTAGCAACAAAATGGTTCTGTTGTTTGGCACTAAATCAACTGTAACGTGATCAAGGGTAATTTGCTTTACGTGAATACGTGGGATTAGTGGACTTGTAAATTAATAAAAGAACGACAAGCCTCATATTCTGATTCGTTTTAGTGAGATGGTATGTCTACTTTTTAAATGTAAACTGCATGTCTTAAAAGGCGGCCTTTATATCTTAACTTTGTTGCCGGTTGCTGAATAAACATCTTGGCGACCAGATACGAAAATTGCAAAAAAAATTCCAAATATATCAACTTTTACATGTAACACTTTGATTAATTGCCATCTCAGGGGATTTCCTCCAACATCCCCCCCCCACCCCCCTTATATATGACCAGTAATAATTAAAATGGGTGTTATCACATACCACCGACGACCGTTTTCTGATTGCAAATTTAAATACTGGAATAAATAGTGGTTTCTGTTTTTAGTTATGAAATTAAAGCCATGAAGTCAATTCAAATTAAGTAGTGCATTATTCCACATCAAACTCAGGGTGCAAATATTATTCTCCCTTCACTAGAAATGTTCAAAATGAATTAAACCTTGGAATGCAGGTCCTATACAAGTTAGATTTTCAGAAATGAATATATCTGGAACTTTGAATAAACGGTCATTAAAGTTTACTGTGAGATTTCAAAACAACCTATTTACAATGGAAGGAAGAATGCGGGAAATGGTGAAATAATTATGAAATTTTAATTAGAAATGATCACCTCGAAATAAGCTTATACATAGTTGATCGGATGACCTGGCTAAATGTAGATCAACCTTTTTCAAAGTCAGAAAAATTCTCCAGAATGAAAAATTTGTTTTCAATAGAAACAAAATTTCTTTTGACTGGGAAAGTATTTAATTATGCATTTCATTTTTCAGTTATTTTGACAGCTCACGTTAAGAAGTAAAACTGAATACAAATAGAAAGTAAGAGTATTTAAGACCTGAAAGTTTCCAATTACTGTGGCTTTTTGAAAAAAAACGAGTTAAATAAAAGTACAATATAAATTCATGAAAAGACCAGTCATTGGTGCTTTACTACCGTTATAAAACACAAGATTATACATTCATGAATGACCAATTTTTACCGCTATCACTTTTACTTTACTAACAAAAAATCCAGCAATTCCTTAAGCTCGGTGGAAGTAAAAATAAAATGCGCTCTTAATATATCAATCATGCCATCGGAAATAACAATAATATAAATATAACAATATCGAAAATCGTTGTTTAATGGCAAAGCTCCTCAATTTAATATTTCATAGCTATTAGAGGAAGACCATGATTTCATACCTCAATTACCTAACGGTTTCTACAGCTAATGCACAATTAGCAGGCATCATCACTGCGAAGGTATTAAACTTGGTTTAGTGTTATCAAGCTTTGGCGAAATCGTACGGCACACAAACCTTTGTAATCCGCCTTGAGGTGCTGTTCTAATATTGCGCAATGTACTGACGTTTTTCGCATGACTTGTCCACAACTTCCGTTCTTTTTCTCACTTCCTGACATGACTACACAAATATTAAGTAACAACTGGAATGATATTACATTATCCGCGTCTCGATTATCTGTTGACTTTCCGTTTTATCACAGCGTCAAACTGTAAATCAGCCATGCGAATGTTGTCTTTCTAAAGCTGAACTGCAATCCTTTCATCTTTACGTAGAGACAACACAAATTGCCGAGATCGCTTCGATAAGCTCGCCTCGCTCGAAACAGACGACGAGAGATCTATTTGCAAAACAATGACTCTTCTTGCAAAGCTCTTGGTAAACTTTGTAACAGTGTTACGTCATCAGTTCAGAGTCAACCTGTCGCTAACACTTCCATTAACTTCACAAAGGCAGCTGCACGCCCTGGGCTAAAAATTCAGAGCGCAATGCAGCTTAAAAATTCAATAGTCAATTCTAAGAACAAAATGACTTTGAATTCGATGGATTCCAGGGCAGGACTGTTACAGAGTGTTATATCGTCTTTGTACTGTTAACATCAGATGCAGGGAGATGCAAACATCAAACTTCAAATCGTAATAAACTCATTCGATATTCAAGGATCCTGTAAAAAAGAAATTGCGACCTGGCCACGCAGAGGAGTGGCATTCGTGAAGCCATGGAAAATAAAACAACAGGAAGAAAAATAGAAACTATGTTGATGACATCTTCAAGTCACTAGCAAAATTATAATTCCAATGATGTCAAAATGAATTATATGGCCTCGTAGAAAAATGTCCTTTAAGGCTTTCTACTATCTTCAAGTGGTTACGTTAGGCAATGGTGCAGGACATTTTCAGAAACAGTAGGAGCAACATGCGATAGCAGATTTGCTGACAGTAAAAGTCTCCATGACAACCGACAGCATTGTAGCAACCTGGCGCAGGGGCTAAAAGAAAAGCTTCCCTAATTGACTGAAGAAAAAGCAAAGATGAAATATAAGGAAAAACAAAGACCTTCATGGTCCAACGATAAATCTAGAAATTATTTAATGCCAATCCATAACTGTGACCTCAAGAAGACTGAAAAAAAACCAGTTATTTAAGTGCCAATTCGCTAGAAACCCAAACAAAAAACATTAGAAGGATGGCACTGTAGCAATGCCAAGCATAATATCACATCTTGCATGGCAAACATGATAAAAACCCTAGAGGTACAGGGCAATAATACCATACCAGCCCAATCAAAATTTTTGACGTTAATTATTTAAAGATCAATGTGCCTGATACACAGTTACGCATAGGAAAATGTGCAGGTATGTAAAAAAATTTATTGACAAAGATATTCATGGTGCTTCATGGTAATGTTGGCCGTGACAATCAAGTGATAAGATTTATGTATGGCCATTTGGCTGGTTCCCTCGACTAAATACGGGTCCTCTAGGAAATAGAAAGTAAGCATTGGATCGAAATGAATAGAGAAAAATCGATTTAGATTAGTTTACTTGTACATTTGTATTTGGTAGACTAACTATGTAAAATAAATATTCAACGACAAAACAAGGTGAACTTAACAAGGTGTCAATTTACAGTGCATTATCAAACAATTATTTGAAGGGACAGCCAGAACTGCATCTACTAGGACCATTCCTAGTGTGGTGGTTGTAAAGGCAATAGTCGGTGGAAGGAAATCTTCAAAATACCAGACAAGACAATGTAGAGAATGAAACAATGTCAAAACACCTGCCGTAAATTATGGTATCCTTTCGCAAAAGAATTTCGCTATAATCTAAAAGAGCTTCTGTATTGCCAAATAACTGCTTCCTATCGACGGCTAGGACAATACGAATATACGACGATAATACGAATTCAATCTAGCACTGCTGATCCAAAAAGGGAGGGAAGAAAAAGAGAAGAACAGAAATAAGAACAATAATTTCTAATTAGATTCAAATATAGGGACAGAAAACCCAAAGGCACAGATCAGAGTTACTGTAAAAAAGCATAAAAGAAAAATCACAGTGACACCGAAAATAACATCACAATTTGCTCCGAGAACATGCGAGAGATGTAAAAAGGGTCTACATGGTTAAGTACAAACAAAAATTGCGCTACTAAACTTGGGTGGGATCAAGGGCTTTTTGAGATAGCCAGGAACAGCAATAGAGTTTATGAAGGAAGAATGAAAAAGACAATTATCGGGGAATTGTGAAAAAATAGGTCTGAGATACAGAAAAGAAAAAAGAAAGAGCATTGTCGATTCTACAGCTGAATAGAGAAACAAAAACAAAAGAACGGACGCAAAAAAGTATCAATGAACAATTTGAGACCATTCTGCAAATGCCAAGTGCCATCTTAAATACAAAAACTGAAGACATCGCAATAAGACTATTGATTCCCTAAATATTTTGCTAAAAAGAAAGTGATACACAAAGGGCCTTACGAAAAGAAACCTTGCAAAAAATATGTGGAATTTGAAAATTATTCTGCCAGTATCTAGGTTGCATCCTCAGGCCTGTTTCAACGAAACCACAAGTTAGAATTCAAAGACAAAGTGTTAGAAACAAATCAACACAAGGACACAAGGATGAATTAAAGTAGTGATGATAAAGAAGCCTAACCTGTAAGAAAATTAGCTTTTTTGTCTCTACGCAAAATACACGGGACAATTTAGCAAAAATTGTGTTTTTAACGTATTTAGAAAATTCTGTCTCGGATCGAATTCCTCTCGTTGTGAAGTTCTTCTGTGGAAATATTGTGGCAACAAAGAAAATGTTTAGGCCATTTTAGAAGAATCATTAACGAAGTAACTTTGATTCTTTAACCGAAGTTTATACTGCATTCCTTAACTAGTACCAAACAAAGAATATGGTTAATCATTGTAAAGATATTCGAGTTCTTTACTAAAATATTATTTGACTGTACATAAAGCAAGAACAATCAATTGATAAAGAAATGTTTGGCAGAGGTCACAGTTTCCCTGAATAGGCAGTAAGACTGTAAACCTTCGGACTACCACGTAAATTTCAAAATATCACGCACTGCTACTTCATCATTATCGTCGTAGCTATGTTTAGAGCAAAAGTAATTAGCAGGGTCCAGCCATGAAATGCAAAAGACATCATGATGTTGGTGGAAATCGTTCTTTTACTGGCAAAATATGAAGAACGTTGTCGGAAATTTGTCTGTTTGCGAAGAGAAAATTGTCCAAGCATAATAGATCTAAATGAGATCGACGGAGACAGAGAGTTTATCGTAACAAAACTTCCGCATAAATATGGTTTCAAAATTTTATTTCTTCTCAGTGAAAGAAGAGCCTAAGAGAGTTACAGTCTTACCGGTGTTGTCAACATTCTGCTATTGTTAGAAAAGGGCAGAAAGTTAGTTTGCCAAAAATCATGAAATAATCAGAATGAGTGAGATGACAGCAATGGTATAATGCCTGTCATGGAAAAGAGTTGATATGGCCATCCATTTTCTGCGATCTTTTTCACCTTGTAACATTGCAATTTTTGTTATTATAGCCTGCGCGCAGACGCTAAAACTTCTCCGTCGTGAAATAGCAGGCATCATGAGTTTTTTCTACTACGCGAAATTTCTCCTACTTTTCCAATAGTTGAGTCTGCATGCAGGCTGTGTTATTAAAGAGTCACCTGCCATGGATGGTACACGTTTTTTATTCATAAGAAACTGGTTTATAAGATACTAGTACTAGGACACCCAAAAATTTAACAAATATTAGTACTAGGTATCGAAAAAGTAAGAAACTCTAGAAATTTTATTTTTTAAGCAAAATTCAAAAGCTTTAATTTTGTTGATTTTTCTTTGGAAAAGATAGCATTTTTTTAATTTTGATCTGAATGGGTTGTTTCGTGACGATCTGCATTCATATTCTTCCAAAGATGCTTAAAATCAAAACAGTAAGGCAATTTAAGCTCCCGAAACAAGAAACCAACTAAGAGACTTTTAGTACTACAACGCCAAAACTTGGATGCCAAATTAAGAAACTTTAAGCAATATATGCTGATCCAAATTTCTTATAAAATAAACACGTGTATACCATCTTCAAAAGTACCATTTTCCCCTGTTTTCCTCCATTTTACGTTCCAAACCTTTGGCACAGTTTCAATACACATAGAAATACAGATACAAAATAATTTTAAATTAGAATAAGACGACAATCCTTTTTGTTCCTCTCCAAATTTTTTGATCGTTTTATCACCTTCTCTCCCTGATGCGGGCTATTTTTACAGGTTAAATGAGAGAAGCAAACTTGTGTATTACTAGCACGTACTTACTTTGATTATCAGTTTCTTTTATTTAAACTGATCCCTACATTCTCTTCATTTTTAAGGAAGGTAACAAGTACACCAGTATTTCTATTTAACTGTTATTCCCCATCTATCACGGGTTTATATCATACAAATACTTCATTACAATTACCGCGCCGTCGGAAGCGAGGGGAGCCGGAACTTTGCGTTCAATGAGGTTCTTCAGGTTCGCAGGAGAGCTGCTTGTTTACGAGTGTTTTTAATATAAAGGCACATCAGCAAAATGCACGTTGTGTACTTTTTGTCATAATTTCTTTTACTCGTAATACTTTAATCATTCAATCATTTTTTAAAATTTGCTTTTATCTGAAAACTATAATACTTAACTTTAGCTCGACCTGATAACTTCGCTCTTTTAAATTTGAGAAATCAGAAACAAATACGAATTATTTGTTGATAACTGGAATAACAATTCTTGTCAAATTTTTCAGAAAAGGCCAACACCAAATGATGAAAATAGGTTTCATGAAACTAGTGTCGACAGAATATCTTAATGGGAACAAATTTTTTTCCCAGCGGAAACATATCTATCGACAAATTTTTAACGGCTGTACATTAGACTCCTTGTCCAAAGATACTATATTTATGAGACATTTGAAACGGTTGATACAGTATACAGTAATATTGCTACATTGAATAAGAAACAATGTTTCCTGATGGCCATCTTGCAGCTTTTTAGTAGAGGAGAGGCTTGGCTTTCTGGCAGAATGGGAGGCCAGAATACTCTGCTCTTCCCAGAAATTTTGCTTCTTCCAAGAATAGGGGTTCACTTTTTACCTCTTGAAGGGGAGCAAGCATGCAGCGACTATTGGCTCTAACCCCTAGCTCTGCTCTGCCAACATACCTGATAGAAGGCATCACCTATTGTGGTGTTCTTCATATGTAACTTATAAATCCTTTTGAAGGCGACGTCAGTCGCCATCCTAATATTCTAAGTAATCACCATGAGTAGCTAGCCAAACTCAATCTTAAACATACAAAATAATCTGTTAACCAAATCTAAGTCTTCTTCTGGGAGAGATGGGTCACATGACACAAAAAAGCTACAAAAATCATACCCTGTCCCCTGAATTTTGATGTGATTCATAATACCTTGTCCCTCAATTTTTATCAAAAAAGGATACCTTGTCCACAAGCACATTCCACAAGGTATATTACTGGAGAGGTCCCCCTGAAATTGTTGTGATCCATGCATTCACAAACAATTTTTTGACTTTCCACACATTCACGCACTGCAAAATTGGATTTTCATGCTCACGCAAAAAATAAAGTTAATAGCAGCTATTGCTCATCAGAGTCCTGTTTGAAGGACTACATCACTACTTTCAAACTTTGAATACAAATTTGATATTTAACTATTATTGGTTTATTACGCACCAAATTGACGCAGTTTTTTGGATTATCATTCAAAATCCTTCATGAATTCACGGATAGTTAAAGCCTTTTCACAACATAACGCAAGGAAAATTCATGTTTCACGCTTCAGGAATCTTAATTCAAGAAATCACCCATGAAAGTATGGCCAATAATGCAAAAATATTGGGGTCCCCCTATTGGACTGTCCCCTTGGGTTTTATCAGTAAAAATAAAGCTATATGACCGAAGTAAAATACAAACAAACAAACAAGAATTTGATCAGTGTAATACCTTCAAGATAATCATCAGTACCATCATCTTCTTGCTCAGAATTTTTTGTTGGAGTAGAATTTTCTGTTGGAGTTGGCAGAAAATTCCTCTCATTGCAGGAAAACTCATTCCCCATAATAACTTGTCTTTGATTAAAACCAGACCTAGGGTAAAGGGAGACACACTATAATCAATTTCACACATAAGATGATAAAGGTCAAATTTCTACTTTAAGTCTAAAAAATGATGCTAAAGATCTTCGATCAAAAGTGCATGTCATTCTGCTAATTTCTGACATTTCTTTATCCAAGTTTTGAGGACCTCAAAGAGAGAAACAATCAATCATTTTGATCACATTCACCAATGTTCATTAAATATTTGATTAAATAATGATTTGGAGTAATAGAACAGTCTACCATTGCCAGGCTATATAATTAGCAAAGCAATTTGAAGATGTTTACATTTTCATCCAACTTAAAGCTCCCCTGGTCTATCTAATTACGGGTTCAGTTAAAAAACAGTTTCATAAGATGATGCTATGGTGAAACTTAGGAAAGTGGTATCAAAATTGACTCACATTATCAAGCTGCTTGGAAACTATCTAGCACTCAGTGATAGATTTAATATATTAAAGACTGATACTCTGTATCCCATACACTGATGTCCAAATCCCATACACTGATTCATCAGGTACTAATATTCATCAAATATGCAGGAAAAAATCTCAGGTGCCATGACACATATAATACACAACTTTTACTGTTGCTATTGGATGCAAATAAATAATTGATATCTTTAGATGCATGATGGAATATCTGCAAGAAGATCTAAATAACTACATTTCTGAGGCAAAAGCTTTCAAGTGAGAGATTGCTGGGTCAAGGTTTTCTTGTAGACAAGGCTATACAATGGGAGTGGTAACTTTTTATAGCTTTGCAAATGACATAACAGTCAATAAAATACTGTTTAGTAAAAAGGACAATCACTCAGAATGAATAGGACATCACTCAGTATGTTGTTTTAGCAAATGATGGTAAAGGGAGACTGAAATTTGAAAGCCATTAAATAACAAACTTCAGAATATCTTTTAGCTCTTCTCATTACCACAAAAATTTATAATAATCATTTTAAGAAAAGTGTGCAATAAAAATTCAACAGGGGGGCATGAAATTGCAAAACAATCCTGTGGCCATTCTCAGTTAATTCAAAATCAGTTCCAAAAATTGTATAGAGTTTTTTCATAATTTTCCTGTATTTTACAGAGTACAGAAATTCTCACTGCAAAAAAAATCACCTGTGAAACATTCACAACTTGCATTGAGTCAATTGATAAGCCCGACAGGTACACAGTGAGAGCTTGTATTCTTGGAGGGGTGGCTGACAACACATTTATCAAAATTTCTGAAATTTTCTAACAAACTGGGTGCTTAAAGGTGGATTTAGCCTCCTTGAACAGCCATTGTGCCCCTATAGCCTAATATAGTAGACACTGGGTCACCATCCTGCCAATGAAAGGTGTTATACTATGGACAATATTGTCCTTGTTAGTGTGGGTTTTTGAAAATTCAGGGAGGGGGAATTGTGTTAAAATGCCACAGAGTTGCAGAAATAGTTACATATTTATTTATTCCTTGTTTCTTTGTAATATTTTCCATTGCTGATTTAAATCAACTACCGATATTCATTACTTTATTGCCATCTGTATGCACCAAAGCATTTGATTTTGAGGCTTAGTTAGGAAACTTTAATTTTATTATTTTATTGATGTACAAAATATATTTTGGAGACTAGCTGGCTCAAGAAGTTTTTAAAAGGTTTTTTCATAGGAGGGTATATACAATTCAACATCAAAAAGCCATTTTAATTGTGCTAGAAATTAATATCTTTTGGCTGATGGCCTGCAGTGAAAATATTTGCCTCTTGTTTATAAATGGCAAAGTTCTGCGATATGGTTTTCCAGAAATCTGAAATTCGCAAATCCTAGACTTATTTCTAAGTTCTGGTAACCCAATTCTTGGAACGACGATTAACGAAACCGTAATGCGGAAACCTGAGGTTTTGGCGACAAATCGTACACAAAGTCTATTATTAATCTGTGGCAAGGTCAAATGAAAGTGGCGCTAGCATGCAAGAATGGGACACTAGAAGATGATATGGTCATTAAAACAAAAAATGAAATGAAAGTTAAGTTACAAGTTGAGTTAGCAGTGAAAAAATAAGGGAAGTTTTTAGGCCGCTTTTTGCTAACGTAAATTAGAGAGAATCTACATTCACTCACAGCCTTTGCTTCGATTCTTGGGATGGTTGTCAATTTGTAGTCAAAATTCCAACTTTATGAGAATAGTTCACATGTAATTTCCATGTACATAAATCGATGAATCCCAATTAGTTTTATGAAATGGAATGCTCATTTTGGTCGGAACGCGACTGCATGGTTGAATGATTGCTTTAAAACATGGTGATAAAACCGACAAAATAATCAGATAAGAAAGAAAATAGCCGCAAATCGATCTAAAGATTATATTTACTTGTATAAAATAACTCAAATATGTTATCATACCAAAACTTTGCTCTTCTGAACGGGTTCTGAACACGCGTCTCTCGCCTCTGCTTTTCCCTCACTCTGAGAACTTCCGTGTGGACTTCTTCTCGTATGACGTCAATCGATGCTTTCACTTTATCAATAAGAATGTTTATTTTTATGCAATTTTTATTTGTTTTCAGATCCGTATTAAAAATAGCCTGACTCTATCCTTTCTTGCTGCATTGTAGCTGCTAAAGAATTGTCCAGTTTGTGGGAAAGTTTTTTACAACGATAGGCGTAATTTGCAGAATGAAACTTGGATTCAACGAGCTTTACTTAATTATAGAGTAGAGTGGAGCAAAGGAATTTTGCGTTTTATAAGTTTTGGTGTACACTTGAGCAGACAGATTCATGAAAGGACCAGGTGCCAAAATTACAGAGCAGGTAAAGCTGTGAAGGCACTGCGGAGCTTTGAGAAAAGTGGGGAGTCTAAAAAAGTGGGAGGGGGTAATGTAGTAATGCTAGTTTGGATTTCGTTTGTTTTGCAACCTGTAACCTTAGTAATTTTATCACCATTTGCACATTCGATTGTTTATAATTCCTTTTGTTTTCTAATTGCACCTTTAGATTCATTAACTATTTCTTTTGGGATTTTTAGTATCATTATTCAGTTTAAGTAATTAATCTTGGGAGTAATATATTTTGTATTCACTATTATTATGTAAATTTACATAGCTATGTAGCATTACAATTAGTTCTTGTTTAGTTACATTTTGGGCGTGTTGCATTTAGAGATAGTTCTTGAGTTCGTTGAAGTTGGAGTTTTGAGTGACAGCGATAAGTTCAAACTTGACAGGCCTTATTTTAAGGCTCAGTGATAACCAATTTGTGCAGTGATAAATCCAAAATTTGCCAATCATAAATGGAAAATTGTGCAGTGATAAATTAGTTGAAACAGCAACATAAAGAATTCATACGACAAAAAGTAACAAAAAATAAACAAACAGAACATAACGGTAATAGTATGAAAAGCGAGGCAAACAAATCAACAGATTCTGGTGTATAATATGTTTTAAAAATGTTTTCTCATATCCTTTTCTGCGTCTTTTCTCTCCCTTTCTTCTAGCATTTCACTGCTAAAAAATACTTAATATGGACTTGATTGAGGCAGTATTCCCTTCATGCGGAAGGGATAAAGAAGAGTCATGATGGTATTAAAAACATTCAATCAAATTTAGAGGCACATTAAAGCACTTTGCTGAATGTCATTTATTGCTAGTGGGTTTGTGCTATATGTGTATTTCTTGTGCTTTTACATCATCGTACAGAAAGAAAATTTTCAGGATCTTAAGTCATTTTAAGCTTTTGTCGGCATAACCCTTTCGTTATTGACAGAATTTTAGGATTTTTGCCTACTTTATCTAAAAATTCAGCAAAAATTGATTTTTCAAGATAACTGGATGATCTTTTGCCCAAGTAATCATCAATAGCTGTATTTTATACAAATGATCTTATTATGCCAAAATTATATTATAATTGGACATTAATTAGCATCCAATTTGCATAATTGAATATAACAGAAAAGAACTTTATTAATTAAGGTCAATTATCTTCAATAATAAAACACTTAACTACTTTTTTCTTTCAATAATGTATTTTGTCATAGTCTTAGCACACTGAGTTGAAATATCGATAATTTTTCTTGAACAGTCTTTTTTTAATTAATTAATATGCAACAATGGGTCTAAAACAATTCAATTCAATTTGGCAAGTGCAATTTCGATTTCGACTATTAAGAGAAAGAAAACAAGTAAAAAACACAAAATCTATGAGAGAAAAGATTGTAATTTTGACCAAATGTTCTTTTTTACTTTTTATGCTTTTTTATTTTTTACTTTTTTTTTGCTTTTTCTCTATCTAATCTACATGAATTTACCAAAAACAACAACTAATCTAGCGATCACGACTGTAACTTAGGAAAGCTTCCTTGTACTGCTCAAACTCTGGGGAATGGAAAAGCAAGAAGCAGTTTCTTTCTCCAATACACAAAGGGATATCACATACAACACAGCAAAATGATGAGGTTTTTGCTCTATAACTTTGATCTATGCTATGCAATGACTTCATAACTGAGCAAACTTTGCAAACTTGGTGTTTCTCAAGCTTCACCGGCAAATGCCCTTTCTCTAATCTATTCTGCCACAATTCCTTTTTACTAACTGCCTTCTTCAAAGTTGCTGATCTTTGCTTTGCACTATTTACTGCATGAGCTGTTGCCTTACAGATGAAGTCCTCTACATTACTAACTTTAGTACCTAAATCTGCAAATGATCTCTAATGTTCGGCTCTAATGGCTTTCTGCTCAACAAAAGCAAGCTGAAGGGCTAAATCCTTTTTAAAATCAAGAAAAGAATAGTTCTTAGGCATTTTCTGCTCAGGGGTTGGGTTTCTAAGCTCTCTCCAAAACACATATGCATCCCAAGCACAAATATCAACAAAATGAAAGAATAATGTTTTCCAAAACTTTTTAGTCCTATATTGAACAGAATACATATGGTACATCTGATCAGACAAATCTACACCATTCATATCTTTGTTATGATCTGAAATGCATTTAGGCCTCAAAACCTTAACCTTTTTATGACTTCCATCAACCTTTGTATTCCTTGTACAATAATCATAATCATTGGCAGAATGGTAGGTGGAGAGATCAGAGACAACATTCCTATCAACCCACTGTACAAGCAACACATCATTCGGCTTTTCCCCATTTCTAATATACCTTATTGTTCCTCGATCAAGTTTCTTCCCCCAAGACTGCCTATTTTTCATTACCTCAGGAAAGGATGAGGAATTTTCCCTTACAGTACCAACAGCATTTATACCAACTGAAGTCAAATATTGGAACAATGGGACACTGCAATAAAAGTTATCAGCAAAAAGAACATACCCCCTGTTTACCAGAGGTTTTGTTAAATTAATAACAACTCTGGCAGCTAATTGGTTGATGAGATTTCCTGCATTTTCTGGATTGGGGTTTTCATTAAAAGCCTTAGCTCTACCAAGTCCTCTTTCTATCCCTTCAAAACTATTATCAACAACACTGAAATCATCCCAATCATCCTTTCTGCTTTTACCAGTATAAACCACCATATCCCAATTGTAGCCTGTAGCAGAATCAGCTAGAACCCAAAGTTTGAAACCCCATTTAGTGGGATTATTCGTTATATATTGTTTGAAGAAGAACCTACCCTTAGACTTAACCATACGTTCATCTATTGACACACATTTACCAGGAGTAAAAAGTTCCTTACAGCGACTTCGCATATGGTCATAGAAATTCCTTATTTTTCCTAATGGATCACTTTTGTCCTCTGTCTCAGGGTTTACACAATGAAGGGCAGCAAGTATTCCGCAATACCTAGAAAATGTTGGAATAAACATTGACCCAAGAAGACCAGAAAAAGCTTATCATTCTGCCAGTAGTTACGCCTAGCAGGGGCCTTAACAATACCCATATAAAATAGACAGGCAAGAAATCTCCTAAATTCCATCAAATCAATGGGTCTCCACACATGGCAACCATGGTCCTGGGACATGTAGCTTTGACCTATTCCTTGACCATACACAGCATAAATGTTTGAGTTTTCAATTATGGTTCCCATCAGATCAAAAGAAAAAAAAAGCAAGAAAAAGTCTAAGGCTCTACAAGGGGCACTGCCTCTCGCCCAAACTACTTTTGGGCCAACACTGCTTACATTATGTGGTGGAAGCCACTTCTGTTCCCTATCACCTGTGTAGCCTAGAGACTCTGCCAAACTACAATCACTATCCTGATACTCCTCTTCACTAACTTCTGACTCGTCATGGATCTCATCGACTACTACAGCTCCGTCCAGCTCATCGTCCAACTCAACTGGATGTCCTGAACCAGCCAGACTCTGCCTGAAACAAAGATATAGAAAATAAGCAAAGACAAGATGATTTATAATTTGGTAATTTCTGCAGCAGTGCAACAAATAGTAAAGAAATCTAAGTGAATCTGTTCAGAGCCACCATATACAAAATCAGCTGATTTGTTTATCACGGGCCTAAAATTTCTTGAAAACCACTCCCAAAAAAAACAAAAATTTTTGGCCGTACTTAGTTAGCCATTATTCTAAGATTTTCACTACAGCTTCAGAAATGGTTCTTCTTTATCGCTAATGTATCCAAAAGTTTGAAGGAAACAATATGTAAACTTACGATCCACTCTCATTCGAAGTTTCAGGATTTTCTTCTCTTTGTCGCTTCCTGCGGGGCTTCCTTCGTCTTGGTTCGTCCACTCTTTCCGTCAGCGGTGCTACAAACCGAATTTCTACCTCTCTACCACTTAATAAGGCACAGTCGATCTCAAATTCATCTTCTGAGTCAAGTCCGTTCTCATTATCCATTTTAAAATCAATTTTGAAAAACACGCCTCATTCACGACATACGCAACAAGATCAGTCAAGATGGCGGTTACAGGCCCACGTTGTCTGGGATATTTATACGAAAGAAGCGCATAAATTAATCAAATAAGTATAATTTTCTAACTGTCCAATCATATTTGAGCAAAAGGACAGTGCTTGTGAAAGACTGTGCCTGATATAAAGAGAACAATCGACGTTACGGGACAACCGTAAAGAAATATTATATTTATAGAACCTTTTATCGTGGAAAGATCGTTTGATCTGAAGAAAGACGCTTGAACATTATCATTGTGTCTATTTGTTTCTTTTCTCATCGATGGAAGGACCATTTTGTCTCGACGATAACGATAGGGTGGATACATTCATTTAGCGAAAACCCCTAGTACAGTAAAACCATATAAAAAGAGGCTTAACTGGTAGTTTATTACTTAATATTTGGTATTTATTACAAAAAGTGGAGGGGGCTATATTCATATTTAGCCTCCCCCAGCCCCCACTGCTCCACGGTGCCTTCTGAGTGAACAGGTAAAATATGCCCTCTCCCCTGCTTTTTTTCAATAAGCAATTGTATTTTTTGTATTTTTTGGTAATTGTTTCTACCGAGCACCCGAAGATAGTTTTTAGGACACTGAGAATCTATGTATGTCGAGAATTGTCTTGGTCCTTCTTCTCGATGTAAATCCCAGTCTTCTGCCGCAATGTGAAGAAAACACAAGGCTTTATATTCTCCATGCAAACTAAATATCTATGATTTTCAAGGTCGTTTGATGCTTCAATTGGGCTTCCTAGTAGATAGATCATGGTTGTGGTGACTGAGAAGACGACCTTGAGAAACTTTGAAACGATTAAACTACGTTTAGATGATCTGGTTTGTTATAGTGTCATTTATCAGTCAGTAATCAATAGCACTGCATAGTTCCTTCCGACGACAATTCAAAAATTACTCTCAACAAAAGATGTATAAAACTTTTTAGATGTCTATTTAAGGATAACAAATTTAAGATTGCGCAATTTTCTCGTGAAAACGAGGTTTTGACCCCCCTTAACAGACCGTTTAAGCATTTATGCGCAAGAAATATGCTTAATTAATTGTAAGACTTTAACTTTTTTTCATTGATCACTTTCATATACGCAAAAACGAGACTTCAAACATAAAAAAGAGGCTGATGGCTCCCCAAATTCCCCTTGAATTGACGAAAAGCAGTTGGTCCCATAAATTTCGCCCTCGAGTGACCATTCCCCTATTCTCCGCCTGGTCTAAAAAGGATTGCGTTCCTACCTCACAAAAGAGCTCCGTTGTATATGAATTTACGTGCTTGTGTAATACTGGCTACATAGGACGCGTTACCCAAAGATTGGAGGATAGAATAAAACAACATGTTCCGCCTAGTATTAGAAACAAAACTCGTCCCCAAAGAGAACAGCCACCTCGGTCTTGCAGATCTAAAACTACAACTAGAACACGCAATTCTGCTATTGGGCAGCATTTACTGGAAAACCCAGATTGCACAAAAGCTATAATGGCGACATGTTTCGGATTATTGGTAAAGCCCAATCTTCGTTCCATCTAGCAGTTTTGGAATCTATCTACATAAGCACGAAAAAACCGCTACTGTGTAGACAAAAGGAGTTCGTTTTTACAGGGAACTTCGCAGGCGCACATTATTTTGACGTCATGTTTTGGTTTATTATTCATTAAGTTGCTAAGAGATGTATTTGCACAACAGTAAATAATATTTTCAACTTTTAAGTTTTTTGCGCACATCCATTGTCACATTTTTGAGGAGAAAACGCATTACACCCATTTGTGTAAGATCTTGCACTTTGATTGGTTAATTAGTTATAATCCTATAGCGGTTTTTCGTTGGAATATCAGTTCGGTGGTTTTAGACTGGAAAGAAGTTGGAGAAAATGATACACAGAGAATGTTGAGTACTTCTTATTCGTGTCTTCTGATCCATTGCATCCTCAAGAACTAGCAAGAAATTAATATCGCTGCGGTGATATATAGGAAACTGGGCAGCCTCAACAGTCATGTCGCATTTCTGATTGGCCTATTTCAATCAACAACTGGGTAGATACGTATATTTCCTAGCATAGAGTTTTCGATCTATGTTCTGACGTTTTAAACTCTGAAGAGTGTCAGACGAAAAGACTCATTTTATTCAAATGTTTCCATTTTATAAAGCCATTTTTAAGTTTTGTACCACCAAAAGATTTTGGGCTCCTTCGACGAGTAAAGGGGTTCTCCTGTTCATTCGCCCGTTCAAAGCTGTATAACGATTGAGGGCCAGGTAAAATTGGCAAATTAGGCTTTCAGGTCAGCACACTCGCTAAGCAACTTTGTTGCAAAAGTTTCTTTATTAAAAACTTGATTTTGAAAAAATACCACAGGATTACCCTTTTTTGCCCAATCAACTTTGTTCTGATTTCATGCTATTCCGAAGTCCGTAATTTCTAGATCCTAAATTTTTCTGTTTCCAGTCCGCAAATTACCATAATTATCCTAAACAAGGACCCCAGAGCCTCATAAACTTTTCAGCTGTGCTCTGTTACTTGATTGCATCTTTTTTTGAATAATGCAGCTGCATCGTCATTGAATTAAAAGAGACGTTATTGTTTTAAAAAAACATGTCATTTTGGAACAAAATACGCTTTAATCCTCTATGAAAATTCTTTTCATTTCACGTAAGGAGGAGCTTCCAGACGGAAATTTGGAATAATGTCGTTAGCTTCTATAAAGAATATCTGTTGTGTTCTAAATTGAAAATCAACAGGGGCTTAGTGCCAGCCCTGCTAATGCCGAAAATTACTCAATTTCTACATTTGCTTTTGATTTTAGCAACGTTTTGTGCAAGAGCTTCTTTGTTTGTCCAAAGGATTTAATTACTCAGGCATTAAGGCCTTAACTCAAGCCCCCTTCAAGAATGACTCCCTTGAAGATCAGGTTTATTTGATTACTGTATTTATATCCTTAGTTCAAGATTTTTTCAAGTTGAACTTTTTTACTGAAGGGACGTCGTTATACAATAATTATTATGTTATTTTGATTGCACTACACCAATGATCCTAAGCCACTCTATTTTCTGTCACAATATCGAATCATCCATTCTAGAGAGAACAAAGAAATCTTAGCTTTCTTATTTTGGGCAGTGAAGTCAAGTAAAATTATTATCATGTCAAAAATTAAGGAATATGATTGGAAAAAATTGCAGCTGTGGAAGTGTAGTAACTGACTGAAGAAGCTCTCCAGGCGCTTATTTCAAATCTTGATATGAACCTACCGGAGGAGCTTTTAGCTAAGAAGAAGAAGGAAAGTTTGCCCTCTTTTCAATCTTCTCAGATAGGCTCTGGTACCCAGGATAATTGTAACCAGGAGCGCATTTTCAACAAGGGCATAAGATTTGTTACAAAGAACGCATTTTTAATTTCCTTATGATCCTCCTGAAATTTGTCCTGGTAGTTACCTTTCTAATATAGCTTAAATGTGAATGTTTAAGATACACATTGTTTACAATAAAATGATAGTTTTTATGCTTGCCAGCGCTGAAGTTACATCTGCTCGGAGAAGCGTCCCTCCGGTGCCAACTGCGGTTTTTCAGCTAATATGTGACGGACCAATTGAAATTATGATGCACCTGCGCATGCCTTGATACAATGTACACAGAATATATCATAAGGTACTGGGCTATAGCGTCTGAGTTTTAACTCTTTGATTTTAGAATGAAGACGGTAATAATATTGCACCAATCGATTTGGCAATGCAATAGGCTTGAAAATGCTAGATTTGCTTTGAACTTGAAATATCAAGGCTTAGTGAATTTTAAGCTACGATTAGAGGAACACAGTAAATAACTGAAATAATCTAGTGATTTCAAAACAACAGAAAACGAGACAGCGACCACCATTTACAAATTCATCAATGGCCTTGCACGTAGATCTGTCCAGACTCAAAGTATCTTTTCCCCGAGATTGACTTGTATTCCCTCCAATAAAATCAACTAACGGGGATCTTTTGAAAAGCCTTGAACCTTAGGCAAGGATAGGTCACATTAAGATTTACCTAAGGAAAATACACCTGGTGTCATGCACTGGAAAGACGCAAAAGGAATGATTTTATGGGTAACGGCCATTACCCCTGCCCCCCCCCCACATCCTTCAGTAGCTCGTGCCGTGAAATTTGCGTTGGAAAAAATGGAACATGACTGGTTTACGAGTAGAGTATTACAAAGAAGATAAACCAATTTACTAATTTAAACAGAAACAGCTTGCACGAGAACCAATAAACTTATTGCGATGTTTTTTGAACTACAATTCATTGGAGAATTTATCAACAATAAACTACTCTAAATTTCATATTCTAAAGATATCAAACTTTCTGATAGCATTATGTGTCTTTAAAAGTGCTTTAGACAGTCATATTTTGCATTTAATAATAATATCAATTAAATGTGCGTATAAATGTGCATATAAATGTGCATCTATGATGTAGCTTTAACATTTATGAAAGAGTATAAAGTTTTTTGCCAAGAAAAAGCTACAAAAACGTCTCAGTTACTCTGCCTGCATTGAATGAGGTCAGAAACTATATACATTTGACAGAAAATACAAAATTCGCGGACACTACAAAATTATTTTGATTCATGTATTAAAACTAGCGACAATTATTGTAAAATATACTAACTGGATCAATGTAATCATTTAGATGTTTGCGATGGAAACTCACCCTATACTACAGAAAAGGCAGGCAGTCACTTATGTCATGATGTTTCGGAATTTCCAATAGCAAACTTGGTTTACCAATTTTAACAATATTGCTGGAATTTTATGGAACATGGTAACAAAGAGGTAAGGCATATAAACAACCAATCAAGGTCTGTGTATGGTCTCCATACATCTACTCGGTGGGTGACGGTCTATAACTGGAGATATAGTTTAAATGAGGGACGGCTATAGACTGCGTGCCATTCAGATGTAGAATAAACAACTTACAATTAACGCACACAGCTTTTGCAACATTGCATCAACTAAGTTGTTTCCCTAAACATTACCATGATTTATAGGCCTAAACAAGACTCTTTATAATGAGACCAAAAATCGCAAAAAAGGAATAAGAATGGTCGTTTTATGTGGTTCTATCTATAGTAGCAATGGCTCTATGGAGGAAAATACAATTAGTTCATCTCCTTTCTCTTCTCACACTGATGATCAAGGATGTATTTTCAAAATTTGTCATGTGCCTAGAAATTATAATTATTTTCTCCTAATAAATCACCGATTTTCAGCGTTTCATCGCAAGAATAATTGTCTATTGAATCTGAACTTTGAAATGATGTCATTAATGGGCTGCCATCTTTGGGAAAACAAGGCGTGAAGTGAAATGAGGACACACTTGGTAGCTGCGATGTCGGAACTATGCTGCTGGCGAAGGAGCTTTCGTAGCTTGTCCCATAAATTTGCTGTATGGTGCCGCGCGGCAAAAGCGGTGATTTCCTACCACCTTGGTATGTGACAGGATTTTGTCCTGCTCGTAGGGGCGTGAATATAAAGTAGTTGAACAGCCCTTGGAGGGGGTGCAAGATAGCCTGGAAAAATATTTGTTCTCAAAGAAACAGATTGAAAATCAAAAATATGTTATCTTTATGATTGTCTCACCCCTGACACCATAACGCAACAATGCTTTTGCAACACTTTGATATAACATCATATCGCCCCTATCCTTAAGTAGAATCGTTGTTCTGCGATTCTTGAAACTAAATGACATACAACTGAGATCAACAACAAATCAATAAAAACCACACGAGTGTAGTGGCTCTGCTTCAGCTTATTTTTCATTCGATCCTTCAAATTAGTTTTCGTGGCGCCGGGTCATGGAACCAGCTTGACTCAAACGTAAAAACGGCTTCTTTTTTACACCACTTTAAGAAATTTCTTAAAGAGACTTCAAGCTCTAAGCATTTCAATTCATTGTTCTTTGCCTTTACATATTTTGTCCTTAATAATGTTAAATATTTTTAAACGCACATTTAGAATAAAATTGAGATTTTTAATCTGTAAGTTTAGTCAAGGCCTCCTGAAAACCAGCTTTTCTTGGCTGATGGGGCTAGAGTGATTTAATAATTGAACATGAATGAAACATGCCCATGCTCAAACAAACGTCTACGTCACTCAAAATATCTCGTGTTGTTGTATTTTGTCACTGTGGTCCTAAATCGGTCAAAAAAGAACTTTACCTCAGTGAAGCAAAGAGCTTCCTGTACTGTAGGTCCATAGTTTGCTAGCACCAGGATGTTTCCAATGAGGGTGGATACCCAGCTGTTGCAAAAAAACGAATTGTTAGTAAGTAGAAATTCAAGGGGACTGCGTACACAATAATTCGGCGTATAGCACAGCAGTAGATTATTCTTTGCTTGAAAAATTCATAGAACCTTGCGTAGAGTTGTACGAGCACTGGTATAATTGTGTGGATAATAATAATTTGTATAAACATCGTCATAATTTGTATAAACTTTAACATAGTTGGTATAAACATTAACAATATTCCGATTCATAATATCGATGAAAATGCCTTTAACTCTATTACAGGCATCATTGCTTTGGTTGTCACCGGGGGTAGCACTATTCTGAAAGAATAACACACAAATATCTGCCTCCTACCATGCTTTGAAAAAAAAATTACTGCAAAATCTAGATTAATCTTGAGTTATTTTACTAAAACGGAGAAGAAGAATTCGAAGGTAATGATTTCATACCATGTAACAAAGGTGGCAAAAAAGAAGACAAATTTTGCTCGCACGTGCTGCATCAGCGTCCTCTGATTGGCTGTGTATGCGTTGCTTGCCAGACAGATATCGGACTTGACTGTATTATGACAAAAGAGGGATATCAGTTACTGATAAAATATTTATACATGCATTTGCAAACAATGTACCTTTTCTAAAGTACCCACGATTTTTATTTTTTGTTAGTTGGCATTTTCTTTTTTTAAGGGAATTGGAAGAGAGGGAGGAAAAATCAACCTTGTTAATTTTAGTTTTCAATTAAGACGCTTCAGAGTTTACAAGATCAAGGGATGTAGGATAAGTTGTTGCACAAAGTTCGTGCTATTATCTATTAGCCACTATCAGTGCGAATACAAACTAACCATTATTTTTTCTATCTAAGCAATTACGTTTTTACAGGCATACTACTACATACAGCATACTGCATACATACGAATGAAATATTTTGTTGATCGTTACTCTGTTGATCGTAGAAACATTCAAGTTTATGTATTAAAAATATTTTCGGTAAAGGATTTATTTACATGATAAGTGCATACGGTAAACTAACAAATACTTTGCCTGTGTAATTCAATAGCATAGATGCAAAGGAGAATTTGACCAATTATCCGTTAGTAATCTAATAAAGTTTACTCCGCTTAGGCCCGTTTGAAACGTCGAACTCGAATCGAGAATAAGTACATGAGAATGCAACGTTTGAGTCCGTTAGGTGCGGCACGGGAGTCGCATTGAACAAGTGCAGGTGCTGCTGCACCGAATTGAATTTAGTTCAGCAAATGAGAAGTTCGACGTTTGGAAGGAGCATTATAGACGCAGCATCAGCAACAGTCATATGCCAAACCATGCAAAACTGCTCAATTTAACTACATTTATATTAACAATTTTCAAGAAACATTGTGACTACAGCATTGCGAGTCAACTGCAGGAATCTTCAACGTTAAACGTATCATTTATGAAATATAATTACTTTCCCAAATTGAAGGAGGAAAGCGAAATAAAGGAGAAAACGAAAACCTACCTTGCCGATCAATGGCAAATAGGACAATAGAAGATAATGCCAAGAGGACAATGACTAGAGAAATCCACACAATGACAATGCATGGAATATCTCTTGCAGATATACATCGCCTGCAATGAATAAATCACAAGGAATAAGAGTTTAGGGACTTAAAAATAACAGGATAATGGCTTACAACATTGATAACAGAGAAGATGTTTTGTTTTCTCAAATCGTTTTTAGAGTTTCTCAATGTTGTCGCAAGGGTGGAGCATATGAACTCAACAGCAGAATCGATGATACTTGATACAAAATGAATTATATTAACATTTAAAGATGCGTTTGGGTAGATGATAAAACCTAAGTAAACACGAAAAAGAAGGCTAGAAGTGATAGATACAGTAGTGAAATAAGAAAATGTAACTTATTCGTTCCGAAAATCAACCATCGATGCAAAACCAATGTCTTATCGACAAACAAAGAAATTAACATCAATGCTAATGATTTCAAGATTAAATCCATTGGCCAGCTCAATTATCTTGGACCATGCTGAAGATAAGGTAAAAACGCTTAGAGGTAATATGATAGAGCCAAAATATTCCTAGTACCTGATTGAATCTTGTCCTGTGAGTCTGAGAACTTGTGCAATAACTGTGAGAAATATTGCTAGGCCCCATGCTAACGAGTAGTAGACAAGAATGCGACTAAAATAAATCAGCAAAAAATAAATTGAACAAATGTTGATTTTAAGGTGTTAGCATTAATTCTTCTGGATAATGATCTTGATGTGAAAATATCAAACAAAACGATTCAAAAACTAATATCTGTGGAATGTGATCCAATTTTAATGTTTACTTTTCCTACAAAATATATTTCATCATATTCATAATTAATTTTTTCAAATATTTATATTTCAAATAGTATTCATAAAACACACACCAAAAAAATTTATATTCTAACTGCAAAATGATATCTCAAAATGTGCAGAGTGTTCTGCAAAAAGGTAGAAAAAAGTTATATTTAAGATGAAGAGAAATGCCAACCAATTTATCTTGTGAACTTGCAAGCAAACATCTACCAAGTACATTAATGTCCATAATGCTGATGCAATGTATCCAAGGTCACACAAAATCTGAAACGAGCAGATGAACTACTAATTTTGACATCGTTTTATTTTACACAATATAAACATCACTATTAAATTGATGCTTAAACAAAAGGAAAATCAGACGTCACATGGTAAATAGAGCAGCAGGAAAAAAACGACGAAAAACTTTCCAAGACAGTTATACACGGGACATTAGCCAATGGCTTTCAGTGTAGAACTTTGCAGAAACAATGAACAGTGAGTGACATGTTACTATATGAATATAATCAGTGACGGACACTTGGGGGGGCGAGGAGGGGCGACCACCCCCCAAATACTTTAGAGAACAATTTTCTTTTGTTCTAAAACAATGGGAAATGTGACGTCATCTTATCAAAACAATAGGCTTGCCCCCCCCAATATTTGACCAAGTGTCCGCCACTGAATATAATCATTGACTGTTGTGCTATTTGAAACTTGCACTGTCTGTTATTTTACAAGCTTTATGTGACATATAACAATTTGTCGCTCTTAACAGATTTTGTAGCTGCAAATCTTATTTATTTTTAGAAATTGATATATAGCCATAACAGTTCAAACTGTGAAGGATATAAGAGAAAATAGAAAAGTGATTTGACAGTATGATTATGTTTGTGCTGAGCATGAAAAAATATGTTAGGGTAAGTTGAAAAATCATGACTGCAAAGAAGTATATGATTTTAAAAGCCTATATGTAAAAAATGTACATATTGGTTCATTCCTTGAGAAGGGTACCTTTAAGTTGGGTTAGAAGACATTCTATTTTGAATTAGTTCTCCTAATCTGAAATAGTAATATCTTCTTATTCCTTTCCACTTGTAAAATAAATTTTGCTGACTTTAGGCCATTTTCAGCTGAAAACAGTCAAAGGCAAGAAATAAAAAATGTCCTTCCAAAAGATTGAAAACCTTCAGTTAATGAATCTTAAGCCTTTTAAACTGGCTAAAATTCAGCAATACGTTAATAGGGAAAGGGTGAAAAGCAAGTTGAAGGTTTTTTAATATACTGGGTTACTAGGGGGAGAAGAACTCACAAAACAGAAGTCTTTGAAAGCAAAGAAGAAAACACATTGATCAAGAAGTATAATGTATCAAAAGTGTGGGGTATCAAATCAGAGGTGCTGGAAGCTCCATGATGAAAGGGGGGCAGAAACAGCAAAAAAGGCACTTTGGGGTGTCAAAGTTTACTGCTGAAGCAAATTGGGAATTGTTACTTACCCAGTGGCAAAGTCTGGTTGTAGGGCAAGGCCCTGCTTAGGGAGAGAAGGTCGGAAATCTGCAGGGAAACTTTGCGTTGCTATGCTGTAAAGACTCTCAGAAAAGGGGGCAATGCAAATGAAAATACGTTGGAATCAAGAATACAGTCAAAATTTCTTGAAATTTTTTTCAACCCAACATCAACCATCAAAGGAGGCTGGACCCAACCCTACCTTACATAAGAACAAAAAGTTGTTCTGATGTTCATATACATGGAGTCTGGAATTCCTCTGAACATACTATCATCTTGAGAGTAGAAAGAATAATATCATTCTGTTATTTCTACTTCTGACGTTTTTGAAACTTAAAGGCATTTAGTCATGATAAAATGGATTGGGTATACCCTAAGTGCCAAAATCTGCCAAGTCATGATTTTCATGACTTCAATGCTATTGGCTGGCCTGGAACTGGTCACATGAACTCACCTCGTACTGATTGACAAAACAATTTCTATCAATAGCAAGTTGTCAACAACGGATGCAAATATCACATGAAACAGCAGCGATCACGCCGAAACCAAATGACCCTCTATAGTGAAAGGCTATTTACCATGACTCAATGCCTTTAAGATTGCAACTCAAATCACTCACAATCTAATGACATTGAGTAGCTTTTAGTACTGGCTAATAAAAATACATGTGCATTCTGGCACTGCTTACCAAATTCAAGCCAAGACTTAGGGATATTTTTCCAAGGATTTCAACTGGCGGGGACTCTAAAGGGCCACCAGGACAAATTTCTAATTAGTTGATAGATTAAAAGCATCAAATGAAACGTCTTGAATTCAAGAACACAGGAAGCATCATAACAGTTGGGGACACCTGTTTATAGGAACACCCTAACAAAGATTTTAAAAGATTATATGCCTGTTTAAGGGGTACCCTAGTAAAGATTCCAGAAAGGTTAAAAATGGCAGTTACAAAGACATAGATATCATTTTTTGGCTTAGTTGTGAGGAATGTCACAGAGATATTTTGGAGGACCTTTTTGTGAGGGAAGCGAGCAGACAAATTTTTGGGAACATGCCCTTTAGATTATCTAAATATCCATTTCAGAAGAATTTTTTCTTAGTAGTCAAGGCCTGCTTAGGGGCAATAAAGACAATTTTATTTAATTCACATACTACTCCCAAGTTTTTGGCCATCAAAATATCTTGGAAAATATCACAAGCCTAAGCTTATCTACAAAACTTTTAAAGGTACAAGGATGGCTCAGTGGTAAAGGTCAGTGACTACAGAGCCAAGAGGGGTTCGAGCCCCTGACATAACTAAACTTTCAAAGGCAAATCCCCAGCTTTCTGTATTTTCTGGCATAGGAATCATCAGGTGTGGTCACATTGAGAGGGAGGACCAGGACACCACTAGATAAGCACAGCTTCTCAGTTCCTAAAACTACCTTCGAATGCTAGTTAGTACCATAAATAAAATACTTTACAAATACATCCGTAGTATTCATTGCCTACCTGGACAGGGAAAATCCAATAAATATCTTGGGAAGAAATACTTTGTGAAATCTTACTCATTTGTAATGGTCTATGCACAAACAGCATTGCCAGAGCAAGAACAATTGACACTGAAATAATAAAACCCAGGTTAAAAAAAATGGAATGTCATTAAGAATATAAATACTCTTGACAGAAAATTTTATATTGACTTTGATTCCATGTTTTGGAATAAGGGATTCAAAGCACAAATATTCCTTGGAAAATAAAGTGTTGATAACTGTTCATGTGAATGATAATGGACAGATTAGAAAAGTCACATAAGTACAGTTTGTAATTAATTTAGATTCTTTGAAATGTTGAAAAAGCACGACTTTGGCTATGCATAGCTTCTAAGAACAGCATGGTACCAGCTGCGACCTGCAACCAAATGACTTAAAGTTGCAATCAATATCGTTTGAATATAGATGACTGAAGTAAAAAAATATTTATGACATTATCAACAAGGTGGGTAAGGAGATAGCACAAGAGAAACTGGCTGCATTATTGCCTGTTCACCTAAACGTAGCAGCAACCATAGACAAGTTTTCCAGCTTAGACCATTTTTATATACCAGTTAATAGGCTACTTTGAAATCCTATGTTTGCAAGCGCAACAAATTCCATCTAGATCAAATGGCGATCCAAACCTCTCAGATAGTTATCCCAAACGATTTTTGTTGCTATTAAAAAACAACTAAAATAAAGCTCGCACCTTGGAAACTTAAGCTGTTGTAGATAAGTTTTGCTAAAATCATAACAAACATAATGCAACTTGCGCGAGTGTTGCTTGTGGCATGAATAAAAAGACGCTTTTGGATTCCACCCTGGGCTAGATTCAAATAATGTTCTACATGTTGCCTATACACAATGGATCTTTACTTTTTAAGATAAAACAAAAGGAGCATCTTACTGAAACATGAAACAGCATTGCTCAGGGCCAGGTTGAACACGACATGCGGATTTGATGAGGGTTTGTGCCGGAGATCGTGTTTCTTCAAATACCTCTGCCAAACAAACATCTGCAAAAACGATCCAAGGATACCAAGGATCCCTGAAATAAAAAGTAGCGATCCATAAACTTTTTTCTCTGTGTCGTGTATAGTAATACAAAATATGGAACGCAAGTGGAGTCCATCAATACCTTGATGCTCCATTTTTTATCAAAGTACAGACTCACTCTGAGTAGTTGATTACGAGGCTACTTCCCGCGGCTTCTGTGTAATATTTCCCGCCAAAATTTAAACTGTAGGACCGACAGAAGATTGATAAAGGCGAATTGGCAAACTTTCATGGTAGTTTTTCCACCATTATCTTTGTTGCCAAAACCCGAATATCATACTTGAGCAAAAAAGCGAGGGGACTATATGATGATGCTTGAGGATTCTAAAGGCAGGGACACTGGTACTATCTCTACAAGTCCTTATTAGAAATGACTCATAATAAATGAGAAGAAACGATGAAAAGCAACCAGTTACTTGAACAGGGGACTGTATATATAGTTGATACAAACAGGTGAACAGAAAAAAGGTTGAACGGGACTGGTGATGATCCGAAATTTCCTTAAAGATTACCACATTGTCAAGGGAGACGCTTGGTAAAATGTTGTACAGGTTGCTCCTTCATAAAACGACACTGCCTCTAAACTTACGAGATAGTCCGTGAAATTCAATTCAACTTCTTTATCCCAAGGAAAAACAGCAGAACTAACATCTACATCGCATCAATATTGTCAGTATGTGTAGCTGCTTTAAGTTAGCGAAAAGATTGCTTTTGAGATTAACGAAAAAAACTGTTGACTGCGTACTAATTTCCAATACACTTTCTGTAAATTATTACTGTTTGTGTTAATTTTTAGGGCTTAGAAACATTTGAAAACCTGTGAATAACTTTCCGTGATTTGCTAACTAGAATGTGCAGAAATCGAGCCATACGGATTTTTAATGGTACTTGGTTGAAAGCTGTCGATCACTAAGATTAAAAAAATGCTAGCACAGTTCAAGATATCTTGTGGAAAATATAAAGCTGATTTGTTTTTAAGTAAACACTGTTTTCTAGGTGCAACGTTGATCCGAGTCACTGTGAACTCATCCTTGTTGAATAAATTATTCTGTTATTTACCAAATATGCAGATTTGGATTTTGCTAAGTAGGTCTTCAATACCGCAAAAATTTGAAGAAAGCACAGAAAGGCTATTACATATCATACTAAGATACTTTTCGTCTTACAGTCCTCAAAAGCGATCGGATAATGGCCAAAATGAGACAGAAAAAATTAATATCCTGATTCAGATCGAAAGTAATGTGATTTTGATCTCGAAACACCACTACCCAAAATCATTGCAGTTTTCCAATACCGTATTTTCTCTGCTGATCATTGCCTTGTACTTCCCTCCCAAACGTTTAGTGACAAATGTAGATATACAAGGGGCGGGGCTAAATATCTCAATTTTGTCATCAATTGACCTTTTTCTTAAAAGTCCTGCGATGCCTAGCTTCTTACAACTTGGAAAGTGCAATGATCTGAGATAAGAAAAATTTCACAATTCACGTGGCCAGGAAATAGAAGGTTTCCACAAAGAAACAGAACAGTTGATTTGTACGCAATGTGTGAAAATTAAAAATTAAAGTTCTTTCGATAACTATGAGAAACATAATATGAATATTTTTATAATATATATGACGTCACGATTCATATGCTTTGGCGATTTAGCGTTGCAACTATTTACGTAGCTTCAAAATTAAATGAACAAAAATTTTCAATCTGAAAAAATTGACAGGTAACACGAACGCAAAACAGTTTTTTTTAACGTCATGGCATTTAAAATGTGTGTTAAAACAATTTTATTGCTAATCCTAGAGATGTTTGTATGATCCTAGAGAATCCTAGGAAAATGGCATTGACGATATTTAGTAGCTGAACGTCAAAGTGGATGGATCTAGACTATTCAGGGTTGTTCAAATAAGAACACAAAAATACTTTGGCTGAACAGGACAGGCTACGGATGATCTAACTGAATATTTCCCAGCTTCGTCTTCATACAACCTCTTTGATAACACAATGCACCAGCTAGAACAGTTCCTCTGCTAAGCAATTGGAGAATACAAGAGAAAACATCGTTAAAAATGGATATTTCCCTAGCACCGAAGCAACAATCTATAAACCTACAACGATAAGGTCTACCCTGTTCTGTCAAATACTACCAATAGTCGCTCCAGGCTGTAATTAAGCAGTCAAGGCACTTGCATTTACAGGTGAGCAGGGCATAACACTATTTCACACAACAGGCCGCAATTCCTTCCATCAGCCGTTATTAATTCAACGCAAGACAACTGGCGTATAGGCTCTAACTTTAATATAAGATTCTTTCGAAACAAGAAAGAAATTTCGATTACTTCGACAAAAACAATTTTCGCTATAAAAATATTTCGCTTAATTATAACAATTTACAAGATATATCATATTTCCAATACCGTTACTTTACTATTAGAAAAAACGTTGCCCGCGCAGTTAAGTGTTTTTATATACCGCTGGAACGCGTCGCTTCCCACCCCTGAAACAACAGCTTTAGTTAAATAGCTGCTAAGGAACAAGCAATCAATAGAGTTCTCTTAAAATAAAACCAAAGAGGGCACCATCAAAACGCAACCAATCGGGTTCCTAATAGCCTTGCCCCTGGTCTTCGATCGTGAAAACTTGAAGCTCTCTTACTCCTCAAATAAATTCTCTATGTCCAAAAACATATTTTCACATGCGAATAACAGGCCCTTTAAACCAAAAATCTCCTTTAATATTTCCCCCTTTCTTTCTGTTCCACTCTGTGGATGGAACTATAATCGATTTCCCTACCCCTTATAAACCACTGCAAAAGTTTTGAAAAATTCCCAATCGTTATACTTGCGTTCACAACTATAAGAGACCCTAGCATATACAACATCGGCGACAGATGACCGGCATTAAAACTGACTTCAATTTACAATTATCATACGAACTTTGGCTCCCTCCTTGCGCCAAGATCACTGACGCTGCGCACTTTTTCATCGTTTTGTTTACTTATACCAAATGATTTCTGTTCCCTAGGAAATGACGAGGACCCAGTCTTGACAGCACTGTCACGTGACTCCTTTTGCGGGGTTTTCTGTTGATCCTTCTGCAGGTCCTTTGCTGGTTGACTTTGCCTCCTCGGTACACTTCGCACTTCATCCTCATCCATCTCATCCCCTGACTCGAATTGTTTCAACATTTGCCTTACTGATACCCCCCGATTACCCAAAGGGCTACCCTCTCTAGAGCCTCGACTATCTCGTCTTGGATCCTTCTCTTTTGTAAACTTCTCAACAAGCTTTGCTGTATTTGAGCTAGTGCGGTTAACTGGCATCCTGCCTTCTTCTGCTACGCGAACGAGTTTCGGGGACGTTGTCCATGATGTGACACCTTCGTTGCTTTGACCTATGTTTTCTACTGTGTCATTGGAATCAGGATCGGTAGCAAATTTTTGTAGCAGCTTTTTTGTATTGCCGGGGATGCAATTTACGATATCCGTATCGATGTCTTGCTTGCTTTTAGCAGTGACGTCATCGTACTGTTTGTTGATTTCGGGACTGGTTAGAGTCCGAGCTGGGGAGGGTGGCTTTGGCGCGACTTTTGGGGGCAGCTTCTGGTAATGCAAAATTTGTGGACTCGAAATAAAAGTTTCTACACTTGGTGCCATTTGCGTAGTTGATGCTATTGTAGCGGTTGATGCCAGCGAAGACTCGGCAGATACATTTTCATTCGCGGATTCAACTTTATGAGAACTTGTAGAGTGATTTTCAATATTTGTGTTAGCATCGTCACCATCTTCCAGGATGGAGCCTTCCTTTGACTTCGTGCCAGCCTCAGAGGTCTCTTCATTTTCTGATTCCGGTATAGAAGGCCGCAATTCTTCTTCCTTGCTCTTGGTTGTGTCAGCAACATTGTCTGCGATGGATTCATAGCCTATTGCGAACTGCCCTGCCCTCCGCGATCGACATGATGGCTTTTCCAATGGTGCCTCATATTTACCGTTCTGCTTTTGTTCGGCTTCTCCCGTAGCCCTTCCTGCATTATCGCGCCCTAATTCCATTGAAGAGTCGGGGAACTCCACGGGACTCATCGAGCCAAAACTCAGATTCGACTCTGAGCCAGACATGATATTCTGAGATGACGAAACCTGACTGGAACTTTCGAAATTCAGACTGGACGGTCTTTCAGGAAGTGGTTTGGAAGTTCCTGATAAAGGAACAATTTTTTAAAACAAACTTGCTGATGCTTAAATATAAATAAAAGAACACAGATAACTTCATCAACTACAGGTAAAGGTATGCTTAAAATTGTAAAAAATAATCTTAAAATTGTTTCTGACAAGGAAAATATCAGAGAAGCCCCAAGCCATGTAAACATCCATAGATCAGAAAGCTTTCACACTTAACGTCTTATGGATGGATGTAACATAGTAGAATGCGATAAAGATAAATGATAAATAACAAAGAAAAAAAAGCAATTGGAAAAAAGGTGTAGCATACGTCGATCAATCAAATCTTTGGTTATGAAATCAACATCTGGCGACGGCATATCAGGCACACTGTCCAGTGAGCCAAACGAAGATGCTATATCCTGCATGAAAAGAAACAAAGATGATTGACTCAAAAAAATAAACTGATCGACTCAAAAAAGCATGGAGTTATTGGTGCAGGAAAATTACTTATCGGAAAACCTTAAGATCTAGAGCTTTGTCAGCAGAGAGATCAGAGGCGGGTGATTTTAAGTCTTACTATATACTTTCCATTATCAAACAATAACTGATTGTTAAAATAAGAGTTAAAGATGTCACATAATTGCACTGATGGAATGCCTGTGTTTAACAAGGGTGTCAGCAGTGGTACAGCTAGCAATGATCTAAAGAAGTTGTGACATAGTGTTCTCCTTAATTGTGAGTGCAATTTTCATTCTAGATACAATACAAAGGAAATGTCCAACTTGGTCTTCTATGCTTGACCATGACAATGGAAATTATAAAATCACAGTTTTCGTTAAATAAAAGACTTCACTGTGCCCAGGTTTAGTCCAGTTCAAGATCTAAATCCTAAATAATGGTATAAACAAGAAATTCGTTACAGTCTTGATTGAAGACAAAACATACGTCTTACTAAACGCACTAGGTCGGGAAGCGGTCAATTTTTCTTTCGCATGACTTCATAGGAAAAGTTCACCCCGAAAGTAACTTAACTATAACGTCAATCTAATAGGCATTAATATAAATCCATTGGAAACAATCAAAGAAAGCCATACCCTTCCATCGCTATCACTCCTTTTGAAAATCTCAGGGAAGTCGAGCTGCAGCTCATCAGATAAACTAAAACCAAAAGAAGTAAGCTGCCAGGCAAGAATAATAACACCAATTGCAACCGATGGTACCTCATTATCAGAAAGAGGCTGTACTAGGATACCATACACCTTGTATCTGTAAAGGTTTCTCCAAAAATTAGTATTCGACCATAGGGAAACAATTGCTCGGAAATGCGGATCAAAACATAATGTGAAGACAATCGAGATTCACTTGGCAAACTGCACTGTATTTTGATTCGCTTGGTTTAATCCGGCCTAAAGTGAATGACCGCCAAGAGACGCGTAGTTTTACAATGTTTCAAGAATTTCAATATTCTTCAGTCTGTTTTTAAAAATGCATATGAGACCTTCAGGGTCAGCGGTTCCTGCAAGTGGTACGTACATCTAAATGGTGCATTTTGACTCTAAAATTGGTTGGATATGTCTTGTGGTAATAGCGATGATTATAAATGTCTGTGTTCTTTCCAACCATTAAAAATCAGCCTGTATGTTTCTTTTTCATTCATGTCTTTCTCTGACTAGATTTATTGAGTATCAAGCCCTAAAAATCATATTGTGTTGAACAAAGTATTGTTTTCTTACTTGGATTCCTGTAGCAGAAACTTTCCGCTTTTTATCAAAGCAAAAGACGATGAACCTTCAAGGCACAGGCAGGGGAGTGAGGGGGCGCTGCCGGGTAACAAAATTAACAGGGCCTTTTAATGCACTAACTGGGAAGCATGGTCAATTACCTCAACTCTTGCCTTCCGTCATCGAGTTGGTCAGGCTGGGTATTATAGCCGAGATCTGCAATTAAAATTGGAAAAAATTAGCAAAAGTTTAATATTGCAATAGTTTTTATAATGGTCGAAATGTTATAACATAAGTCACGAGTATTTGATAGGAGAAGTGGGCAGAGGGTCCAAGCACATCATTATGGTTAATATAAAACCCTTCAATTCGCAATATTAACAAGAATTCCCACTGGCGAAAATTTTGGTTTTGTTATGTTCTGTTAGTGTTTGCAAAGAAAAAATAATAACCTTGCTCCGACGGGTTGCTTGAGTCTCGCATCTCTGTTTTTGTGTCACCCTGAAAGGAAGAACACATTTGAATACATGCTCTATTTGTGTTCTTTTGTATATTTGAAAGTGTTTTCAGCGATCATCGACTTGTGTCAGCAAAGTGTCATAGCATATTTTGGAAGTTCAATACTAATTTGTCGAAACACATTATCTACGAATATTCACTTAGCCAAACTGGAAAATTTCTAGCCCACAAAGCCAACAGTGAAAACAAAACTACAGAATTTCAATATCATTTCAATACTGAAATGTAGAATATGTTCAACTGGGGTGTCTTGGCGAACTAAGAAGAGCACGTTTATCGGGGCAACAGGGAAATAAAATATACGAGTGCATTTGCAAATGAGATGTTAAATAAACAAATAAACAAATAATTACAAAATAACAACCATATTTCTGGTAATTTTCTCTCTTTGAAAAATATCAAAACAACATTCACCTGTATAGGCTCGATTTCGCCTTCATCTTTGCCAGTTTTTGCTTTCCCAAAGTCCTCATCTAAGATCTATAATGGAATGTGCATGCATTTACCAACGACCATAGCAAACCAACCCCTACATATACATGATACGTTGCTCAAACGTTTACTTTGCATGCATAAATTCAACATTTTTCATTCAAAGCAGACTAAAGTACCACAACTTTATGAAACCCAAGAAAATCAAGACCAAGCGAGCCTAGGCCGCTAAAATTAAAAATGATAACATCTTAAAAATAACAACCTACCAAAATTTTATACAAACTACGCAATTAACGTTAAAATATAGGATAAATTAACCCGATGTAAAATTGAAATGCAACTTCTTTACAATCTAAAAGATAGTTTAAATTACACAGAGACCTTTGCGACAATCGAAGCTAAAGTGAACGCGCCAATGCCATTTTTTATGAGGAAAAGTAAGCAGATAAGAATTCCAAATTACTTCAATACCAAGGTACTTACGTTTGTATTCAGAACCAGCAACTCGACTATCCTTACTTGATGTGGCATATCCATAAGAGCAGATAGTGACGAAGGGCTTCCCCTACAAAAGCAATGGGGGAAAATGTTAGCAGTCGAAATATTAAACCTTGCTTCGTGTTTGTCTGCTACAAAGAAAACATAGCTGCTTGTAACTGTGCACACAAATTCGCCATTAGAGCAGTAGAGCAAATGAACAAAGAAAATCAATGAATGTCTCTTATACTTAGCAATTAATGAAAACAGACTCTAACTCACTTTGGCCTGAGTAAATTTGGTCCAAAGATGATTGCGATATTATTGCAAGACATCTGGTTAAAGGTGTCGTTGTTGGCGACCCTGGAAAGTAAACAAAGTCATGTCATATTACTTGAACTACGTATACACCGTCGTTAAAATCATAATTTACAAGATAACAGGAGTCCGAACTAAGGTTTATTCATAAAACCTAAAATTCGAAGAAAACTTTGTGTCGAACATCTTGGGCTATCACATAGAGTTTACGGTACCTAGGGACAAAATGTAGAGGCTGTTTTGGCTGCAAGCAAAAATTCAAAAAATGATACTTTCTGTATTGCTTTGTCAATGGTTATTTTATATAGAAGATACATACAGTGTGATAACAGACTAAAGTTCAGATGAATCAAAACTGAAGCGATCTAAACTGCATAAGATTTTGGAAACAGACATTAAACTTCCACAAGCACATTTCATAGCAAATCTTTCGCTTAAAGAACATTTGACTCCTTCCTTTAATTAATGGGTGCTGAATATATTCTGAATTTTTTCCTCGAACGTGATAATATTTCAAGGCGTGCTCTCTCTAAGACAAAATGGGCAAAAGTTTTTATTAGAAACTTAGAAACTGATACACACCTTTTTAAATGTTTCATTAGCCGAACAAGAGTGAAATAGTTGGCATGGGGCAGTTTCAGAACGCACTCGTGCAGTCTTCGAATGATGTTTTCGCATTTCACATCGTTGTCTTCATCATATTCAACTTCGCTATTTTCTTTCCGTGTGAACTTCAAGCCACTGCTATCCTGTATAATAATATAATATCATAATATTATTTATTTATTTACTGTAGGCGGGTATAATATAGCTGTCTATGTACAATTTGTGTACAAACTAATTTAGGCCTACTTTACAACAATTTGGAATAAAAAGCAATTAAGAATGAATATATAATTAATAATTACATATATAAAACAATTAGTTAATTAATGAAAGAAATGAAATTGAAGATTAAAAGAAAGATTATATTTTACAATGCATTACAGTTAACAGATGCGAACAACTTTTTGCGGGACAGAATTTGAAATGGCTTTGAAAAAAACAAACATTTTACAACATACTAAAAGCTTTTTCGTCTGACACTCCTCAGAGCATAAAACGTCAGAATCAGGGTCCGAAAGAACACGATGAAAAATATATACCCAGTTGTGGATCGAAACAGGCCAATAAACAGTTAAAAGATATATACCTAGTTAAAATATGTCTTGAGATTTTCACACCAAGACAACTATTTTTATTTTCTAGTCAAGGAATCCAACCTGAGCTACGTAGCATCTACATAATTTGCGACAACATTCTTCTCCTTTCCATTTTTTTATCCGAGTTTTAAACTGGGCAAGATTTGATGACTCTTTTATTTCTGTGGACAACTTATGCCATAGTTTCCTCCTAGATATGAAATGGTTTCTATTCCAAAGGTGGTAGTTCTGACTTTTGGAAGTTGCATTTGGCTTCCGTTCCTTAGGCTTTATTGGGGGTGCTTAGCAATAAATATGTCTTCCATAAATGCTGGATTAAGGTTATTATGTGTCTTATATATCTCAGTGATGAGAAGCTGTAAATTTTTTGTGTATAAGTGACAAAACTCAGAATTGGCAAAAGGAAACATAATATATACAATATCAATATCATTCTTTTTGGGAAAGTCTGGAGGGAGAATGAAGATGTTCCTGGCCTCTGGCCAGATTATTCTTTGTTCAGCATATTATATATTATATGGTGAGATTGATCGTGCAAAATTACAAAAAGTCATATGAATATGAAAATGGCACGAAGCATCCAGGTGTAAATCAAAAGCAACGCGGCACAAAAAGGACTCTCGCTGCATTCGATCCAAACCTGGGCATAACTTTTATGCTTACTTTCGGTCATATCCGGCGTTTATACTCTGAAGAGTGTCCTACGAAAAGTGCTTCAGTATGCTATGTTTGCGCAATTTCGTGCCATGTTCAAATTTTGCGGTACCTAAAACTTATTTAGATATGAAATATTACCTTTGCTATCTGTATGAAATCGTTGTAGAGGTCAAATGTCATTAATGGTTCTGGCAACTGAAATGAAAACAGGACCTGTTGTTGCATTTTGTAAAAAGGAAATAGGCTTTGATTTAAATTATCAGAGAAATAGATTCTTATTATCCAATTCAAAGTAATAATCTAAAAAAATATCATTCAGCTAGTTGATAGCATTCTTTGATTAACGAAAATCACTGTTTTACCAGTCGGTCTTAAAGTCTCAATGCCGTATAGGCAGAACTGTAAATGCTATTTGGTGTTTAGAACAGGACGGCTCTAAGTTGCAACTTCTTCTTCACGCTTAAGGCGTCTATTGGGAAACTGAAGGCGCATTTATAATTTATACACTTTATAAAATATTATATTATAAACAATGTTAGATAATACACTACTATTGATAACTCAAGGGTCAAGCGTAGTAAGAATTATATAGACTCAAAAATACATCTTGCAACCGTTCCGACTTACGTATTCATAAATAATACTTAACAAATTAGATATGCTTACGATATATGGAATTGATAAAATAAAGTGGTTAAGAGAAAACAGCTTCTAATTGTTAAAGATATACAACATAATGCCACGTTTATATGTTCTATAAGTGGGTTGATAAGAAGTGCTAGAGATAAAGCTGGGAGAGATGTTTGACTTTCACAGCAGCCGAATCTAGCAGCACATATTCAGAGCATACAGAGAAAGTCAATAAAATAAACTGGCCATGCAGGACACAAGTTTAAACACCCTTTGTAAATACAACAAATGAGCATAACCAACCTCACGCAGGTAAAGTTTTAAAACCGAGGTTATCAGATGCGGATGGGTGGACTGCAAGTCGACCGCGGAACCGGCAGTTTCGAATTGCTATGAGAAAGAAATATCAAATTAATCAAGGTATTAAAGATAAATACATTTAAGAAAAAAACCATAGCAGACATATTTTGGTAGACATGTAATTTCTTCTGCAAAAAGTATCGTTTGACTGCCGTTTTTTAAGGAGAAAATACACTGCCTCTTGGCTGAACCAATTATCATAATAGTAGGTGCAGTTATGGCCTTAGGAAAGCCAAAACATTTAGTATATTAAAGTAGATCAAGCATCAATGAGATTTCATTCAAAAAGTGTCCCGAAAGATCTGTTCTTGGAAATTTTGAAAGTGGTAAGAAGTTTATGTCAAGAGAACGATTTGTTATAGTATTTGGACTGAGAAAAACCCATGCGACTCCAGCTATGACGTAGTAAACACTTAAGTCTAAATAAAATGATATAGAAAAGAAAAAGGTCGTAGGCTACGATCACATCAGATAGAGCACATCAACTGCACCTGGTCCTAATAGCAAAATTTCTTGATAGATAGAATACATCAAAGCTTTCCATGGCGATATGTTTCTAATATAACCGGCCGGGGTAGGTCAATTTCGTTGAAATATTTTGAAACTATCCCCACATGAAAAATCATCGATCCAATGTAGGCAGAAAAGCCTGTTTCCCCGCTAGCTTTTATGTTGGCAGGTTGTTATGGGTGAAATAAAATCATATTTTGCCAATAGGCTAATTTTGATTCACAACTTGGTAAAGCCTTTGGTTAACTTCTCTTGTCTTATAGTCTGATTGCGCTTCTTCATGACACCAAAAAGGTGGCAAAAAAAATTATATGGAAATTGGAGACTACTTCTATCAAAACTTGTCCAATTATTTGTTTTGTTAAGATCAATCACCTGACTTAAGGCCTCGACCTTTGTCTTCACTCCAGAAACACGGTAGATACCCTGTAACAAACAACAAGTTAAAATTTTTTCAATCTTTAGGCCATTTATGACAAGTTACACCGAAAATGTGTTTCTAGGAACAGTAATTAAACATTTAAGACCGTAAAAATATATATACGATAACTTAAGAAATGAACGGATTATCACCATTTGAACATGTATGAAAGGAAATATGAAAGAATTGTTAGTCTGGCAAAATGTAGTACTAATTACAATGTTCTTTTAAGTTTGGAAGCAAATACTTTATTGACAACACACTGCACTTTAGAATCAGATGTATCCCTCAAATTCCTGTTGTTTTCGGGTTAAATGCGTCAAAAGGTAAACATCCATAGATATCAATGTGTAATGCTGCACACATCATGACAATTGGTCTTCATGTTATCCCTGCTTAGTATCCAAAATGAGCTAAGGCACCAGCATGTTAATAGCTACAAAAAATTTAGTCCTTTGACTTCAAAAAAGAAATTTGTTAAAAGAAAGCTTTTTCAAATCGATTGTAAACGAGACAGAAATAAATACCTTTACTTCAAGACATCGGAGATCGATTTCAGTGATGCATTTTTCCATTATGAGCGGAATATCATGCCTTCTTGTCGCGTCTAAATGCTTTTGAAAATCAACACCAAACGTTGTCATCTTCCTCGGGAGTCGCTGCAAACAAAACGAAAATATTGTGATGTTATCCTAGATAGCTTGTCTTTAATCAAACAAGAAAGCTTTGAAGAGTAAGAAGTTACATTAAGTTAAAATAGCTTTTTTACTGTTGATTTGTTTACATGAATGGTTTTATACTTTTGGGACTTTGGAAGTGTAGCTGAGGTAAACATTTTGACTCCAGAGACCTGCAAAATGCATGGCTACAACTGATTTCTGGTCACAAGAGACATTTTAGTCCTCACACTCACCGATTTGCCACATTTTATGGCCAACGTTTCCAGACACTTCTTATGACAAGTTAAACCACACTAGAATGAAAACACGCGTGTTACCTTCTTTTGATTGTTACAATAGACAAAAAACTTAGAAATATAATCAAGAAAAAAAAGAAGAACGCTGGTTAAAATTAACACCTCAATCAAGAATTTGATAAACCATTTTATTTGTTGTAAATGCTATTTAAAGCTTAAAAATCAATTTTTTCATGCGATGCGTGCAATGGATGTTGGCAGGGGGAGAGGTTCATTGGATGCTAATATTTAACAAAATATCGATTTTCGAGAATTCAGTCTTAGATTACTCTGTCTTGGTTTGGGCTATCGAATTTAGCGATAAACTTTAGGCCTATTGAATTTAGCGATAAACGATTTGCAAATCTTCCTTTACTAAAAACATAATGATTAAAAATTCGGGAGAACTTAAATGCAGAAAATTCCAACCACTTTATGGCATGAACAGAATAGGAAACATTAAAGGCGACATTTACTGCATTAAAAACTTACTAGTTCGCATTCAGCGCCATAGAAATAGACGTATGTATCACATTTCTTGCACTTTGAAGAAGATCTAAGTTTTTTGAACTTGTGCGTCAAAGCAGGGTTCGACAATTTTAGGTTCTTGAATGGAGCTGGAATGTCTTCTACGGGTAAAGAAATTTCAAGATTAAGGCTAGTGATGAACATGTAATGATCTGTAGCAAACGAAAAACCCTAGAAATACTTACAAAGGTTACGCCAAACACAAATCAAACCTGGGATGGTTGGGATGGTTGCAGCAAAATACCATTGAGTCGAACAACCGACATTGTAGGGAGAAAATTGGAAAAAGAGATTTGTAAAAGAAAAGGACTGTTCCCTACAGTTGAATAAAAATTTAATACAAACTTAGCCTGAACAATTTTTCATTTACCCTGAACTGTAAATGTGATAGCTGATATAACTGCCCTTATTATTCTATCGATATTATTGGGCAAATGTCAAAAATATTTATAAGAATATTTCACAAAAAATTAATTTTTCTAGTTAGAAATTTTGCAGTTTCTAAAACATTCCCTTCAAATCTGCTTTAACCATAGACAAACGAAAACAGAGAAGCTTCTAAAACTTTAGTAAAGCGATCTTACTTTTCAGTGCATCTCTCATGTCCATTTCTGTGGTGCTGAGTGACAATCTTTGTGCATTAGCCTTCTTTGACAGAGTTGGGCTGCCAGAGGGAGAACCTGGCAAGGATCTGCTGCTGACACTTGCAGTGTCGTCGCTATTCGAATGCCTGTTCGGGACACCCCATGCGTTGTGACGCTTCTTCGTCGGAATGGGGGATGATGCCCGATTGAGAGAGGTGTCTGAACCGACCGAATGCGTGCTGATTCGTCTCTGTACGTTGCAAGGGGATTCCCGTTGTTCTAGGTCTGGATCCGGTGAAGCGACATTGAGCAAATCAGCCGGTCCGATGTAGCCTTTATCCGAATCAGTCCTGTTTAGACAGATTACAACAAATAAGAAGCATTCGATTCATCATATGTACGTTGCCATTTCCATTTTGATTTTAAGTTCTAAAATCACTGATGTTAAATTTATTCTTTTGCTTTTTTAAGGCTGTATTAAATGAGTAAATCGAGCTTGATTTGTGCAACTTGCAGGAACTGGGCAAAAGGAACCTTGCTACTATCGTCCAAAGGCAAAATCTTAACGCGCCTGATTGCGCATGCACTGCAACCAAGTATCAAATCCTGCGACCCGGCATGAATGTAGCAGAAACGGCACCCTAGTAAGCCTTTAAAACGCAAGACCTCAATTGTCGGGTTTTTCTCTTTATGCTTGCAGTATTAATGATTGCTATTTCGTCTAGACATCATAACATCGTCTTCATAATAGATAACGGAAAGTGCCAATAAAGTAACAAATGTCTACATTTTTAAGAGTCTGTAGCAGATAAGCCTGTGGCACTGAAAAATTTAAAAATTACAAAAATTCGAAAATATCGTAGAGCAGTACTTCCACTCGACACTGCTCCGAGTATAGAATTATGAATAACGACAAAAATGATAAGCAAAGATTTACATCAAACTGCAGGTCGAAAGTAGTCCGAGAGGAAGAGTAAGCCGTTTGATTTGTTCCTCGCGTTTGATCAATTGCTTGCCTAATAGTCAAGAAAGTCACGTTGTTGCCAACAAATTTCTTGGCACAATCTGTCTCGCTTTTGCACACTTAATGTCAAGAATCAGTGCAAAAAATGCAAAAGAACAGGCATAGGTATGTTTCACATCCTGACAACACAACAACAAGCAGTTTAAAATGACCACATATTAATGTGATGCCCGTCTATCCATTCTAAATGTATATCTCAATGGAATAAATTACTATCTAAATGGAATAAATTACTATCCTTGTTAAACCCACCTTTCCTCTGCTCTGTAAATTTCAAAGGAGAACCTTTTAGGCGCAGTTTTCTTTGAGGTCGTCTGTTGCAGTTTGATAAACTCTGAGAATTGCTTTCCGACCTCTGACTGCTTACTGTCCTTCGCAAGGGTCATGTACTGATGTGGCAGGTGAGCGGCGAGCTGCTCCATAATTTGGAAATACCCACACGTGACCTGAAAATTCCAAAAAGGTATTCGTTACAACTAGCTCCAATTAGGAAAGCTCTGTAAAATATAGTCTACAGTGGTGGAGATTTGCCAATGGAAATTCCTTCTTTCTTACGAAGACAATCAAGACTTCTCAAATGAAGATTCTGAAATACAGAATGAAGAAATGCAAGGAATATTTAATCTCTTAACATACAAGAATCATAATTGATTATGAATACAATATACTCACAGCTCGCATTGTCATGTCACATTGGTACACAAGCTCACGAAGCTCGCGAAGAACAGTTTGCTGAAAATAAAAAAACCGATAGACTTGAATGCTTTGAGAGTCTTCAATATAAAGCCTCGAAGAAACTCTATCATTTGTCTGTAAGCTTATGATACTTAGTGATTGATAGGTTTTATGATATATCTCTATCTTAATTTTATGATAATGCAGTTGCTTTTATCTTTCCAATCCGTTAAAAATTAAAAATTTCAATTCCCCGTGCAATTATTATTTTCAAGGGTCGTGAATGGCACTTTTCCACTTTAATATCTATGCAAGCCTTCAATGACGTATTTTTCATACCCTGACTTCCTCAATCGATGTCTGCCTCGTATTCGCTTCTTCCACGCTTTTTCTGTAATAATCTTCAGCCTCTTCTGCACGCTTCGCGATGTCCTCTTCTTTCTTTTTCTTCCCAATTGAAAAAGATGCAACGACGGAAGAGCTCTGACCTGCCTCATCCTTTTCTTGCTTGTCGACAAACTTTGAAAAGAAAAATCAAACATAAAAATGACATGATCCACCAACACTGGAATGTCCACTCATTCTTCGTACATAAAAAATAACAAAGTGAAAAATACATACAAATTAACCTGGCTTTAACGCTAAAATTGGATTTGACTGGATTAGATCAAACCTTATTGGAATCAATTCAAGATTAATGGCTTTTAAACAGTGGTCTAAATTTTTAGTTAGTGTGTACATAATTTATTGACAGTTTCAACCCCGTAATCATAAGAAAGACCAAAAGCTGCGTCTCAAAACTCTTGCTCAGCGGTAGCAAAAATATATGCGCGGTCAGCAGACAAAAAGCTGAACATTGCTAACGGCTAGCTTGGTCTTTCGATGCGCAAAAACATCTTTGAATATCAAAACAAATTTATTGACTTTATCTACTAGCTCGAGAACAATACACGAAATATTCAACCTAACCAGACATAAGCTTGCAATTGCTCGGAATTACCTTCTTTAATTCTTGTTGCTTTTGAACATACATCGACTTAGCTTTCCTCAAATTCGCTACACTGTCGTTCTGTGAATCAACAAAACAGCAATTAGAAACAACATTTCTTCCATGAAAACAATAATAAGACGCACTGTAGATTTTTAAGATGACTTTTAAAACTGTGTTGGTGTTTATGAATGTTAAAGCAATACTGTCCATCAATATTGACAGTTTTGACGCCCAAACGAATTTTTCAATTATCGGGTCTTTCTCGAAGTCGGTTTTCTTCACTTTACTAAGAAGACCTTGGTTTTGAGCAGAATAATAAGAAAAGCTATCCCTCTAGTTCTTAGAACTTTCCTTCTCTTTGGAAATATAAAATATTCAGAATATTTTTCAACAATGTGCAGAAAACTCTTGACACTTCAAGTAGAGCAATTCATCAATTCAAAATTCAGAACTTTAAGGCAATCGACAGATAGAGAAGTGGCTTAAACGATCAAATCTGTCAATCAAATTAGCCAATCAATTAGCGTTCAGTGGAGTCACGTTCACTGATTGGCCATTTTTTGACTGAAAGATGATATAAGCCCCTTCAGACTGGACAACAAACTTGATAGAAAATTTGATTTACCAATTTCTTTAGTTCTTTATTCCATCTTTCTTTTAACTTCGATCTATGTCTATCATGCTCGTTCCTCCGTAATGTTAATTGCTAAAATCAGAAAATAATTAATAATAAAAGTATAAATCGTTTTAAAATTAAAGGTACTTTGAAGACAAACTCCAACTTGCAAAAACCTTTGAAACAGTTAGGTGTACAATGCGATGGAGGTTTGTGCGAGTCAACACAGGTTACTCAAAATATGCCTCGTAACAACGACTGAACACATGAAATGCAGCTTTTGTGAGAAAATTACTTCCTTGTTAAATAATGGCAGCGTTAATGTTGAAAGCAGACCTCGATTATTTTCCCTTTCAAGTCTTGTTGCAGCTTCTGTTGACAGTTTTTAGCGAAGTTGATATCATATTCCAGAGCCGTGACGTAAGTCGACTGGAAGGGTAAGTAGCTCTAAAACATATAAAGACAATCTCGAGTGAATATTCAAAGGAAACAGGGCACAAATCCTGTTTATATTTAAGCCTGTATAGAGATCAACAATAAAGCGGGGAATTGATGAAGGACAATTGATTGGTGATGCTTGTTAAGATGGCAAAGCAAAAAGAAGTGTGATCGCAATGATACCAGGCATCACTGTTCTGGAAAGCAAAAGAGAAAGCAAATAACATCCTTAAACATTGATGACATGAAACGTCGTGGCCTAAAGATGACAAACATTTATCAACTAGAAGCAGGCAACTTTTATGTGTGATCACAAAACGCTTCCAACTCAACAGAAAGGCGTTGCAGTGCATCCAGACGATACTGAAATTTTCATCTCAATATATTATAGGAAATACAGTGGCGGGGTTATTTTGACACACAGGTGGTGATACACAGTTAATCAAGAATTTAAAATTTTTTAATACTGACAATAAATTTGTAGCGCTGACTCACCTCTTCCGTTATAACTGCCTTGGTGGTTTGGGCAAGCTTTGCAAGCTGCTTGCAATAGTCAGACTCTGGCAAAAACAAAATAAAAATTCTCAAGTTTAAATTACTTGGAAAGATGTTTTTATAAATATCAAGCTTAATAAAAACTAGCAAGCTTCACTGGTAAGTAATATGGAACATACCAATATGAGCCCGTCTCTCCATGTATGATATGATGTCTTTTGCATACTTAGACCAGACTTTGGTTCTCTAAAAAAAGTAAAAAACAAGAATTAAAAACAAACTTAGACCGAATATAGCCAGGTTTCACAATAAAGTTATCGATCGAATTTCACATTTAACAGACAATTTCCTCAAAGTTAAGATAGAATAATATGTTTCTGTTTGAAAACGGAAACCATTTACTTGAGAGAATAAACAAACCTGTAAAGTGACGTCAACACTTCCTTCAATACTAAACAATGCTTTATCAAGTTCTTCTGCCCTTGCAGCTGATAGATCTACAAAGATGATAAAAATTGAGATTTGGTAAACAAAAAAATTAGTGTTTTGTTAACACAAACGAATTTGGTTCTGTATTCTATATGCTTTTAAAAATCTTAGGCAATCGGAACAATAAACTTTTAGCTGTTTAGAATGTTGCTGCTCTAGTAGAAGATAACGTTATCGTGCAGAGGGTAAGCATCAACACATCATTCTATTGGTCGTTTGCTGAATGGCAAATATTTTCTGAACAATTAGAATCATTGCCAACCTGCCAACTATCGATGCGTGCAGAAGAAAAAATCTTACAGAAAACTGTATATGGTGATTTTTGACTGTCATCGTCTGTATTTACTAACCAAAATACCAATGTTATTGTCCTTTATTTGGAGTCAAACAGAAACAGAAATACTATTAAACATGTTTAAGGCAACTTGGAGGAGTGTACTGGCAATATTTAAAGGATGTGGCAAGGTGCAAGCCAAATGAGGCTTCTGGCCCACCCAATGAGGTGTCATTGGGCCCAACATATATAAGTAGAGCTAGCTGACAGTTTATATTAAAACCTTCTACTCTGGAAGTTCAAGACATAGCCCTTGAAAATACACTAACATATAAACTGTTTTCATGACTTGGATAACCTTATACATTACTTGACAAATATAAATCACCTGGTTTGGTACTCCTTTCAATTTCAGACTCATTCATCAGATTGCTGCCCTGTGCATCTAAGTTAAAGGACAATCTTTTGCTTTCTTCATAGCCTATTTTGTCAATGCTTTCCTCACTTGCAGCTTTTTCACTCCCTTCATCATCGTACTCTGGGTACTCTGCCCCAGCATCTGAGAAGGCTCGTCTGTCCTCATCATCATCATAGCCTCCAGCAGTTTGAAAGTTTTCATATGACTAAAAATTCATAACGGCATCAGCAAACATTAATTGCTTCTAGACCAGTTTGAGTGTGTGTTTGCGAAGAAATGGAAATTTTCAGTTGGATTAAGAATGGCAATATTTTAAAGGTAGAGTCACAGGGAAATTGTATACTTCCCCTTTAAACATATTTTTAGTACAGAATGGGATTCAGGTAAATATACTGAGAATAAATGCAAGCAAGTGCCATGATCAGAGCAGGATCAGACCTGCAATCTGCAATGTTCCCTTTGATGTGAGAAAACTTTTCTCATAGCAGGCTCATTGTGCATTACAATGGATTCTAGGATGGCCTCAAGACCTGTGCAAATGTAAATACGAATTAGCATTTGTTAGTGGTATGGTTTTAGGCATGGATTTGAAAACAGGACCATGTAGCCCAGTTGGTAGAGCAATGACACAGTGTTGCTGGTAACCAGTTCCAGTCCTGGGTCGTTTGTGTGACTCACTTACATTTTCTCTTATTATATTATGAGTATATTCTGTTACTGCCCAAAACATCTCACTGCATAAACTGCTATAGACAAAATATCTTTATAAAAGTACAACATCGCTTACCAAAATTATACAAAGATATTCATTACTACTTTATTTCACTATATAAAGTACGTTCAATATCTCGAAAACTGTTATTCTTTATTAGACAATATTGGAATTCAAAACTTACAGTAATATGCCCCATTTCAGCATGGCCCAAGTTTTGTGACAAGTCTTCTTCCAAGTAGTCTGAGACACTAGAAAGTAGAACAAGAGAAACTAAAGGTGTTATCTTATACACTGCAAAAATTCTCAATCATCATCCCCTTTGAATGTGCAACCCCTACCTTCAAATATGAATCCATGTTTATGAGCAGTGGCAAGGATGATTATTATGTCTATTTATATTATGAATGATAATTTCTGTTGGTACAATATTATCTTCAATTAACTTTTTTAAAAATTCCTTCTTCCCATATCATACATTATCATAATACAATGGCTAAATGCACAACATCTTTTGTAAATTAATACTAATTTTCATCAATGAGACACCCACATAATTAAATCAAAACAATTTTGCAGTTAAAGACTTTTTTATGCAAAATATTGTACACACAAAAAATTTATATGCACAATATTGTACACACAATGGCTTAAGATTTATTGACAAAACAAGGATATAAATCTGTAATGTCATATTGAATCATTCTTTAATAAATTTCTGCCAAAATAAAATTGACATACTAAAGCAAAATATAAAAACAAATTTTAAATAAGAAGAGCAAAAAAAACTTATTAACAAAGGTTATGAAATCTATATATGTTATTGTGTAAAGATTACTTTCAATTCGAGATAAACTCTAGTTAAAATGGTATGTATGAAAACAATTTTACCTATTGCTGAATGCAAGTGCAAGTTGGTCAATTGCTTCATAAAAACCATCAGGTCCATTCAAGTGGTTATAATTGTGCCTCTTTATCTTTTGGATAATAATTCCAGCAGCAGATATAATCTCTGTCGGATTCAAAGTTTGGTAGCTCTGAATAACTCCCTGAAGGAGGGAAACAACTTCTCCAAGCTTATGGTGTGTATCAGCATGTATTTCCTCTGGATCCCTTCTGTCTGCAAAATAAATACGGCAGTTTGAATAAAAATCTTCTATATGCATATGCTGAAAATATTATTAGGTGAATATTCTCCGGTAAGAAAGTATTCCTGCCTACTTCTGCTCCACTATCAGGCCTGCAAGACTTTTAACAGGGAAACAATTTAACAGCTCTCCTAGTAATTTCCAGATGAGCAATTTGTATAGAGATAAGAACAGAAAGAAAGGAAAAAATTGATATTTCGTATATTCAAGGAGAGCAATTTGCTTTTTAAAACAATTTAGGAGAGCAATGGAGGTGACCCCGGAGGGGAGCAAGAGCTATGGCTCTCCTCAAATGGCCAGACCGGACTATGTTTTAAAAAAGGGTCTGACAGATAGTTTAGCTATAGATTTATGCCTCAGAGAAAGGTCCAAAGCTGATTCAACAGCAAAAACAGATAAAGTAAAAAATTTATCAAACAAACACAGATTATTCTATACCCAGAAAATCACATATGTATAACAATTAATAAAGTTAATGAAAACTGCCAAGAAAAATTTGTTTTTCTCAAAAGGTGGTTTGGACACTATGGAAATGCTGGAAAACATGACATACCTACAGTAAGTAGTTATTTTGCCGACAATGTTTGTATCCAGGGACAGGGATGGCAAAGTTATCAAGTTTGATCTCTATATTCTTAGGTTTAGGTATATCTACTTATCATGCTTCCCAGGCAATTTTCAGCCCCTTAAAGATAAGTATTTTCAATAATTGGTTGAAAAAGGGTAGGTCATACTGTAATTTTTTATCATTTTGGTAGCCAAAGTATCTTGGCATGATTTGCTGCAGCAACAGGCACTGTTTCAATAGTATTTGTAGCATAGTAAAGCCCAAAGTATGTGTTAGAATCCCAACTTCTGGCATTTCAAAGACTGGAACAAGCCAATTTTGGCTTAAATCTGCCACACCCATCCAGGTTTTGAATACCTGCTATCTCTTTTATTTATAAATACATCATGGTAGTCTATGTTTACAAAATAAACAATGTCCTTCTCTGCAGGCATAAAAAAGGTTTCATATTACAAGTAATATAGACTCCTCTCGTTATACACAGTATACTGAGGATGCTAAGATTAGCATGCTTCACATATATATATCCCCATTTTAGGTTAACAAACAAGAAAACGTGGACAATAGTTGCTCTTTTTCATTTGCTAAAGATGATAACTTTTGAAGAAATTAATACTGAGCAAAAGGCATCAGAATAACGGTGCTGTGGTTATTGTTTGGAGTGCCTCCCCACTGGCTACATTGTTCAATAAAATGTTTACACATTCTTAACTTCGACAAAAACACTGGCATTAAAAATGTGGTTAGCCAAGTATTCTTTTAAAGTTTTTCCTGCGGCAAATATTTTGAATTCATGAGTACATTAAAATTGTATCAACTTTCTGCATGAATACATTATCGGACTGTACCCTGCATATTTGCTAAGCAGATCGTACAGACCCGAAACAATTTTCACATACTGTTTTAAAAACCAGCAAATGAGCAACAAATTTTAGATAATTCGCAGAGCGAGATATAGTGATAACAGCGTACCAAATAAAAAACAAATTTACCGTAAGCAAGAAACTATCAAGTTATCCTCACAAGTTAAAATGTTTAATAGGTACCTCAAGTTGATAATAAGCACTAAAGTTACCTTCTTCTTCGATAGGGAAGCAGTCTCGCAACACTCTAAGAGCCGACGAGAAGCTTCTCACATGGTGAGTTAGAGTGATAATGTCTTGTTGATCAACCATCTTCGAGTGGACAGGCGAACTTCCTGGGCTAGGCCCCTCCAGTGTTGATTGCTGTTTCAGTATTCCACGTTTAACTGGCTTTTCGATATTTATGACAAACGATTTGATCCTTTCTAAATCACGCAAATCGTCCGGAGAAGGTGAGAGTTGTCCATCTGAATCCGAAGAATAGTAGGCCGCTGAGCTATCAAGCAGAGTTGAGTTCACATCGTCGCTGAGAGATCTTGGAGTTGTCGGGCGGAAATAACCTCTGCCAGTTCGATTTTTGGGGCTAGAGTAAGTTTCATCAAATGAGCGATGTACTGAAGGAGATTGCTAAAACAAAATATTAAAATGAACAATTATAATTTAATTCCTGTTCCTACTTCGCTACATATTATGAGCCCCAATGTAATAATATGCAAAGCGAGCTTTACCCGCGGTTTCGTCGAAACAAAACAGGAAACTGTCACATAGAACAATACAGACAATAAAAGATTAAAAAGAGACAGCTAGAACAATAGCAAAAGAACAATAGAAAACTAGAGAAATAAAGAGAACAAAGGATGCAATATTAGAATCCCGCAAATCATCCTCGGGATGGGCTCATTTGCATTCCGGAGGCAAATATTCATAAAGAACAATTAGCAGAGCAAATGCTTATTTAGTTCTTACATGGTAGAAAATTCTTCATAATCCCATGTCAAATAATATAAGCTATGTTTAGAACAATACTACCCTTTCAATGTTTTAATAAACTTTTAGCACGCTGGCGAGAAGAAGACGATAAGAGCAATTGATTGCAGATTGATAAAACAGGCATTATTCCACACCCATCTTGTCAACAAACACGCGGAATTGATTGTAAATAGATCATGTAGGTTTTCAGAGATTCGCCTCTGCATGATTGATTCAATGCAGGCCTTCAACAAAATCATTTTAACGGGTGGCTTTTTGTATCAATATTTATTTAGCAGGAAATAAAAACAAAAGAAGCCATGGGTTTAAAACGTATCCAATTAAAATTATTCGGTAATCTTACCATAGCATTCTTTCTGCGCCCGTCGATTACGTCGTGTTGCGGGCTGTCTTGTGTCGCAGATCTGTTCCACCGACGAAAAGTTGGAAAAATACCCTTCATTTTTCTTTTATTTACAAACTTTGTCCCATTCCTTCATTGATACCACATCTTGAGCAACATAAAGCGCCTGGTCCTGGCAAGCCGCGCTGCTTTTTTCTCTCTACAATCAACGCGATGCCAGGACTTTAATCTCCAAGTTGTGTTTTTCCTATGCATTAATTGTCCACCTTTTGATTTCATTCAAAAGAATGTCAATAGTTTTGTATACGTCCATCCGTGTTTGATTGTCTAACTCCGAAGTAACGTGACGAAAAGAACAGCACAGTACAACTTTCACTGGGCATTTGCAGTTTCGTGACGAATAACTCGTTCATGATATCCGCCTCATTGCCACTTTAATGTTGGTAATTCCTATTGGCCATTAGAAGATTCCCAATCTACTTGGAATGCGGATTATGAAGAAGAAAGGGCTAATGATGCAAGTTGAGAATTTACGTTGGGGCCTTATAGAATGGGTACAAAGGAAGACCTTGACTTGATTAAAAACAATTACTGCAAAGTGAAATAATGCTTGTCTACGTCAAAGATTGCAAAGGAACTAAACAATTATTTGGAACAAAACTTCATGACGGATGGTGGTGGCACCAGATGGCGGATGGTGGGCCCTTCATGAGCAAATACTAGTTGGGTGAAAAGCCTCTCTCTGCTTCTGCGGAAAACATCGAAGTTTTGGAAGTTGAATACGAAAAGGGGCCGAAAAGGGGACCCGACGGCCCAGTGTGACTCAGTGACGTCAAACATTGTTTAAAAAATTGATATTCTGTCAAATGAGCGGTCATTGCCCATAAATATTTTTACCCGAACAGGTTCCTTTTTTATCAAATCCCCGTAATTATGGTTGTGAGTTTGATCTTGCTTCAAAAACTTATCAACAAGATAAAAAGAATTGCATTGTTAAAATCCACAACTTTCACTAGCCATGTCTCAGCCGCTTTGTAACATATTAAACATATTTCACACATGGCACTATGTTAATGTCAGAAATTGGTGGACAAAAATTTTCCAAACGTCTACCGCATTTTATTCTCGGACTATTTTCAAGATTCGCTGATTTTTTAACACATATCTCAATTCTTCATTACGATTTTTCTAAACTAAAATCTGTTTCTACCTCTCGTGTTCAATTTTTCGATTAAGACCTGTAGGAATTTACTCTAGAATGTTACGGGCAAACAAAAGTTCTGGAAGCATTTAAGTCAGTTTTCCCAGATAAAGTTCAATTACCAAATTATATCAGCCCTGTTAGAAAACGGGGAAATAGAAAAAATTAGCTGAAATTTAGCACTGATGAGCTAAAAATTTTTGAAAATGAGGCTCATTTTTCATCTTCCATTGGCACTGAGGATCTTTAGGTAGAGGTAGTTGAAAAAATACCCTAAGATCAAGGAGACTGGGAACAAATCATTTGTTTTAGTAAAGAGAGGCTAATATCGCAGGGGTTTTGAATCCGTAGGAAAATGGCAATCCTAAAAAGACATTTTCGCTGCTCCTAGCATGGGCTCCTCTTCTCCTCTCGAAAGACCTTCCACTGCTTATATAATATAATACAATAATAATAATATAACGAATCTTTATACATGATGTACATTTCAACATAAAAATGCTGTTATCAATAAGTGTCCTGTAAAAAAAGAAAAGAAAGATAAAAACCTATAAAAAACTCTTATAGAACCTAGCAGTAATTACAACATTAAAAGATCCATACTTATAATATCACAATTTTCAACTAAAATGCTTCTTTAACAGTCCATCGTATTGCTTAAAAGATTCAGTTTTTCTAAGATCGATTGGTAATTCGATGTACAGCTTTGCCCCCATACAATGGAACGACTTTCTAGCATATTCTGTTTTTATGCCTGGAAGCCTAATTAAACATTCGCTGTTTCTTGCGATCCACTCTGTCATTGAGGATCTGGTACCAACGGTAGGTATCCGGTACTCAGAAGGCTTGTAGGGCAGGGGGCAGTGGAGTAGAGCTTGGGAAGCTTGAGGGTTTGTTTCCGTTGTTAATGCCATAAGTGAACTTTTTCTACTTTCAGCTAACGTACTTTGAAATTTTTTTTGGATCCATGTTTAAATGATATACTACGCAGGCAAGAGCTGCCCACTCATAGTCCTTGTCCATTTTGGCATTTTAATACGTGATAAGAACCTGGGCGACTATATCGCTGAATCAAGCCTGTAGGCTCTTTCACATAAGACAGAAGCTAAGAATCCTGCCCGTGCACCGACGTAAAACTCTTGACATATACTAAATCAGTCTTCATTATCTGAGGATCGTCTTGTTATGCTCCCCTCGTTCCTGCAAAAAATTTTATTTCTGCTATTATCAGTTCTAAAACACTCTAAGGTGCCTTTTGGTATTACCGAACAGCTTTGACATCCCATCTGGCACATTTCTGTTTTGGAACAGCAACTAGAAAGAACAGACCTCGAAAACAAAGCAGCCTTAGTTCTTTATTACGCTGTTATTCACTATAAGGTAAATTGATCCTTAAACTTAATTACTATATCCCAGACTGGATATATAGATTACCCAGACTTCGACTGTTTGCACTTTTCAGCAGATATTTGAAGTCCTTTTCTCAGCATCGTTTTTCCATGGAAATATAAGAATATTGCCCAGGGCAGATTCTTTCAAGGAAAAGATTGTACTTTCTCTGATCCTATTGGCAAAAAGGCTTTGATTCCATGATGTCTCACATCCTAGGCAGCTTAAGATGTGTAAAGCAAGGTTTGCTCCTATGGAGAACTGGCGGTTCGTGCAGCTAAAATGAGGTGACGACAATTAATATTACAGAGATCATTTCCAATGCTTTGTTTACTTGTATGATGTTCATTAGCCAAACTGGATGTCCAGAGACACTTTCATCAATTCAATCTTTTTACAGACGTTCGACAACAGCCTCATCAGACCAGGGCCTAAAATAAGAAATTTTTACAGATCCATATTTCTTTATAAAATTTTGGCGTGGTACTTTGCTACGATTGGCAAAACGGGCGTGGCAAATATAGAAACTGCCACTATAGTGCGAATAGCATGTTTAAATTGGGTAAAATCTTAAATGAAAGAAGTATAAGAAGCTGATTTTTTCAATACATTGATTGGGTTCATTAGAAAATTAAAAACATATAGTGATGTCTTAACTTGTGAGCAAATAGTTATCGAAAGGAAACCCTTTGGCATGGTTTGTTTGGATCACCGTTGAAGTTATTTTTCTTCCCTTTCTCCTTCGAAAATCTCCTTAAATCAGTTTCGTTTCCCAGACTTTAGTGTTTTTGGTTTTTTGGAACCATATCTTTGTAGTTGTTCACGGAACTCGAAACTTGCGAGATTATATATTTGTTAAGTGTTTCTGGAGATATGCTGCTTTGCCAACCTGTTACTATCTTTTTGTAGATGGGAATCAGCCTCTCTACATCGGCAGAATTAGGGTTTGCTGCGAGAAGGCGTGCCATTGTCTCGCCTGGTAGAATTCCTCTGAGACCAAATCTAAGATCTCTGTGATCTTGGTCATTTATTTCTCGAATTTCAATGCACGGTTGAATAAAATCTTGCTAAATTTTTGCCAGAGTGAGGCCTTCAAAAGTCATTTTAATTGCATTCAGTCAATTCAATTCTTTGTCATCAAATCTTTTCTTCAAAAAATTCGATATTATAAACAAAAACCTCGTTACGGATGGCAAATAATCTCTTCTCTCACTTATGTACAAATTGTGCTTGTCTCTTCTTATTCTCTTTTCGCGTAGTTTGAAAGCATGATCTTTCCCCCCATCTTGTTAGTAACGCAGACACCATGCACCAGCCTATAGGGGGAATGACTGGAGCCGAGCTAGGGAGCCTGCCCTAGATTTTTTACGACCACACCCTTTGAAACACCGGAAAACATTTGCTTCTTCCTGTCCTTATTCTTAAACATAACGATTCAGAGAAGATTTCAATTACTTTAAAAATACAAAACCGAGTTAGATGGAATAAAAATTTATCTATGATCAAACAATTTAAAGAATCATGAAAAAGAACAAAAACGGGTTCGCAGTCAATAAGAACTGCTACTTATAGGTTCGAAGAATCTTTCCAATGCTTCTCCAATTTAAAACACCTTGGCTGAATTGTTTTGCAACTTTTTCTGCAATCTACTGAAATCTACATAAACCCCCAAATACATTACGGGAAGGAAATCATAATCTCAGTCTCAGTCTTTAGGCTCAGTGTTTTTTTTAAGTAAGTCGTAAAAGCAAACTAACTTGACATGATGTCTTGAAGTTAAAGATGTATACCGAGTCCATCTTTCTTCAAAACAGTACGACAATATCACAAACCGTAATGTACTGAAGCTTCGAGTTTCACAGTTTGTAAATCTTTTTTACTGTCCATTGCTCATTTCTTATAGCAATTTACTTGTAAAAAATGAGTGCAATAAATAAGGCTGGGATTGGGCTTTCACTTTGCATTGAAAAAGATGTTCCTACTTCTATCTTCTAAAGCGTTTCGATTGGTATTTTATGCTGCACTGTTTACTATAAAAAGGCACTGTTTACAAATCCACACTATCTACAATTGCAGTTCCACAATCTCAATTTGCAACTCCACAAAGTGAGTCAGATCCACGCTTATTTTAGGCCCTGCATCAGACCACGAAAAAAGTGACGTAGTCAAAAAGATCTGAAGAAATCTGCCTTTAAAACCAAAATACAGCTTATACGTTTTATTCAAAGATAAACACCTATTTTCCCCACCCTACCCAATTTTCAGGTAACTACTGGTGGGGTGGGGTGGGGTGGAGTGGGGTGTGGTGGGGTGCCTTTGTGAGACAGAAAGTGGTTCACAGGCAGTGAAGGGGAGAATCTGAACGAACCAGTTCTAATAAATGTTACCCTAGAAAATGTTTCTAACACGTCGGCAAAGAAGTTGGTACACCATGTGTCTAGAGAAGCAGCAAGATTATTGATCTTCAGCGTCCCAGATAGCAAGAAGTATTGAGTTAAAAGGACGTGGTATATTAAAAAAAATTAATTTATTCTTTGAATCTAGACCATAAAATCTGGTAGAACACTTTAAAATTCTTCTTAATGTGCCATTGAAAGACCTTAATATCTTTAATGATTAATGTAATTTTTGCTTCGTTCATACCAAGACAAAATTTCAATAGGGAATGTGGATGGGTTGATTGGTGTTTATGTTATCTGATATTTGCTGAATTTGAATTCCTTTTAATTTAGGATTATTTCTTCATGTTATTTCAGACTATATAGTTAAAGTTAGAACCTTTTAAAATGTATTTTCTTCAATTCTTAAGACTTTTTGTTGTCATGCAAAAGTTGTTGTAAACCACTCAAGCCTTCCCTATATTACATATACACATGAAATTTCCTGGCTAAATTCATATATCATAGAGGCCTAGAGAATTTCAGTGAAGTGTACTTTCTCCAGTATCTACAGCATGCACCTTTTGATTTTTGTTAAAATCAAAGGCTAGTCAGGGGCAAAGAACAAAACCCCTGACAGTTGTGCACCGGGATGTAATTGAAC